AGACCTTTAGCCAAGTTATTTCACCGTAGGGGGTGTGTCTGAAGTGATAGGCAGCTGTCTAGCAAGTGTTGCAAAGCCCAGAGTTCAAACTCCAGTACTGGCGAAAAAACAAAACAAAACAACAACCCACCTTAGAATAAAATAATAGAATGTTTTGTGCCCACAGAGTGTCGGGCAAGAGGCAGTCTTGCACATTAAGTGGGAGTGGTGGGGGTGATTAACTGAGCAAGTTTAGTACTCCGAGGTGTAATGGATTCCAGGCACAGTCCCAGCAAAGAAAAGGTATCAGGTTCCAAACATGCTCTGTAAAAATTTTCTAGGGTTCTGGAATAGTTCTTGGTTGGTTATTTTAATGTCACAGCTTGCTACCTCTCATCAGTGAGAAATAAGACCTTCGAGTGCAGACAGCCTAGGGCTGCACCCTTGCAGGTCTCCAAGAAAGATTTGGGTTTTTTAGGGGGGAAGGGGGATCAGTGAGGAACCAAGAGAAGGGCCCTAACCAGCTGATTGGATGGGACTTCTTTCACTTAAGCAGAGGCAACCTTTAAGAGCCCAAGGTCACTGGGCAGAGCTCCCGGGAGGCTGATTGGCCAGCTCTGTGTGACATCACTAAGGACGGGTTGGAGGTGAGGCTGGGCTAACCCCCTCCTAAGGCGTGGAGTTGGGTGTGGGGCTCCAGGCACGTGCCCGGATGTGCCCAGTTGTTACCCTGTGCAGCGGGAGTTTTCTGTCCCTGGCAGTCCCTCAGCATCCCCCGCCCCCACCCTCGCCTCCTCTCTGCTTCCTCTGTCCTTCCCTTCCGCCCTGTCCTCCTAGCTCCCCAAAGAGCCCAGGAACTGCTGAGCTCAGCTCTCCTCGCAGCCCTGGGCTCCGGCTCGTCGCCTTTGTCCCCTGCCGCGGGCACCGAGCGGAGGAGGGGCGTCCCTGGGCCCTAATGCGCGCTTCCCTGGGGTGGGGGATGGCTGCCCACATCTCTCCAGCCCCTGCTCAATTGTGAGCATTGGAAGCTCGGCGACCTCGTCGCCCGTGCCAGATCCCGCCTCTGAAAAGCTGCGGGCCCTTTTCTCTTTGCTTTCACCCGCCCAGCCTGCAGGTTGCCAAGTGGCGAATAGGCCCCCTCTGTTCTGGGAGATTCCGGGGCCTTTCTGAGGTGGGCGGGGGGGGGGGGGGATGGCCCTGCTTGTGATTCGGAAGGTCCCTGGGCAAAAAGGACACAGAATCTGCCGGCTGAGGCAGATTAGATAGATGAGGAGACAGGGACATTCGATTATTTTTAATAAATATTAAAAGGGCCGGACTTACATTGGAACCAGGAAGTAAACTGAAAAAAAGCAGCAAGCTCCCCTCCCTCTCACCACCACCTTTTGGATGTTATCAGAACAGGAGGACAGAGGGGTTATGGGGTTATCTGAATCTACCTTCCTCCTTGAGATGTTAAAAAATGCACATACCTTTGTTGACAAAAATAGGCGGCTGGCTTGTGGGTCATGACTGCCAATTAGACTTTTAAATATTGCATTAAGTTTTAATTTCTCTTCATCACTGAGTTTTCTTCTCCACTCCTTAAATCCTATGCTTAAGGTCAATGCCTCACTTGCCTCACCCTGGTCCTGGTTCTGGTCCATAACTTCTAGGGTCCATGATGTAGCTGGAAGACCCAGAGACTGATCCAGGCCTGACCCCATCTTCCATGCTCCAGGGAGGAATAGGTCTGTGAGTGGTTCCCATCTTTACCACCCTGATGTAAGAAGAAACTTCTTCCTTATGTGGGACTGGGTGCCACTTTGAGGCCAGCCCACAGAAGTGGCCTCACCCAAGGTGGGATCAGGAGAAGAGGCTGCTGGAGCAGAGAGTGATGGAGTTCTTAGAAAGTTGAACCTGCTGAGAATCTAAGTAACCCAGCTAGAGGCCAAGACTCATAGGCCAAGAGAGGGCAGAGGCTGAGCAAGGACCCTGAGCTGGTCTCACAGTGTTCTTATCTCCTCTCCCTGGGCCATGGGTTTGAAATCTCCACTGGGCCGAGTGCGATGGAGGGTGAGCCCAGGAAGACTGAGGCAGTAGCAAATGCCACTGGACTGTGCTCCCTTGAAGCCAGGGCAGCCTGGCACTGTGGCCTGTGGCTCTGCCGGTGATACTGGGAAGGAAGTTTCCTTACTGATTTGTGGACTGATTGTTTCCCCGGATGGAGGCAGCCAGGAAGTGGAAGAGGGCTTATAATCAACTGGGATAGGAATTGATGCTAAGCTTCACTGTATTACTGTGTGAGTGACTTATGTCCCCTCAAGCCTCCACTGTCCTTTCTGGAAAATTGGGGTTGAAATCCCTAGCTCACAGCATCACTGAAGTGTGGTAATGTGCACCCACTGCCCCACCCCACAGTAGCACAGGGAAAGTTCCATGAACTCTTCCTTCTCCTTTGTCACTCACTCTGTCCTTTTCTTGGGACTGTCATGCTCTGCTTCCAGGTCAATTGCTTTAAGAATTAGTGACTCATGCAGGGCGCTTGTTCTCTGGTTCCCAGTTCCCTGCTCATCCACCTGCATCCTGACAAAGTCCCCTTGTGCTTAGAATGAGCCAGCATGGGTCTGGATGGCCCTCTGACCACAGAGAACCTCACATTGGGATATGCTGGGTCAACAAAGGGGGTCCCAAGGTGAACGCCCAACTGAGCCCACACCTGGGAGCCCTCCTTTCCATCTTCCCTCTCCACTCCCAGACTGCTCCTCTGCCTGCTCTCTCTCCTGGCAGGCAACCTCCCCAGGTGAGCTGGGGACCGAAGAAGCTGCTGCCCTCTCATTGAAGGTCGAAGGGCTCTGACAGTGGGGCTGTGCTCCCCCCTCCCTGCTCTCACTGTCTCTAGGGATGCTGATTCGATTTCCTCCAATCGCCAGTATTGCCATCTGCCTGCAGTAATTAAATGGTATTTGAACTGGATCCAGAAATCCCATTGCAGGCAGCCACGTGGCAGGGAGGGTCCTCAGGAGTTTGTGCTTGCATGCCCACATAGCTCAAGGGTCCTCAGAGGCTGGCCGGGCCAGACCCTTGGTCCATTTGGGAACATCTGAATGCCCTGGGAAGACCTGTGTCTTGCTCCCACAGATCTAAGGCAGAGCAGGTCTGAGGGCCAGAGTTCCAGATTCCTGTCCTGTATGCAAGGCCATACCTCCTCTGACGCTGCTGCCTGTCATCTCCCCACAGATGTGACTTTTCCTCAGTCCTCTGAGCCCTGGTTCTTGGAGGCACTGTGGTATAGGACTGTCTGAGAAACTTAGGCTGGCTCCTCACCATCTGTGACTCTGGATGACACCATTCCAGTTTCCTCATCTGTCACTGGGGCACTCATGGTAACCCCATGGGGTTGTATAAGGTCAGTGTGTAGGCACTGCCCAGGATCCAGTGAGAACTCAGTGTGTGTCAGCTGCTGTCATTAGTACAGAGGTAGAAGTCAAGGTAGGATCCAGCTGGCCCTGATGTGTGATGGGGGTGTCAGGTTTCTGGTCTGCAGGTCCAGAAAAGGCAAGCAAGAATATTCCCAGTCACAAAGCTGGCTTCTCAGTCAGCATGACCCAGAACAGCTGGATAAAGGTGGAAACCCCCTTAGGCTTCCATTTCTTCTGGGAAGAGCCACTTGCTCATACGGACCTCAGAGGAAACACTTCTGGAGAAAGCCTGGCATTCCTATGTGGGGGCCTAGTAGCTCCTACCTCTCCCCCAAGAATTTCCTGCCTCCCTGGGGCAGAATGCAGGTAACTGACTCAGGTGGGTACCTTACCATACCTGCAGCTCTGAGTGAGACTTGGAGACTAGGGCAGCCCAGGACAGGGACAGGATGGCGACTGGGAGGCTCTGGCCTATGAGGCTAGGCGCCTCAGGGTCCTGGGTGGGTGCTGGTCTGGCCCCTCTCATTCCTTTCTTCTCTTGGTAAATGTTGGCTTAGGGTGAGAGGCCTGACAAGCAACTCATTGTGAGTGTCCAGTGGCTTGTGTGAGCTCATGGGCATTAGAGCCCCCTGCCCTTGCTTGAGGATGTTTGGGGGTGCTTTCTGCCAATCCTTGCACACGCATGCTCACTGACTCATGCTTGGTTGCCATGGGGACCTCGTAGTGGTAATGCTGCTTCAGAAGAGGGAGGAAGGGGAGGCTGGATAGAGACAGTTCTGCCCGTAGCTGGCTCCTCACTCTGTCCTGATGCCACTTTCCCTCTATATCAGGAAGCTGGCCAGGATCTGGGATGTGGGCCCACCCTGTGACTGACTTGGTATTTCTTCTAGAGGTCCCTGACCTTGGCAGGGAACTTTCCACTTGACTGGGCTGCCAGGGTTGTGCGTAGTCTGGCTTCGCAGCTCCTAGAAGGAACCAGAGCCTGTGCCTGACACTATCACCAGGCTCTGGTATCTGAGAAAGGGACTGCTGCCCTGGAGGACCCTTGCAGCCCCCACAGGCCTTGGCAGAGGCTCTGGCCTCCAGAACTTGACCCTGGCTAAGGGGAATGTGATCCAGAGCCAGGGGAAGCCGCCAGACCTGTCCCTCTTTTTCCCACATGGCTCTGACTTTGTCTCCCCAGGTTGGGTGAGCTGTCTTCTCTCCCTGTTCACAGTGATGCTGATTTCCTGGACTCCTGGTCCAGCCAGGAGCGTGCACTTTCACATCACACAGAGCTAGTTTGGCTCCACCACTTTCCATTGTATGACCTTGGACAAATAATAGCATACTACCTCATGGGTTTATAAGGAAGAATAGATGAATTGATTCATATGAAATACGCTTAACACAGATTCACTGTACACTGAGTGCTCAATAAATGTTGACAGCTGCTGTTTTCTGTGATGTTGGTTTTGTGATTATTGTTATTATCAAAGCTGTCCTCTGGGGGTTCCTAACTGCCTTCCTCTCCCAGCAGAAGTAGAAGCTTGGCAGGTAGTGTGTGTGGTGAGGGAGAGCGTCTGCACCCCGCCCACCCTGCAGCTGGGCCTAATTCAGGGCTCTTCCCATTTTGGGCAGGATTCGGCCCCAGTTGTCAAAGGAGAAGATTGAGGGCTGTCATATCTGTACTTCTGTCACCCCGGGGGAGCCCCAAGTTCTGCTGGGGAAGGACAAGGCCTTCACATATGACTTTGTTTTCGACTTGGACACCTGGCAAGAACAGATCTATTCTACCTGTGTGAGCAAGCTCATCGAGGGCTGCTTCGAAGGCTACAATGCTACAGTGTTGGCCTATGGGCAGGTGAGTTGCCTCGTCTCCATCAGCACCCCACCCCAAACCTCAGGCTCCTTCTACCTGCAGTCCACCATCAGAGCACTGGAAGCCCAGCTGCACAGCGTGGGCTGTGTTGTCTGGGGGTGTTGGGTATGCTGGCTAGCAGAAGGAAGGCTGGCATCACAGGGTATGGCTCTGGGGCTGAGAAAGGGTCAGGGGAACGGTTGGTGCCATCTACTTCAGTGCAGGGATTCAGTCCAGGTTCAAGGCTTGCTGGTACCCCAGAGAGTTCCGGGTAGCACCCTTGTTCCATCTTTGCCGATGCAGACGGGGGCTGGGAAGACGTACACCATGGGCACTGGCTTCGACACAGCGGCATCTGAGGAGGAGCAGGGCATCATCCCCAGAGCCATCACGCACCTCTTCCGGGGCATCGCCGAGCGCAAGCGGCGAGCACAGGAGCAGGGCGTGACTGGGCCTGAGTTCAAAGTCAGCGCTCAGTTCCTGGAGGTACTGTAGCCACACAGGGTGGGCAGGAGGTGGATGGGGAGGAACACAAGACTGTGCAAATGGGGCCCTCCTCCTGTGCAGTGGAATGAGTCCAGGGAGCCATGGGGGCACCTGCATCTGATGTGCTTCCTGCTGCCAAGAAGTATCTAAGCCAGGGCTGGAGGACATGTGGCGGGACCTGTAAAGTGGGCCCAGCATCAAATGGGGTGGAGTCCATGATCTATGATCTCCTTAGACCCCTACTGATTCTAACTGACACTTATTAGCTATGTGACCTCAGGCATGTCATTCCACGCCTGTGAGCCTCATCTGCAAAATGGGGGCCATTGTCTTCTTCCTGGGTGGGAGGGCAGTGCTGGTGAGCATAAGATGGAAGCCTGTGCATGACACATATTGGGAACTCTGGCTCTTCCTCCTCCTCCTGTCCCTCACTGGATCCCTTCTCTACTCTAAGTCCCTGCCTATCCCTTTTGGAATATGATGCTTCCTGGCCCCCTGACTCTTCCAACCCCATGGCAAAAAGGTCCCCCCTGGAGGGACCTGGTTTTTGCCTCTGGCCCTTCCATGTCTGGGAGGATGTCAGTCTGGAACTGTGGTGACCAGAGTCTTTGGGGGTGGAGAAGGGGGTCTGTAGGCTCCTTGACATCTGAGCTGTGCCAAGCCCCAACTAGGTAAGCTCAGAGGTAGGAGCTCTCTCCTGTGAAGGGCCTCCTGGAGGGTTGCTAGGAAAGCAGGCCTAGCTTTCTCCCAGGACACTTGGTGAGTAGCTCCAGTTCTTAGCGTCTAGAATCCTCCACTTCAAGAGCCAGCCTTAGGCTCTCATCCCCAAACCCTGGTGCTCTGATCGTACTTGGTTGTCCTCTTAGGGAAGGATGTAGTCGCAGCCCTGTCTGCATTTTCCCATGCCCACTACCCCAGTTATTCCTGGCTGGGCATGCTTCTGATAAACTGTCTGCTTCTGTGTGTGCATGAGCATGTGTGTGTATGTGTGTGTGGTGGTGTGTGCACACCTGCAACTTGCTGCTTATATATCACTATACGCCTTCTCTCATCTCTTTGTTTTCTTCCTTTCTTCATCCTGTTGCCATGGAGATCCCCAAAGAGCAAGCTAGCTCCTAGAAAATCCAGGCCAAAGGGTGAACCACAAGGGGTTAAATGATGCAATATGTCTGTCCTAACACAGACAGACAAACACTATGGCACTCCATCTCTTCCTTCCTTTTCCTCTTCCCCTTCCTGTGGGATATTTCTGTGCCTTAAAGGCCATCAAAGCCTCGGATGTCTGAGGGCTGTAGTCCCCCTCCCCTTTGACCCACAGGACTCTCTTGGCTTCTGCCCCAGCTGCTCCATCCCTTTTCCTGATTCCCAGTCCCAGCTCCCTGCCTGTTGAACATCCCAGCCCTTCAGCAGGTGAATTTCCCTGTTTATAATTCCGATCACAGAACTGTCCTTGGCTGAGACCTGTCTGAAAAGGGGTGGATGCTCCTGGCCAGGCCACCTGCCACAGTGATCTCCCCAGGAGGCTGGACCACAGTAGCTATTCTCTGTGCTCCTCTCCTGGGACACACAACACTGCCTCCCTGCACTGGGAGGTTGTCATCACCACCCCCAAGGACACTGGGATCGGGATCAGGGCATGGCTCACTGTGTCTGCTGAGCTCTGCCTCTGCTCTCCCTCATCTGGGAATCACATCTCTATCCCCTCTTTTCCAGCCCAGTAATATAGAAAGATCTGCCAAAATTGTGGTCCTACCTTCCTCATCTCCTTCATCTAGAGCTCATGTCCCTTTGTGCCCTTTAGGTCCTAAGCCTTCTACAGGGACTAGTTTCCTGGGGAGTGGGGAAGCAGGGGCAGCCTCAGGATACTTCTGCCAGGCCCAGGTGCCCTCCTTCCGCTGTCCAGGAGAATGATCCTGGAATTCAGAACCCAGAGGGGACCAGGATTGGAGAAGTTTGCCTCCAGAGCCTCTGTCTCCACTTCTGCAAAATGGAGATGGTTCGTAAGCATGAGAAAGGCCCTTGGGGCACCCATACTGCGTGCCATATGGACCCAGCTGTTGTTTCCTCCCGACACAGCTCTACAATGAGGAGATCCTTGACCTGTTTGATAGCACTCGTGACCCCGACTCCCGCCACCGCAGGTCTAACATCAAGATCCATGAGGACGCTAACGGTGGCATTTATACCACAGGAGTCACTTCTCGCCTCATCAACTCCCAGGAGGAGGTGAGCACCCGCTGGAGCTCCAGGGCAGGCACGGGGCATCCAGAGAGGCCAGAAACCAGCAGCACAGTGGTCCTGAATTTTAACTCTTGCATCTGTCCCTAGCTGATTCAGTGCCTAAAGCAGGGCGCCCTGTCACGTACCACAGCCAGCACCCAGATGAATGTACAGAGCTCCCGCTCCCACGCCATCTTCACTATCCACTTGTGCCAGATGCGTGTGTGCACCCAGCCCGACTTGGTAAGGAGACCCCGGGGGCTCAGGAACTGCATGTTCCAGGGGTATCCCAAGGTGAGGAGTCACAGATCCATGCTAGCACTCCAGAATTGCTCCTGCTCCTGCTACTTGTTGGGTTTTCTTTTTCTTTTTTACTTGAGCTTCAGTTACCCCAGCTATATAATGGGGGACCAATACCTCTGGCATTGCGGGGAGTGGAAGAATCAGGCATACACAAGTACTGTGTATGCCGTCGTCAGGTGGTACCTGCGTGCCGACGAGGTACCACGCAGCCTGCCTGCCTCTCCTGGATGGCGATGCTGTGGGTGCAGGGGAGTGGGAATAGGAGCAGCGAGATGTGGCGAGGGCTGGGTGAGTCAGACGTTGGCTTCTGCTGCAGGTAAATGAGGCGGTGACTGGGCTTCCTGAGGGTACAGCTCCCACCAACGAGTATGAGACACTCACTGCTAAGTTTCACTTTGTGGACCTGGCCGGCTCAGAGCGACTGAAGCGGACAGGGGCCACCGGCGAGCGGGCCAAGGAGGGGATCTCCATCAACTGTGGCCTGGTAGGCACACGGAGGGTCACCAGCCTTAGAGGCCAGAGCAGCTCAGGCTCAGACAGGGTCTTGGACCCCATGGCTGCCCAGTGGCCAGGACACCCATGGTCACTATTATTGGCTCTTTATTCCTTCACCCTAAGGCCTCAATCTGCCTCAATTCCCCTGATTTGGCCATTTTTACCACATCTGCCTGTAAACCCACCTAGGAGCCTGAGGGCTTCTAGGGCCAGAGAAACAGGTGCAGATAACTTGGGGCGGTTTTGTGCTACCCCACTCTTCCTGCCAAACTCTTGAGCACAGGGTCTGTCTTCTGCAGCTGGCCTTGGGCAATGTGATCAGCGCCTTGGGGGACCAGAGCAAGAAGGTGGTGCACGTGCCCTATCGGGACTCCAAGCTCACCCGGCTCCTCCAGGACTCTCTTGGGGGCAACAGGTATCTGTCCAGAAACAGGACAGGGAGTCAGGGAGGGTCTGGAGGATGCTGATGTGATGCTGGGAGCCTGATGCCAGTGGAGAAGGCCTTCTCATCCTAGGCTGCAGAGTAGGAGGCAGAGAGCTGGAGGTGTCCTGTGACCTTTGGTTACTTATGCTTGTGATCAGCTTCCTTATCTACACAGCAGGAGAGATCTCCTACAGCCCAATGGGACTGGCCAGGAGATGCTAGGAAAATGCAGGAACCATGGCACATCCTTGTCACCAAGCAGAGGGCTCTGCAGTTAGGCATCACTACCTCCCCACCTTGTTAGCTGTCTTCACGAGGTTTCCCTCTGTCATGGTAGAAACTCTTGGCCAGGTGGTCCAAAGCCCCACTTTCCAGGTACCCCCTCTTGAATGCCCAGATCCTCTGGGTATTAGGGTAATGGGGTACGGGGTGGGAAGCAGGACCTCTATGCCTTGTGGGTGCTGGCTCTGTCCCTTGCCCTCACCCCTGCCTGACTGCACCCCAGCCAGACCATCATGATCGCCTGCGTGAGCCCCTCGGATCGGGACTTCATGGAGACACTCAACACTCTCAAATATGCCAATCGGGCTCGCAACATCAAGAACAAGGTGGTGGTGAACCAGGACAAGACCAGCCAGCAGATCAGCGCGCTGAGGGCAGAGATTGCACGCCTGCAGATGGAACTGATGGAATACAAGGCGGTGAGGGTGCTCCCAGGTGCTGCCAGCCTCTCCTGCACCCCTGCCCTACAGTCTTCCTGAGTTCCTCAGCATGCCTTCTACCTCCCCATCACTTCCCCATCAACTTCTCATGCCTCCTGGACATCTCTGTGTGCCAGGCATAGGGCTCAGTACCAGGTGATCCAGCACCTTCTGAGTCCTCTAGACTTTAGGGTTCTAAGTCCAAGAAGAAGAGCACCTTAGCTTTTGTAACACGGATATTGTGCCCAGGGTAGATGCTCTCCAGATGCCACACTATGGAGCAGGATAGCTGACAGTAGGGAACCACACGACTAGTCCAGTGTGCTGCAGGGGAACAGAGGAGAGAGTTGGCCTTACTTACTTGAGTGATCAGGGAGGGCCTTGTGGAGGGGGCCTTTGTATGAATTTTGAAGAACAGCAGAAAGGCAGCAGACATTCTAGATAGAGAACAAGCCATATAAAAAGGACAAATGAGAAAAACTGGTGCTTTAAGGAAAGTGTCTAATTCCACATAACCAAGACTGAAGTCATCAATTGGTGACCATGGCCTGAATCTGGGTTTGGATTTGGCTTGTACTTGTTTTACAAGAATATAATTTAGTGGGCTGGAGGCATGACTCAAAGCAGTAGAGTGCCTGCCTTTGCAAGCTCAATGACCTTCATTCAAAATCCAGTACCATAAAAAAATAGAAAAGAAAAGAAAGAAAAAAAGGATAGTTGTCAACCTTTCTGAAAGTCAGAGTTTCAGCCTTTCTGGAAAAATTTGAAAGTCTCACAACAATTGGCACTAAGTTGGCTAGAGCATCGTAATGGCACCTCTTTTAGACAGACTATGACTCTTTTAGCTCCAGTCTCCACCATTCCCTGTTGTCTTACACCCAGACTGACTTACTCACTTATGCCAACTACCTGGCCTAGGAAGAGTTTTGTCCCTTGGATTAGCATTTATAGACATGAATGTGAAAGGTAGAAAGATAGTAGAAGAATTTGGAAGGGAAACTATATAAGGTTTGGGGGATATTTTGTTTCTTTGTTTTGTATTGTATTTTTTAAAAGACAGGATCTCACTAGTAGCCTAAGCTGTCTTCAAATTCTCATTTCTCCCCTACCTCCCAAGTGCTGGGATTACAGCTATGTACCACCATGCCCAGTGTTATGTAAGGTTTTTGAGCCTTGGGAGACAGGAGCTGTGATTTAGGAAACCTGAGGTGGGGAGACTGGCAGAGCCATCATGCCTTGGAAGAGGCCAAAGGCAGAGGGAACAGCATTGTCACCCTCCCCTCCTGTGAGATTTGGTGCCTGATGCTCCCCATGTGCCCCTTCCCAGGGCAAGCGAGTGATTGGGGAGGATGGTGCTGAGAGCTATAGCGACCTCTTCCGGGAGAACGCCATGCTGCAGAAGGAGAACGGGGCGCTGCGGCTGCGGGTGAAGGCCATGCAGGAGGCCATTGACGCCATCAACAATCGTGTCACCCATCTCATGAGCCAGGAGGCCAACCTGCTTCTGGCCAAGGCTGGTGAGTTGGGATGCACCAGGTCAGCTCAGAACACCAACATACCGGGACTCCCCCCCACACACCTACCCCTGGGTATTGAGCAGGCTTAGCCAGCAAGTCAATGCACAAATCGATCATTTATGCATTTAAAGCTGACTTGACTTTACGACAACTTAGTATGACGCAGTGATACACTGTTCTCATTAAGCATGAAAGGGATGCAGCTGAACATAAAGTGAAAGGTTAATCTCTTCCCCACGTCCCTTCTCCTTCTCAGAAGGACCCTTCATGAGCACCTTACTGCATCTCTCCCTTAGCTTGCTCAGGACATTTGTGTCAAGTATAAATGTGTTTGCATATGCGCATGTATGTGTGCGTGAACATATATACCACTTCTACATGTGAGATCATGTGTACTGTTTTATGACTTCCCTTTTTCATTTAGCATTATGTTTTATAAATGTCCACATTAAAATCCACTTAATTTTTAAACTACTGCATGGCATTGCATATGTGATGATGAATAATTTATTCCAACAGCCCTCTACTGGAGAACATCTAGATTGTTTCTGATTTCATGCTGTTCCCAGCAGAGCTTGGGCACATCTGTGCTCATGTACAAGTATTTCCTTTGTATAGGTTCCTTTGTGGAAAAGCCCTTGTGGGCCACCCTGTTGGAGGCAGATACAAGGCCAGCAGTCTTAGTGCTAATGGGCTCCAGTCCTCACTCCCTTCTTTATTGTACCCTCCTTCCGCCTTCCTCCTACAGGCGATGGCAATGAGGCCATTGGTGCCCTGATCCAGAACTACATCCGGGAGATCGAGGAGCTGCGGTGAGTGAGCCCCAGCAAGTGTAAGCAGGCTGGGGGGTCCTTGGCCTGTGCAGACCAAGGGTAATGGCAGCTGATCTGGCTCTGCCCACTCGTTCTTCACATGCAGAACAAAGCTCCTGGAGAGTGAGGCCATGAATGAGTCTCTCCGTCGCAGCCTCTCAAGGGCCTCAGCTCGCAGCCCCTACTCTCTGGGCTCATCTCCGGCTGGTCCAGCCTTTGGGGGCAGCCCAGCCAGCTCCATGGAGGATGCTTCTGAGGTGATTCGCAGGGCCAAGCAGGACCTGGAGCGGCTAAAGAAGAGGGAGGTCAGGCAGAGGAGGAAGAGGTGAGTGGAGAACCCAGGTACTCACAAGTGGCCCCTCACCTACCCTCCAGGAAAACCACTTCTGCCTGTGTTCAGGAGGGGGCACCCCATCTCCAGGGGCTTCCCCAATACTGCTTGGGAATTTGCTCAGATTGGGGCAGAGACCTTCCTGGTCTTCTATACCATGCTTTTCCCCCAAAATTAATTCAAGGTGGTGGTGGGAGGGAGGGCTAGAGAAGAGCAGCTGGTTCTCTTCAGAACAGAAACTCTGTCCCTATGCCTCTTAATCCACCCCTACTACCCTCTGCCTGCATACTCAGGGCAGCATTAGTCACCCTAATCTAGCCTCCCCTTCACTCCCCAGCAGCCCAGAGAAGGAAGCCTTCAAAAAGAGGGCAAAACTCCAACAGGAGAACAGTGAGGAGACTGACGAGAATGAGGCTGAGGAGGTGAGGACTCCCTGACCTCTCCTTAACCACCTGCTTACCCCCGTGTTCCTGCTGGTTGGGTAGGTGCCATCAACATCTTTGTACAGGGTCAAAGATGGGTAGGAGTCCGCCTCTAGTTGATTCTTGAGCTTCCTGACAGCTCTGACTGGTTACCACGGTGATCTCCATCCCTCAGTCCTTCCCCTCATCCCAAATGTACGATGCCGGATAGAGGCTCCTCTTCAGGGCTATGCCCAGGCCACTGGTGGGAGCCACACAATGGGTGTGACTGGCCCCTGTCCCACTGACATCCCGGAGCTGTTATGTCTGACCTGGCCTCTGCCTCTGGGTGCCCTTTCTGGAGGAGGCACACTCCTAATGGTGTTTGATGCCTAGGAGGAAGAAGAGCGAGACGAGAGTGGCTGTGAGGAGGAGGAAGGGCGTGAGGATGAGGACGAGGACTCCGGCAGCGAGGAGAGCCTAGTGGACTCAGACTCAGACCCTGAAGAGAAGGGTGCGTGGGCTGGGGCTGCTGGTCAGAGCTGGGCCCACAGGAAGTTGGGATGCACCTGGGGTGGGGTCAGGGCTGCCGGAGTTCTCAGAGACAGTCGTTTGTCCAGGGCCAGAACAGATGTGAAACCAACAAGAACGACAACTGTCATGGGGATAATAGCAGCAGACACCTAAGTACTAAGTACTTGCTGCTGTACTTAGCCTTGACCCAACCCAGGGCTTGGAGTGTTCCAGTCCTCATTACTGCCCTGGGCACGGGTGCTGAGTTTTCCTTGCATCACCACTAAACAGGCTCAGAGAGGTTCCTGCCCCTCCCGGTTGCAGAGCACAGCATTGAAAGAGGCCCGGCTGGTGCCAAGGCCCACTCCTGTACGTGAGAGTCCCTGTCCCTTCAGCTTCGTCCTGTGGCCATCTCTGGCCCACAGCCTCGCAAGGTGTTCTTGGTTACCTCAGGCTCTTCAACCAAGTGGGACGCCATGTCACCTGTGAAAATTAGATCGTGGTGTCCAGGCACAGCAACGGCAGAAAGGATGTTAAACCCTCTTCCAGCTCCTAAGCCCAGCTCTGCATCTCTGGGGCTGTTTGTTAGTTGTGTTGCCCCTCTGCTAGTACTTTGCCCACCCCGGCCCACTGATTGCTCATAGCTGACCAGGAGGAAGCCCTCCTACCCCCAGTTAGCAAGTATCCCCTCACCTGCCCCTCACCCTGGTGTGGCACTGAGCCTGGCTCTGCCACCACTCTGCAGAGGTGAACTTCCAGGCGGACCTGGCCGACCTGACGTGTGAGATCGAGATCAAGCAGAAGCTGATTGACGAGCTGGAGAACAGCCAGCGGCGGCTGCAGACCCTGAAGCACCAGTATGAGGAGAAGCTGATCCTGCTGCAGAACAAGATCCGAGACACGCAGCTGGAGCGTGACCGTGTGCTGCAGAACCTCAGTGAGGCCAGCTCCCCGGCAGCCTCCCTCTGCCCCAGTCCATCCCCCGGCAATAGCACACCCCGCAGCTGGTGCCTGTGGGAGATATGGGCCTTCTACGCAAGGGACTTCTGAGCCTCTGCCCCCCAGTTAGAAGTTCTTATGTCTAACCTAGCTTAGCTCCTCTGCTGCTTTTTAAATTCATCTTTTTTTTTTGAAGCTATCATCTTACATATTAGAATCCTTTAATCCTTTATATACTAGGTATGTGAATAAGACACCTTCTGGCCTTTTCTCCTGCTCTTCAGTGCACTCATTCCATCATTCATTTCTTCATCTACTTATTTGGCAAGCATTAGTTGAACGTATCTCTGAGCAGAGGTTATTTCAGATGCTAGAGCTGTTGGTGTGAGTGAGATCCTTGCTCTCATGGAGTGGACACTCCAGTGGGGAGAGACAGACAAAGAAAACATAAGCAGGGTCTCTAGCAATCATTGATAGGTGTTACTTTAAAAAAAAGTACAGCAAGGAAGGGAGATAGGAGCTCTGGAGACCAGGTTGGGGTTGAGAAAGGATAGTCATGGAAGACTACATGGTGAAGGCAAAGACTTGAAGTTGGTGAGATAGTGCTAGAGCTGAATGAGCAATGGGAAGAATGTTCCAGGCGGAGGGAACAGAAGATGCCAGGGCGCTGAGGCTAGTGTGTGTCTGGCATGTTGGTGGGATGACAAGAGGCCCAGAGTTGGCCATGTCTGTTGTTATAAGAACATTGGCTTATACTATGAGGGAGGTGAGAAGGTGTGAGGTTTTGAGAGAGATACATGATGTAAAATTTATAAGTGTTTTTAAAACATCACTGGCTGCTGTGTACGGGAATGAAAATGGAAGTAAGACCCCACTTAGGATGGGGCGATGAGAGTGATCAGATTTGGGATATATTGTGAAGATTGAGCCAAATGCTTTATTGATGTTGGGTGAGTGACCTGAGAGAGAGGAAAACCAAGGGTGCCTCAGGGTGTAAGCCTCTAGATGGAAGGTGAGGGTGTTTGTTGAGACGCTGAGAGGTAGACGTCAGGCGTTAGTTTTGAACCTTAGGATGCCTGTTGGAAGTTCAGATGGGAGAGTCTATGGTGTGTTGTAGCCCACATCGCTCTGTCTTCTCTTACTAACTCTCCCCTTTCCTCTGGCTCAGCCCCTCCCTTCCACACTTTATCATGGGTCAGAACAGAGCCAGCATGAGTGGGTTGCAAGGCTCTCCCAAGAAGCAAGGAGCCAGAGGCTCAGAGGTATCAAGATGAAAACACCTCTCACATTCCCATAGGACGTCAGAGCAGGAAGGGGCCTTGGGCATCTGGTCCCACCTCCTTGTTTTTCAAAGGAAGAGACAGGCTGGGGTGGGGGAGGGCTTGCCCAAGGAAAGGCAGTGAGACTATACACCATGCCCTTTGGGGAGCCCCATTTATCAGGAGCACTGGGCCCATGGTGCTGACGGCCACCTTCACTGCTCAGGCACCATGGAGTGCTACACAGAGGAGAAGGCCAATAAGATCAAGGCGGATTACGAGAAGAGGCTGCGGGAGATGAACCGGGACCTGCAGAAGCTGCAGGCGGCACAGAAGGAGCATGCTCGGCTGCTTAAGAACCAGTCACGCTATGAGAGGGAGTTGAAGAAGCTGCAGGCCGAGGTGGCCGAGATGAAGAAGGCCAAGGTAGGGCCAAGAGTGGCTGCGCACTCTTAGAAAGCTTTCCCATGTTCAAAATAATCCCTGCTGTCAAGTATGGCTTTTCTTCTCTACACATAGCACTGCCTGGCCTTGCACACTCCCCTCTTAGCTGAGTGTGTTGTCCAGGATGCAGTGACCATCCCTGAGTGCTCGGTAGTGAGCAGGACACATGCACTGCGTCCCTCAGTGCTGCCCTCTGCGGTGGGAAGCTGTACTACAGTTGCCTTCTGTCTGCACAAAGCCTTTCATTTGGTACAACCCCTGCCTCAAATCATAATAAAAATTACAACTGTGGCTAGTTGTCTTATGTGCATGGTCACGTTCACTGCTTAGGAGAACCTCGTGAATGAAGCCCCATTACCATTGTAATGGTACCATTTCTTGAAAGAGGAGGCCTTGGGGAAGGTAATTCCAGCTACTAAGAGGGAGTGCTGGGGTACAAACTCAGTCCTCAGCCTTCCACGCTGGTGTGTGTTCTAGGTAGGACACTGTTCCCTTTTCTACTGTGCCATGGTTCAGAGTTCTAGTCTCTGTGGTCAGCCCCTGAGGTCATGGCTTCTAGGCTCAGGTCCTGTACCTCTGTGTCGAGGTGGTTCTGGCTCCTGCTTGGGGCTCCCAGACCAGTGCTCCCTTTATGTTGTCCTTCCCCCTGGGCCTCTGTGCCCAGACCTTCAGCCCCAGGGCCTCTGTGCCTAGACCTTCAGCCCCTGGGCCGGGACCTGAGGCTGGATCCCTAGAAAATCCTGGCACTGGTGTTAACCCCAGCAGTTGTACAGAGCAGGCTGGAAACACAGACCCAGAAGAGGGGAGCTCTCCAGTGCTAGGGGCCCATGGGACAAGTGTCTGTATCCTAGAGCCACCAGTAACTGTGTTCTCACCACTGACTTAGCCAGTGCTCACCAGTGGGCAGAGAAGATGGCTATTCTTAGAGGAGGTCAACCCATAGCTGTGTTAGAGGCCAGCTGCCTCATTTGAGCAGGCTCTGTTCCCAAGTCCAGGACACAGGTCCAAGGCCTCTGTCACCCTGTGCAGAGTGCTCAGACCAGCCTGTCCTCAAAGAGCCCATTTACACCATCTACTTCAGTGTATCCTCTCTGTAACAAGATGCACTTGACATGGAAGGGTCTTGGAACTCAAATACTCCCAGCCTCCGCCTCCCCCCCTCCCCGCCCCGCCACACATGCACCCCAGGTGCCCTGTGGTGATACAGAGGGATGGTGGCCTTTCCTTGTCCCCACATGGAGCAGCATACCCACTGTGGCCTGTGCCTTCTGCAGCAGCTCCTGGGGCAGCTCTGGACACTCTTGTCTCTGTCCCACTCTCTGTCTTTGGAGTTCCTGCTGATACCTCTCCTGGCCAGCTCCTACCTCAGCTGCGCATAGTCCTAAAGACTCTCATGAGAACATTCTCACAGGGTCATGAAGCCTGGAAAAGTAGTCTAATACCCAGGACATATTTAAAAGACAGAGGAATCCACGTATGTACATGTATTTCAATCTCAGCATTGTTGAGACCCTTCAACTGGGGCCCAGCTCTTGTGAGCCCAGGTCAGATGTGGAAAAGATCAGCCTAGGGTCATCCCAGAGGATTTTCATTGGAGGGACAGAGAGAGCAGCAGCCAAGGATTCTAACCAGATACAGTGAAAGCCAGTATCTGAGAATCTTCCCAGTTGCAGGGTCCAGCAATTCACAAAGCTGGACTGGATGGGCCTGCAGGATCTCCTGAGAGAAAGCACTTTGCCTTCTACCTCAGAGCTGTGCAGCAATACTGGCCTCAGGCACTGAGGCCCATTTCAGCACTGTTGTGCACCTGGAATGAGCTTACCCGCTCTGAGACCATCACATCTGCAGTGGCCTTCCAGGAACTCAGCCACACATGCAAGTTGGACTGATGAACCAAGGACCAGTAAGACATAGTCTCTACCCCAAGAAGCCTCAACTTCTGATGTGCTAGAGTTTTTAGGTCCACCTTCCTAGCCTGACTCCTTATAGAACACTCACTCTAGACCCTAAAGATCTACAGAAGCCAGCTCTTCTTTGGTCTGTAGATCCACCCCTTCTGAGCCTGACCTACTAGGGAGAAGCCAACCCTGCTAGCCACTGGCCTCCATGGAGCCTGCTTGCCTTCCTCCTGCTCTTTCCTTTCCTAAGTCTCCTCAGAGCGAGGCAGGTTGGTGGCATCCCTGGGGATGCCGGAGGCTTCAGTGGCAGAGGAAGGACTACCCCCTTCCTATTTCTCCTGCTCCCACCATTGAAAGGTGTCAAAGAACCTGGAATGGGGAGGCAGATGCCACAGGGCCCCAGGACAGTGGCTTCCCAGCACATTGGATCATCTCTGGCCCCACTGATTGTGTTCTCTGTGCCTTTGGCCAGACTGCTGAGAGTTCTGAGATTCAGACAGTCTATGCTTGGTCCCTAGCCTTGGTCTGAACTGTCACAGTGTCATGTATCAGTCCGTAGGAAGAGCTGAATTTGGTAGGCAACATAACCTGGGCTCCAAATCTGACCATCCATTACTAACTCTGTGACTCTTAAGTCATTCTGTCTCTCTAAAGCTCATTTCCTTCCTTATAAAACATGATAATGCCTTTCATGTGATTGTCATGAGGAAGGTGTCTTGGCATATACCAGATTCTCAATAAATAATGGTGGTTTGTATTACTGTCACTATGAGCTGGCCCTGGAATCTGGCCCTGACCTTCACGTCAACCCTGTCCACAGCTCAGGCTATCAGTGAAAGAGAGTCCTCTCTTGGACTGTCCAATAAGAGCCAACTTGAGGATGGTGGCTTTGAGCAGGGGCCAAGAATGGGCATTGCCAAGTGGGAGACCCTGCACCTCAAGGCTGGCTATATGGCCACTCTTTTGACACATTGCTTAGGTGGCTTCAGTGTCTATAGAAAAGTGGAAGATGGACCCCTTGCTCCAGGCACCTGAGCCCTGAGCTGCCTAAGCTGGGCTTCCATCCCTGCCCAGTTTCCTCTAGCCATCTACTCCCTTACCCAGCCCTGTCTCACTTCCATGGCCTCTGCCCATCCCAGGTAGCCCTGATGAAGCAGATGCGGGAGGAACAGCAGCGGCGGCGGCTGGTGGAGACCAAGAGGAACCGAGAGATTGCTCAACTCAAGAAGGAGCAGCGGCGACAGGAGGTAAGGGACCCAGGAGTCTTTGGGGCCAGCTCCCAACCTCCCTGGGTCCCTGCTTGCTCCTCCCAACCCAGCTGGCCTCAGTTCCTACCATCCTACATGGTCGGGTCATGCTGGGAGTAGAGCACACCTGTCAGAAGGGCAGAATCAGTGGGGGCTTCCCACCCAGCCCCCATATGTTCCCCAGAAGGATGACATGAGCCCCAGAGAGGTTCAGGAACTTTCCCAGGGTCACCAGCAAGCTAGACACATGCTGCATCAGGCCCAGCAGAGCAACCCAACAGGGATGAGCCTCTTAGTCCAGATTCCTCGCCGTGGTGGGAGATGAGGCCAGGGGAACTAATTGTCTTTGCAGGGGGATTTCCCTGCAGCCTCTGGAAAGGAGAGCTTGACTTTGGGGCCCATTTTACCAACAGTTTGGCTGCATGAGACTCACCTTGCCCAAAACAAACCCAGGTTTCCAGCTTCAGCGCTGGCCTGCCTGTCCCCAGCCCTGTCCAAGCAGAAAGAGTATCAGTGTCTGAGTGTTGACCCTGCCCTTCCTCTCTCAGTTTCAGATCCGGGCCCTGGAGTCCCAGAAGCGGCAGCAGGAAATAGTACTGAGGAGGAAAACCCAGGAGGTGAGCCTCCAGGAGGCCAGAGTTGAGGCCCCTTTCCCTGCTTGTTGCTCTTTGGGGAGGAAGAAGGGAACCAGACCTACCTGGAACCCTAACTCTCCTTTTGCTTTTATTTATTTGGTTTTCCTGAGACAGGGTTTTCTGTGTACCCCAGGCTGGTCTCCTCCTGCCTCTGCAGCCCAAGTGCTGGGATTATAGACATTCACTTCCACACCCAACTATCCCTTCTTTTATTTAACAAACAATCATGCCAAAATATGCCAGACCTGTTAGAAATGTCTTTCTCAACAAGAGAGCTAAGGACATAGGGCAGGCTGCAGGCTTGGTTCCCAAATGCCTGAGCAGATTACTTAAAAAAGAAGAAGTGCTGGACGTATAGCTCAAGTGGTAGAGTGCTTGCCTAGGAACCACAAGACCCTGGGGATCAACCCTCATTACCTCAATCCTCATTACCTTCATGTTCATTTTACATAAACAGAGACCTCTTGGGCCTTCTGTAGCCCCAAGTCCAGCCAGCACAGAGTGCTTCTATTCTCCCAGCCTGGCCTTTCTTTGCAGCTCTAAGCTACCCTGCTCACTGGGTCCACCCCTTTTCTTATCCTCCTGCCCCCAGGTTTCTGCACTGAGGCGCCTGGCCAAGCCCATGTCGGAGCGGGTGGCAGGACGGGTAGGACCAAAGCCACCCACGCTAGATTCAGGGGCTGAGGTGTCAGCTAGCACCACCTCATCTGAGGCCGAATCAGGGGCCCGCTCTGTCTCCAGCATTGTGCGCCAGTGGAACCGCAAAATCAACCACTTCTTGGGGGACCACCCTGCGTCCACTGTCAATGGCAGCCGCCCCACGAGGTGAGGCAAACTGACAGTGCCCTGGCTTATGTGGGCAGAAAGGTGGAAGTAAAGGTGGAAATGTGAGGAAGAGCGAAGCTCTGTAAATGCCCCATCCTGGGGCTTTCAGCTCCACGTGGGGTGCAATGGAGCCGTAGAAGTAAAAGGTGGTCAGCCTGATTGCCTTTGCCTCTACCTCCCAGAAAGAAGTTCCAGAAGAAGGGAGCCAGCCAGAGTTTTAGCAAGGCTGCCAGGCTCAAGTGGCAGTCCCTGGAGCGGCGGATCATCGACATCGTCATGCAGAGGATGACCATCGTCAACCTAGAGGCCGACATGGAGCGACTCATCAAGGTGGCCGAGCCTCCCCACTCTCCACCGTCCTCTGCCCCCTCTGACTTCTCTGGCTCCGCAGACCTATCTCATACCCCTCCCTCTCTTCCTTGTACCTGCTGTGGAATCTAGAGATGCTGGGTGGGGGGCCTGGGGTCGGAGCTGCGATGGGCAGGACAGGACAGCCCCCTAAAGCACCTCATCTGTCACCATCCCCCCAGAAAAGGGAGGAGCTGTTCCTCATGCAGGAGGCACTGCGGAGAAAGCGTGAGCGGCTGCAGGCTGAGAGTCCAGAAGAAGAGAAGGGGCTGCAGGAGCTGGCCGAGGAGATCGAGGTGCTGGCAGCCAACATTGATTATATCAACGACAGCATTACTGACTGCCAGGCCACCATTGTGCAGCTGGAGGAGACCAAGGTGCCTGCGGGGCTGGGCCTGGCTTGGGTGGAGATGGGAGAAATGGGTGGGAAGGAGCAGCCCCCAGGTGACCGACCAGGGTCTCTGCTCCTGGTTCTAGGAGGAGCTGGACTCCACGGACACATCAGTGGTCATCAGCTCCTGCTCCTTGGCTGAAGCCCGCCTCCTGCTGGACAATTTCCTCAAGGCGTCTATTGACAAGGTGAGGTAGCAATCCTGCCCTCCCCTCCCCCTCCACCCCCAGGCAGGGGACCTAGTGGTGACATGCCCTAGTGGTGAGGCCCACAGGCCCAGCTCCTCCTCCCCTGCTTCACTCACAGGCTGCTGCCTGCCAAGCCCCCAAGCCTCAGGTTCTGCAGCAATAAAACTGGGGCAATGACAATGCTGAGTTTGTGGCTGGCTGTATGGCATCACGAGGTGATTCATGGAATGGGCGTGGTGTGGCACTTGGCAGGTCTCACATAAAGGTGACCTGTGTATCTGGCCCAGGCTCATCCACAGCAAGGCTGAGCTTGAGTTGAGGTGGAAGAAGTATGTGTAGACTGGGGTGGGGGAGCAGAAGACAGTCAGACCATGTTCCACCCAGGAGGGTTGATACCAGGACATCAGGTGTCCCATGGTGTTTTCTTGAACTGTCCTGTTTCTGGCCCAGGATGTGCTTCCTCCCCTCCTGGGGCCCAAATCTCGGGAACAGACACCACCTAGTGTGCATGCTAGTAACTAGAAAGAGGGCAAGAGAACGCCCTCTGTGACTCCTTGCCCTGTCCCCAGTGATTCCCATCATTTCAGCTTTGATTCCTAGGAGACTGTATTAGTGTGCTGGGTCCACCATGCATAACAAAGTGCCTCAGACTGGGAGGCTTGAGCAGCAGGGATTTATTATCTCTAGTTGTGGAGACTGGGAGGCCCAAAGTCAAGGTGTCTGCCGGGGTGGTTTCCTCTGAGGTCTCTGTAACTGTAGTTGGTTGATGCCTCGTACACCCTGCCCTCTATGTAGTCTGCATCCTGATGTCTTCTTATGAAGACACCAGTCGTTTTGGATTAAGAACTACCCATATGACCTTGTTACCTCTTGAAAGAGCCTGTCTCTAAATATTGTCACATTCAAATATAATGGGGGTTTGGGTTCCACATATGACGTTTTGGAGGACACAGGACAGTCCATAGCAGAGTATGCTAAGATGACCTCCACTAATGTGTGTATAGGAGCTGAGGGGGCTGGGAATGTCTCTCCTTTGCCCCCAGGCCAGGAAATTTAATCCCAGACCTTGCTTCTTGCCCTCAGGGACTGCAGGTGGCACAGAAGGAGGCCCAGATCCGGCTGCTAGAGGGACGGCTGAGGCAGACAGACATGGCAAGCTCCTCCCAGAATCACCTGCTCCTGGATGCCCTGCGTGAGAAGGCCGAGGCACACCCTGAGCTGCAAGCCCTAATCTACAATGTCCAACAGGGTATGCATAGATGTGGGGAAGGTCTTGAAGCTCCCAGGACTCCCCCATTGTGAACCCCCCAATCCAGAGGGGTCTTTGCTTCCTCAAAACCCACCCTTCCAGAAGCCCTGGTCTAATCTTGGTGGGTGAGATGCAGGAGGGAGGCCGTCCTCATCTTCCCCTCACTCTGATGCGGTCTCTCTACCCTCTTTTATTCCTTCCCCCCATCCAGAGAATGGCTATGCTAGCACAGATGAGGAGGTGTCAGAGTTCTCTGAGGGGAGGTAAGTGTCCAAGCTAGGAATAAGGGGTGGCTGTCAGTCTGCACCTGGGCTGGGAGAAAGAGATGGCCAGAGGGCCCCAGGGCTAAGCCTGGATTTGGAGGCTGTTTGGGACTCACAGGTCTTAAGATCCAGAGAAACACAGCATAGGATATCAGGATTCCAAACTCTTTCTCTGCTTCTTCTTCAGCTTCTCCCAGTCATTCACCATGAAAGGCTCTACCAGCCATGATGACTTCAAGTTTAAGGTAAGCTCCACCAAAAGTCAGACAGTAGGTCGGGCAGGGCCAGCCTCTCTCAGCCTGGTCCTTATATTACTCTGAGTCTACCCCAACCTCCAGCCCCAACCCAATATTGTCCCAGATTGGATGGAGGTACCAAGAAGGATTTTGCTTGGAATTAGGGGGTGTCCAGACATATATCCTGTTACAATCCATTCTTAATGGGTAGAAGGTGGGAGAAATAACTAGAGCCACTGCTGACCTCTGTTTCCACTCTGCCTAGTGACATTGTCATGTCTAGAGGCACAACTTTAAAGAATTTCTCTCTCCCTCTCAAGACTCTCCCCCATTTTTTTGAATCAAAGCCTAACTAGATATCTAGTTATTGCCTGCAAGATAGTTGATTCAACACTTTGAGAGTCAACAATAGGGAGTTTCCTTAACAGTTGGTTCAGTTAGTAGTCTTAACCAAAACTCAAGATTTATTAAAGATGGAATGGAGAGAGTACAGTGAAAATGCATAGTTCTGGGGTGAACTGATTAGCTGGTGAGAAGCAAAGAAGTCATTCTGGATACTCTGCTAAGGACAGGAAGACAATTGTAGTTGCTCTGGATTTTCCAGAAGCCTGGAAAGTTTAGCTGTGCAGCACAGAGCACATCTCTGGGTGATGTATGCCTGGGTCCTTTTTTTGGCTTCTCTTCCTTGGGCCAAAGATTTCACCTGACTCCTCCTTTGGGTGCCATATTTGAGCAAACTGGTCCACCTAGTCCTTCTTTCCCAGGGTGAACCCAAGCTGTCTGCCCAAATGAAGGCTGTGTCAGCCGAGTGTCTGGGGCCCCCACTGGACATCTCCACTAAGAACATCACCAAGTCCCTGGCCTCCCTGGTTGAGATTAAAGAGGATGGAGTGAGCTTCTCCATCCGGGATCCCTACTACCGGGACAAGGTCTCACGAACCGTCAGCCTGCCCACCCGGGGCAGCACTTTGTAAGAAGGGGATCCAGGAATGTGGGTCAGGGTGGGCAGAGAGTTGGGTTTGAGCCTCACTGGACCATTCTGTTCCAGCCCCCGGCAGTCTCGAGGAGGCACAGAGACATCCCCTCTGACCCGGAGGAAGTCATATGACCGAGGGCAGCCCATCAGGTGAGAGCACGTTCTAGAATCTGCTCCAGGGTCACTGCCAATCTGGTGTGTGGGTGCAGGAGTGACACTCTGAATCTACTCTGTAGGTCATCATGCACACTTCTAATCTGACCCAGCCAGCCTGAGTCATCCAGCTTGGCCCACAGACCTGGCCCACCTTGTCAGGTGTGCGCTCAGGAAATGCCATTTTCATACAGGACCTGGAACTGTTAAAAACTCTGTATGAGGCGTACTCAACATAGGAGGCTTTGTAGTAGCTTAGATTGGTCACTGTCCTGTTGTACTTCAGCCCCTCTTCATGATCTTGGGTACTTGGGAGCTTCCACTCTTTTTCTTTTTAAGACCTCCTCTTGTGAAAGGAGTATAGAAACTCAAAACTCAGAGAAGACACCACAGAACAGTAGAGATCTCCAGTGGTCCAGGTCTGAACACTTAATGTTCAGATGTTTGGTGGCCTTCCCCAAGTCACACAGGTAAATACTGGGGAAGCTTGGCTCAGGTTGATCTCCTGCCACCTGCCTTGGTGGGTGGCAGAGGAGGACCTGCTCCAGCTCCCAGCCTTCCCTCCTCTCCAAAGCCTCAGCAGATGCTAAGGCAGTGGTGGGAAGGCTTTGAAAGGAGACTACACTGGTAGTCTCATAGACTTTGGCTTCATCTGAGAACTGAGAGAACATACTTAAGGTGCAGTTTGAGGGTTTAAGCCAAAATTCCTGATGATGCTGTAGAGGAAGGAGGGTTTCATCTGAACTTAATGATGACTTTCTAAAGAGAGGGATCTTGGAGTACTAGAAAGGGCAGGTCATCAAGGTCAGCTCTCATGGTTCACAGTACTTATGTTCTGTTGTCTCTGCAAAAGCTCAATCAGTGAATAAGGAGCTATTGTTCCCTGCAAGCCTCTGGTCGTGGAATTTTCGATAATTGGCCAGTATATTATCCTGCTTTATGTATGTTTCTTCTTAAAGACACCTTAGTTAACATGTATCATTGATTGTTAGCATTGAGCTCACGACCCCAGCACTATAACTCATACCCAAAGCTCATCCTAACCTACACATTTTCTCCACAAGCACATCCCAGCCTTCTTATGCTTAGAAACACCCAGACAGCACTTTGGCACTATGCTTGGGGACCATTCTAAAAATTGTAATCAGCCGGGCATGGAGAAACACACCTGTAATCCCAGACAAGGGAAGATGAGGCAGGATGAACAAGTTTGAGGCTAGTCTGGACAACTTAGCAAGATCCTATCTCAAAATAGAAAAAGTAAAAAGAGGTATGGATGTAGCTCAGTGGTAGGACACTTGCCTAGCATGTGTGAAACCCTGAGTTCAGTCTTCACTACCAAAAACAAATCACCATCAAAAAGTACAAAAAATGCAAAAACCAAACAAATAAAAAAAAAAAAAAAAACTAAACTAGACCATCAGCAGGGCCCTTGCTTCCATCATCACAGCCAAAACAGCCTCAACAGGGAACATACATGATGAATGACTCAAATTTTTCAGTTCTAATACAAATGTACCAGGCAGATGGATTGTGGGATTGCAAATGAATTTCAAACAGTAGATGAGTCTACAAATAAGGAGGATGGGTTTTTAAGAATAGCATCTAAGGCTCCCTCGGGGGTGGAGCGCTGAGGTTACTGCCTAACAGGTCCTATCTCATGAGCCTTACAACCAAGAGCCCAGCACCAGCAGTGTGCTCACTAACAGATGCTGCTCTCTGTCCCCACTCACCAGGTCCACAGACGTGGGATTCACTCCTCCATCATCCCCTCCCACTCGCCCCCGCAACGACCGCAATGTCTTCTCTCGTCTCACTAGCAATCAGAGCCAGGGGTCAGCACTCGACAAGTAAGAGCAGGACTGTGGGGTGGGCTAGGGAGAGGATGGGAGCCTTTGGGCCTTGCTGGAGGCAGAGGTAGCTTGAGTAGACCCTAGCTCTATTGTTTCAGCCTTTCTGAGTGATGAGTCCCTGACACTTCACTCATTCTGTACTGACAAAGGGCCTTCCCTTCCCCAAGCATGCTGGGACCACAGGAGAGGACAAGAAGGAAGCCACAGGGATGGGGACCCAGGCAGTCAAGAGGGAATGACTGAGTGGGGCAGGTACACCCAAGAGCTCCCCAGAGCTGCCCTTTTCATTTGCTTCGACTTTTCTCTGAAGCCCCTTCCTTCAGCTTCACTACTGACCTACTCAATCTCAGACGCTTCATGCAAGGCCTGATGGTCCTTGTACACTGTCCCAACAGACATGGCAGGCTCAGCTCCACCATGCTTACAGCCCCCATTGTAATACTGTAACCGATGTAGTGTCATTTCTGTTATGAACCATCCATGTTCAGAAGGCACTCACCTTGCTTTATGACCTGCTCTTCCTCTCTGATTTCATTTGTGCTGTATGTCAGCCCTGAGAACTGTCTTCCCCGTGTCACCCAAGAGGAATGAGGCCCAAAGACAAAGTAGCCAAGCAGGGCCCAGAGCTGGGAGCTTCTGACTCCCACCAGCCTCATGTCCCTAACAATAGGACTCTGCCTTGGGGAAGGGGGGAGGACCCCGTCCTGTATGTGTTCCTCTCTATGCTCCCCCAAATTGCTGGCCAACTCCTGCCTTCCGCAGCTCTCTGCAGCTGCCTCCCCCACCAAAAAAAAAAGGGGCTCCTCTTGTGGCTCCCTAAAGTTCCTTACCACAGGGGACAGTGATTTTGTGTCCTTCAGGGTCATCCAGGTTAGAAAGTGCTTGTCCTTGGTCCTGGTGCCAGATGTCTGCCATGCCCACCTCCCCACAGAAATGCCCATCCTGGGTCAGACTGCTGCTTCCAGGTCAGACCCAGCATACCTGGTACCCTGGATACATCTCTCCCTAAATTCACCTCAGCTCAGGCTCTCTCCAGGGAAGCTGTGGACCAAGCTACCATGGTGTGCCCCTCCCCCATGCCGTTGCAATAATCTGTACTCATTGCTCTTTTTTTGTTTTTTGTGAGACAAGATCTCACCATGTAGCCCAGGCTGGCCTGGAACTCACAGTGGAGTTCTAGCTGGCCTAGAACTCATGGTCCTCTTGCCTCAGCCTCCTGAGTGCTGGGATTATAGACATGCACCACCATGTCCATCTTAGACAGGCCCCTTTTTTTTGCAAGTGACTCTGCCCATTCCAGCCTAGTGGTCTCTTACAGGCCTTGGTCCTGTCCAGTGGTCTAGTCTTGGGATGCATCTTAGGAAGAGCCAGCATCTAAGTGTAGTCCCATTGGGCTCCCTGGGACATTGGGCTTTGTAAATAAGTGAGCCCTAAGGAATGGCTGAAAGAGGCTGCTGAAAGCAGCCGCCCACCCCCCTCCGCCCCCCTCCACCTCCCTTGGGTCTCAGGCAGGTATGAGCATTGTTGGGATGGGGCTTGCTACCCCCAACTTGCACAATGGGCCAGCTGGAGAGCTTGGAACCAGCAAAGAGCCCCCAAATCATCTCCCCACGTGTGGGCTAGTGTCCCACATCTCTTGCAGCCTCCTCCTCACTCCCACCCTGCTAGCTGAGGGACGCCCTGGTGGCCTGCTCCTGGGTGAGTCTCCCAGCTCCCAGGCTAGCCTGTCCCACCTCCTCTCCTGCTCTCCTTGAAGGCCCTCCTTCTGCCTCTCTCTGCTCCCCTCAAGGAGAATAACTGCCCTCTGACGTCCCCGCACTGCTGCCGCCTCTACCATTCCTCTGTGTGTGTTCCTCTCTCCCCTAATCCAGCTAATTTTCTGCCCTCCCCAGGTCTGATGACAGCGACTCCTCTTTGTCGGAGGTCCTGAGGTACACACAGAATGTCTCTTGTGTTTGGTTCCCCCTCTCACTCTCACTTTCTTTTCTCTCTCTCTTCTCTGCCTCTGGCTGCACCACTCCCCACCCCTCACCGCCTGCACACCTGTCCTCAGCATGCAGCCCCTCCTTTCCTAGCACCCTCTCTCCTGCCACCTCTTCCTGCCCCATGGTTCCTCCCTCTCAAGGTGGTTATTGCCTCAGATGGTGCCAGGCCCAGCTGGAGCTGCGGGCTTGGGGAGGGGCGCCGTTGCTTGTGGCTGGCCCTGTTCTCTTCTCCCTTCTGGCCTGGGCAGGGTGGGGTGGGGCATGGAAGCCTGGGGTGGGCTGAGGCTGGAGTCAAGGACAAGGAAAGGCTGTGTGGGTACTGCTGGGAACAGCCAGGCTGCTGGTCCTTTGATGGGTGTTGGTGGTGGTGCTCAGGGTCCTTGTGACTTAGCTTGTGCCAGTATGCAAGTCCTACAGACATTGTCCCTGAAAGGGCACCAAGGAGGGCACACACCTCTTGGCACACAGATGTGGGTGCCCCCAGCCAACCCACCATAAGGAGGGAATCTCAGAGGGCTCTCCAGCTCTCCAGACGCACACTCTGCTCCCCACATTCCCGTCCTGGTGTCATTTGTGTGTGCTCCTGCACACCATGCAAGACTTTTCACCTCAGGAGATATGAGCGACTGGCCACGTGCCAGCTTCTCCTCAGAGGGAGGGCACTCCTTTCAGCATTTCCTCAGTAGTCTTCGCCTACCTAGGCTCAAACCAATGTCACAAGTGGGGAGTGGGAACAGCTTGGGAAGCTGTTTGTGCGTGTGTCTGGCTGGCAGCTGGGCTCTAGTGGTGAGCCTGGCTGAGGCCACTGGGACTGTGGGATGTGTCACTTCAGTAAAGCCTGGGCCTTAGTGTTGCTGCGAACAGCATTCTCTTTGAAAAAGAACTGACTCGAGTCTCATCCCTTCCTTTGAGAGAGAGAGAAAAAAAATATCCTCAGAACCCTAGAAGGGCAGAATAGCAAAGTCCTCACGCTCACTCAGCTCAGCCTTATTTATGGGAGGCAAGCTGGTGCCATTCCAGGTCCAGACAACCTCATTCCACAGTAGCCCAAGCTTCTTAACCCCCAGCTGAGCTAGGGTCCCTAAGGGGATTTATCCCTTTGTAAATGACAGCCACAGACCTGACTATGCTGGTCCAACAGGAGCCTGGGGATGGGGGTGTGTGTTTGTGCGTGGGAGCACACAGGTGCCTAAGTCTCACTTCTTGGGAGCTACCAGTCTTGGGGCAGTGGCTAGCAAATGGAAGTGCTGTAGGTTGCTGGGAGTGCGATGGCCTGGGCTTCCTTCCCTCCCCAGGTCTGATGGTAGCTGCCCTCTCCCTCGCTCTTGGTAACTGAAGTAGCACGAAGCCAATGATGGCTGGAGGGGCCTATTCCAGAACTTGAGACTTCCCTGCCCTGCCAGGCAGCATCGGACTGGAACTCTCCCCATGCCTCCTGCCCACTCCAGCCATGCCTAGCATGGGACTCGATCCTCTAAGAGTGTTCAGGAGTGACAGACAGATTACTGTGTGAGACAGTTTCTCCCCATCCTGTGCAGTATTTCCCAGCTCTCAGCCCATGGTGATTGATGTTTGGCTAGAGGCCTTGGAGTCTCTTGTCATTCAGCCCTCCGCCCCTTCTCTGCCCCCTCTCTCCTGTGTGCCTCGATCAGCCTGGTCTTGACCTCCCCAGCTGACTGGCACGTCCTCTCTCCCTCTCTCCTGGGAAGGGGCACCATCACCCCCGTTGGAGGAGCTAAGGGTGCACGGACAGCTCCACTGCAGTGTGTCTCTGTGGCCGAGGGCCACACCAAGCCCATCCTCTGCCTGGATGCCACAGACGAGTTGCTTTTCACAGGGTCCAAAGGTATGTGGAGATCCATGGGACTGGGTGGGGTTTCCCACCCACCTCAACTTCCTTTGCTAGAGTGGGCTATGAAGGAGACAGAACCCAGAGTCCCCAGGAGTTGAAACTTTGGGGGAGGTGACTTACCTACCACCCTTGTCTCTAGGCTCCCACCATGTACCCCTGCCTGAGCCTTCCCTCCTACCATGCCCTGCTGTTTCCACCAGCACTACCTCTCTTAGAAACTTCAGGGATCTTTTCAGGTGCTTAACATCTCAGTCCTCCAACACCTCCACTCCCCTCCGTCACCAGAGCAGCTTCAGCTATGCAGTTTCTGTGACCTTGGCTGCAGGACTGCACAGTCCTACTACTGAATCATAGCAGTGAAGTAAAAAATGTGACTAGCAGAAAGAACAGGACTGTGGGAGGCTTGTGTAACAGGAACACAGCATATATAGGCAGTGAGGGGATTAGGGACTGTACATCTCATATACATTGTGTATGTGTGTGTAAAGTACATATGCACACACCTCCACAGCAGGAGGAGGATAGCAGTCAATGGAGGTGTGATTGAATGTTTCCAAGTTTTCCCACGAGATTAGCTTGCCACTTGTTCATTTAGTCAGCGTTGGCATTTGTGGGAACAGACATTGAAGCCTTAGAAATCTTATTTCAGCTCAGTACACCTTGGCAGTGCTCACAGAACTGATTGATCGAAAGTTCTTGCCTACTGCTCTCCCCTGAATTTTTTTGTGAGCACGTGGACACACATAAGCACACGTGCATATTTTTCTCTCCCTCAGACTTGGAATTCCTTCCTCTGAATTTGCCCACCTCTCCCTGCTAACCTTGACACTCCTCCCCACCCCCAGCTGCCTGGCCCCAGGGTGACTGTCATCATGCTTTTCCTTGCGGCTCCCTCCCCGTCTCCCACAGATCGAAGCTGTAAAATGTGGAATTTGGTTACGGGGCAGGAGATTGCAGCTCTGAAGGGCCACCCCAACAACGTGGTCTCCATCAAGTACTGCAGCCACTCGGGGCTTGTGTTCTCCGTGTCCACCTCTTACATCAAGGTTTGGGACATCCGGGACTCAGCTAAGTGCATTCGGACCCTCACGTAAGTACCCCTACATGCCTCACGGTGGTGGGCTGCAGCAGTCTGGGTTGGGGACAAATGCTTCCCAGCCCAGATTAAGCACAGCATAACCTGGCTACATGGGCACAAAGGCCCTTCCTGGCTGATGGGTTTGGCTTGACTCTGAGGGGCAAGGTGAGTTCCCTTGGTTTGGGGTCAGTATCTGGGGCGGCTGTTTGGTGAGCCTTTGGTCTGCATGGCTCTGACCTTCGTTCCTGTGCTCTAAATTCTGCCCTTTGAGATGAGCTGAATGTAATCCTAGGACACCAAAAGTGGGGGCCGGGAAGCATGGTGACACCAGCAGGTGGCAGCAGCCTCCAAAGCCAGGACGGCTACCTGCCTGCACAGATGAGTCACCAATGACCCAGATGAGTCTGTGGTTCTGAGCCCCAGACTGACCACCTCAGGCAGGCCCAGGGGAGACAGAACCACACAGGGACCCCTCCAAAAGTCATGCTTCGGCCTTACACAGTCTTTATTTGTTACACCTGTTATTTAATTTGATCCTTTAAAAGCAAGAGATCTTTGTAGGGTAGCAAAATTATTCTGATACTGCAAAGGTAGAGAATATCATTATATATTTGTTTGAACCCATAGAATGTACAAAACCAAGAATGAACCCAATGCAGACGAATGGCGTGGGTGAGTGGGATGCATCCATGTAGGTTCATCCACTGTAACAAAGGCACAATTCTGGTGTTGATAATGGGGAACACTGCCTCATGACAAAAGGAGGTACATGGGAGTCCTCTGTACCTTCTCAGTTTTGCTGTGAGCCTAAATATGCTTTAAAAAAAAATGACATCTTGGGAAAAAAAGTCAGTGGATGAAGAAACTGAGGCTCTGAAAGGTTAAGTGATTTTCACAAGGTCCAGGTTCAAAGCCAGTCTCCTGACTCGGTCCATTCAAGCCAGCCCAGGCACACTGGCAGGTCACACTGAGACTTGTATTGTTGGAGGCGGAGTGGAGCTCTCCTCTTGACCCCACTGCTATGGAAAGTGTTGATCTCCAGTAGTTAGGGAAGGGTTCCTGAAAGAAATAGTTTATCAGGACTGGTCTGAGTGAGGTTTTATTAGTTTCCTGGCCCACTGAAATGGACCGTCCTGACTTCTGGTCTTGCCTCTCTTCCTCGTGGGCAGGTCCTCAGGCCAGGTGATCTCGGGTGATGCCTGTGCTGCCACATCCACACGCGCAATCACCAGTGCCCAGGGAGAGCACCAGATCAACCAGATGGCCCTCAGCCCCTCGGGCACCATGTTGTATGTTGCCTCAGGCAATGCCGTCCGCATCTGGGAACTCAGCAGGTCAGTGAGATGTCTGAGGAGAAGGCTCTGAGGGGGCTCCCAGGTCCTAGTTCGGGATGACCCAGCCCAGGGTGGGCGGGACCTCAGCTGTGCCTCTAGTACCCCTGTGTGGTGAGCGTGTGCCCTTCCAGAGACAGGGCAGTTTCTGTCTAGCTCTTGATCTTGCTGCAAGGAAGAGAAAGCACCATAGCCAGGCCTGTCAGTTCCAAGGCAAGTTCCCTGCTGACCCAAAAGCCCCTCTAACCCTCTACCCCTGGCCGGACCTCTCCCTGCTGCAGGTTCCAGCCAATCGGCAAGCTGACTGGACACATTGGCCCCGTGATGTGCCTAACTGTTACTCAGACTGCCAGCCAGCATGACCTGGTGGTGACTGGCTCCAAGGACCACTACGTTAAGGTACCCGAGGCTGCCTCCACTCTGAGGCCTGTCTAGGGCCGTTCTCAGTGTTTCCTCCATTCTCTTCCATCTTTGCCTGCTGTTGCCTTGGGAGCACTTGTGAAAAATGCTGAGAATTCTGGGAATTCATGCTGCAGGAAGTATCCCAAAAAGGCAGGAGAGCATGTGCAGGCAGTTTAGAGAGGGCAGAGACATTTTGTAAATGGTGAAAAATTAAAAACAGTCTAAGTGTCTAAGACTAGATGGAAAATCCACTGAATGGGAGATGGTGCGATTATTAAAATGGTAATTACCAAGAAAGAAAAACCCATAAAGTGTACAAACAACATTAACTTGGTTTGCTCCCTGATTACATAGTTGGAAACTGTATGTGGTCAGAAAACCCGGAAGGAACCATACAAAAGGAAAATAGGATTGAGTGTGATGGTACACACCTGTAATCCCAGCTACTTGGGAGGTGGGAATGGAAGGATCATGGTTTGAAGCCAGCCCAGGCAAAAAAAGCTAGCAAGACCCTACCTCAAAAACAAGCCAGGTGTGATGGTGTATGCCTGTAATCCTAGCAGAGATAGGATGATCACGGTCTGAAGCTAAAAGTGAGAGACCTTACCTAAAAAACAAAGAAAGTATAAAGGGCTGGGGTTCAAATCCCAGAACCATTAAAAAAAATTTAAATAAAAACATGAAATGGGAGTGGTTGGACAGTACTGATATTTTACCACAGGCCGGGGCCTGCCCACTCCTCCCCACCCCCCACCTGGCCTTCCTCTTGCAGGTGTTCCAGCTGGGTGAGTGTGTGATGGGCACCATTGGCCCAACCCACAACTTTGAGCCCCCACACTATGATGGCATCGAGTGCCTGGCTATCCAGGGAGACATCCTGTTCAGTGGCTCCCGGGACAATGGTATCAAGAAGTGGGACCTCGAGCAACAGGAGCTCATCCAGGTGCGGGTGGGGGAGGGGAGGGAGGGCCAGGGCGAGTCCCAGGCATGTGGTTGGCTGAGCTCCCCACGGCTGCCTGCTCTCCACTCTCTGCCCTGCTGTCCAGGCTTCCCACTACCTTTGGCAGTTGCACGGTTGCCCCTTACCACCCTGCTTTCAGTACATGCTTGGCTTCCAGCCCTTGGACTGGACTATAAGGCACTAGATTCTTTTTCCTGGCAGTGTTTTCTTTTTAGCCTGGCCCCTCCAAGGCCTGAAGGCTTCTCGCCAGTGCACAGTCTGAGGTTTGAACCTGGGATATGGGGGCAGAAGACCCATCTCTGGGCCCCTGAAGTCCCCAACACAGGCCAGTCCAGCCTGGCTCCTAGAACCAAAGAGGCCTCCCTGCATGGCAGCTCTGAGGCCTGGCAAGCCTGGTAGCAGCCCTCCACCACTAGTGAGAGGAACATACGTGCTCCTGGGGCCCTTGCCTCCTCCTCACCCTCCTCCTCACTTTACCAACCCTGGTCCTCCCACAGCAAATCCCTAATGCACACAAGGACTGGGTGTGTGCCCTGGCCTTTGTCCCGGGCCGCCCCATGCTACTGAGCGCCTGCCGGGCAGGCGTCATCAAAGTCTGGAATGTGGACAACTTCACCCCCATCGGTGAGATCAAGGGCCACGACAGCCCCATCAATGCCATCTGTGCCAACAGCAAGCACATCTTCACAGCCTCCAGGTGGGTACGGAACAGACAGGTCACCTGTGCACCCAACCCTCTCCCTAGTGTAGGTAGGACAGCTGAGAGGCTTAGGACCATGCCCGTGTCCCCACAGGCCGGGTTTACAGCAGAACCCAGCAGCGTCCTTTCTATACCTCACCAGTGCCCACCATACTGAGTGCCCATTGAGCTGGGTACTGCACTGGGCAAGGTTGCAGGGAGTCATTGGGCCCCAGGCCAGGACTTGCCTGCCTGTCTCCATGCCCTTCCTGCCCCTCATACAGCAGTCCTGCTGCAGAATAGCCCTGCCATCCCCAGGCTACCACTCCTCCAGCCTCAGCTCTGGTCCCCTGTGCAGCAGCACCTAGGCCCACTATCCCAGGGGTGCTACTTAGACGGGTTTCTTCTTTTTCCTTCTTGTTCCGACCATGTCCCTTCTCTCCCTATCCCCCTTCCCGTGTCCTCTCGCCTCTCCTCTCTGCCTCTCCACTTCTCTCCCCCTAACAGTGACTGCCGGGTAAAGTTGTGGAATTACGTCCCTGGACTCACTCCCTGCCTTCCACGCCGAGTCCTGGCCATAAAGGGCCGCGCCACCACCCTGCCCTGACTCTCCCCATCTCTCTGTTTCCTCTCTCGTTCTTCCCCTCTTTCCTTTTCCCTGTCTTTCCCCACTTCGATCTGAGCTGCTTCTTCACGGTATGAGATTATTTTACTCTTTCTTCCTACTGTCCCTTCCTGTCCTGCCTGGCCCAGAGAGACTGCCCCGCCCAACCCTCTTCCACCCGCCCCTCTTTTGAGCATGAGCAGTGGGACAGAGCCCAGGAGAGGGGTGCCAGGTAGCAGAGGGCATGGTTGGGGCGGGGGACATTCAGGCCTGGATAAACCCAACAGCAAACAGGAAAGGCCAGAGGATCCTGTGGGGCCTCGGAGGCCAGAGGCCCGCCCTTTGCTCAGTGCCTGCCACCCTATGTCTGCCCTCCTGCTATGCAGTGCCTGCCTCAGCCCAGCCCCATGTGGGGAGGTGGGGAAATCAGCCCATCCTTTACTTTTGGGTGCAGGCAGCTGGGCCCACGTGGTAGAGCTAAGCAGCCCTCTCTGTCCTTCCTCCAGTGACCTGACAGTGAAGTTCTGGAGCATACGGCGACTACCAGTGGCCAACCCTAGGAGTTAGGTCAGAGGGATGCTACCCCTCCACCTGGCAGCCTGCACAGCATGGAAGGGAGATAGGCCAGCTGCACTGGGGACAAGAGGGTGTGACCCCTCTCCTGCTTTGCTTCTGCTCCCTTGGCCTTCCCGCAGGATATCATCCCCTTCTCCCCTACCCTGCCTCTTGGGAGCCTCTGGTGAGAGAGAGGTTGGGGAGGGAATTAAGCTGTGAAGCCAAAGAGCATTATCCGCTCTTCTCTCTCCCCCATTAGTACCTCAGCCACCCCTTCCAGGCCACGTTGTCTCCTTCTGAGCCCGCCTGGCCCCTTCCTCCAGGCTCTCAGCCCAGGGTGAGGCCTGGCAGGGAGGAGAAGCTAACCCCAGTCCCATCCACTCTCCCAGCCCCACCTCTGGAGCCACTACACCTGCCTCTGAGCCCAACAAGGTAGTCCTCAGGTAACCATGGAAACCAGCTGTAGGCAGCTGGGCCTTGCGGCCACCAACAATTCCATGTGGGCCTCCAATTCCCAGTGGGCCCCAACGATTCCATGGGGTCACTTCTGATGTGGTCATGGTAGAGCTACTAGGAAGGTTCCTTTGGGGACACAGTCCGGATACTTCAATTATTTAATTTATTGTTTTATTTTTATGTTTTACTGTTGCCTCCTGGAAGCTGACTTGAAGTTTCTTCCCATGTGTTCTTTCCCTCGGCTTTTGGTGGGGTGGCGGTCTGCTCCCCAGTGCTCCAGTACCACTTCCTGCAGGGGTGGGAAATGCCCCGTCCAATCTTTGCAGCTCCAGCCTCGCCCCAGCTCTGTCCCTGGGGACCTTTCCGTGCAGCCCTGGCCTCTCCGCTGCCCGATGCCTCAGTGCCTTCCTCCATCCTGGGGCCTGGCACCATGCTGGGCAGTCTTCTGCCAGCCATGCCTGCAGCACACGTTGTCTTCTATTCGCGGGTCTTGTGACCACCACCCCCAGAAGGTGGGGGAGCCCTGCCTGGTCCCGTAGGAAGCAGCTAGCTGGACGGTCTACTAGAAAGCCTCAGGTGGTGAGACTGCCCTGTACTTTGCCCCGCCCTCCCAGCCATCCTTGTTTTCATCCCCACCAAGACAGGGAGTCTTTTCAGCTTCGTTCTCTCTGGTTATTCTGGAAACAGGTTTTCAAGCCTTAAAATCAGCCTGGGGCACAACCCTCCCTTTTAGGTAGGTTAGCATGGAAAAGCAGTCCACCAGCTGTGGACTCAGCTCCAGGGATGGGACTGAATCAGTGTTCTTGTGCCCCCTGTTCAAACAAGTCTGAATTTACAGGAATGGGCCTTTGGGGGAAGGCAGCTGTATCCTTCATCCCCAGCTACCCCCCAAACCTGTCCATACTGTTTTTCCATTGCTTTACGGGACTTGTGCTTCCAAGCCTCAGTCTGGGAGTTCAGAACCCCAGCTCTGTTTGGAGGACATGGTGACTTGTGGACTGCAGAGCTGGTGCAGTGCTTCTGCCTTCTGCTCCTCATCCTCTGTGACCAGGGCCTGTCCATGTGGCCCCGGGTGTGGGAGGGTCAGGCCCTAGCTAAGGCTGGGTAAGGCCTGCCTTCTTTCTTCCTGTGCCCTCCCCGGAGCTGTCCCATGGCCAAGGACATTGTCCTGCTTATTGGTGGCCCTTGCTGGATGTGATGTTAAGTCTGGGTGAGCCAAGAAGGATGATGCGGCTTGAAAGCTGGTCCCCTGGAACCTGGACAGTCTGCCTGCGATGACTGGAAGTCCTTCTTCCTCTGCCCATCCCGCGGGTGCTGGGAAACTCCCAGCACTCAGAAGTGATTACAACTCTCACCCTCTTCGTCCATCCCCCGCCACACCTGAAAGGAAAGCTTTGACCTTGCAACCTGTAAGAAAGAACCTGTCTGCATGACTGTTTACAGACTTCAGAAACACATGAGACTTGTTCCCTGGCCCCAGGGCCAGGGCTGCCCCAGCTTGGGGCATCTGTACTGTAGCTACAAGGCCTGTTCTTGCACAAAGTGTGGGCTTAGGACCCCGGGAGAGGTGCTCATTGTCATTGCCCCTTTCTGCCGTTTCTAATGGGTCACTACCTCACGGCAGGACTGGCTCTGCTGTCCTGGCCGGTGTCATTGACTAAACTTGAAGTCCCTTGGGAGCCCTGCGGCCATCCTCCCTGAGCCACTCTAAGCTGCACTCGAGCACTGGCGGCCCTGCCCGCTGTTCCAGGACATCTGAGGTACATAGTCAGGGGCAGGCCCCCAGCTCCACTCATTGCACAAGCATCCTGAGTGTTGGAAGCACAAACTGGTTGTGATTTGAGCACAGTGGCAGGGCTCCTGGCAGGCAGTGTGGGCAGACCTGGGATCAAGAGGCCCTTCCCTGGTGTACCATGTCCCAATTAGACTAGGGATTCCTGTGTCTGGGGGTGGCTGCTGCCCTTGCTCAGACCAGGCCTTGGCCTGTGGCTTGTGCCTGTACTTCTGGGACTCACTGTATTAACTTCTGTGTCATCCTGAGACTTGAGGCCCAGGCCACATCTGTATGCTGTGAGCCGGAGGGTAGAACCCTTCCTAGGCCCCACACCCCAGGCCTTTAAATGCTTGACCACGGGCTGGATCCCAGTCACCCTGAGCCTGAAGAGCTTGGACCCAGGCTCCCTGTCTCCTGGACCAAGCCCCTGTCCAGGCTTCCAAAGCTGATTGGCTTCTACCTGGACACAAGGCATCTTCCATCCTCGCTGGCCTCGGTCCTTTTCAGCACAGTCCTGGGTCAGAACCCCACCTCAGTATTAACCAGTTCAGTGTTTGCTTCTGTTTGAGTGACTTGACTCCTCATGACAACCAAGATTCTTGAAGACTTGTCTTTGAAGACTGCCAAGAAAAGAGGCAAGGCAGAGAGGCTGAGACTGGCAGAGCGCTCCCTGGAAGTAGTCAGAGGGCACCAGCAGCTGTTTGGGAAGGGACATTCATGGATCTGGGAGTGGTCTCCACCCACCCATCCTTACCCAGCTGCAGCCTTGGAACCTCTCTGCCCTCAGCTGTCTGGCCCTTTGCCCACCCCATTACTGTGGCTTGAGTAAAGGACAATCTAAAGCACAAAACCACGTAGGGAAGACACTGAGTTGCTGGAACTTTCTCCTGCCACCCATATGGTGGAAACACAGGCAGGCAGCCACTGTGAAGTCAGGACATGATGTCTCTCTGCCCTACCCTCTCCCAGCTCTGGGGGGAGGGGTACTGGTGGAGTTTGGACTGGGTGCAGGCACTCCCCCTGGGTTGTTCAGACCCTGACTGTGCCCGATATGTTCACATGGGCAGGGCCTGCCCTGCTGGAGTGGTGAATTCCTTCCCACTGCCTGGCCCACACCTGTGGCATCTGTCCCTTTGCCATCTCAAACAGGAAACTGCTTGCTGCTTTCTTTGCTGGACACAGCCTCCTACTGGTCAGTGGCCAGTGCCCTCCAAAACCTGCCTGAGCCTGGCCCTCCCCTCTAGGTTCCCATATCTTCATGGCCCTCTTATGTGCAAGAACAGAATCTGCAGGGAAAGTTCTATTTCTTTGGTATCTTTATTCTGTCCCCTAAGTCCACCCCTCTCCAGCACTTGGATGATCCCACGACCCCCACCACACCTTAGTTCAGTCCTTCAAATGTGGGTCCGAGAGCCTTGCCAGAAAGTGGGAAGTAGACACTGCTCGATGGAGAGCCAAGGGTCAAAAAGGACCCCTGGTGTGAATTGTGCTCTTTACTAGCTGTCACCCCCTGCCCAAGCTGCAGGGCGACATTGAGCTCATGTGCCCCTCTGTAGTGTGGTAGCACAAGGTGTACATATGTTTTGTATCTCTGCTGATGACTGTACATAGTGTAGGAAAGTTATTTAAGCCTCATGCTGTACATTTCTGTTCCTAGATTGGATGTGTGTTCTAGGAAATTGTCATAAATAAAACCCAAATTACCACTGTCTGTGGAGGTATGACCCCCAACTGCTGACCTGTGGCTGGTGTCCCTTCTTTGGGAAGTTGGTGGGGGTGGTGGATGGGTGGAACATGGCCTCTGGGACTGGGCCCAGTCAGAGGACAATTTCCTAGGGCCTTGCTGAGTAGGGAGCAGAGGTTGGAGACTATCCCATGCTCTAGACTCGGTGTTGCCTCCTGGGGCCAGGGCAGTATGGTAGCTGGAAGCGTGGGCACCAGCATTTACAGAGCACCTGCTAGGGCATTATTCAGGGCATTTTTATTGAATCGTCTCTACCCAGTGTGACAGGTGAACTGAGGAAGGTCTTAGAAAGGAAGTGATTGTCCAGATTCACAGCTAGCAAGAGCAGAGGCAGGATTTGACCAGCCACTATCCCTGTTTATTTTCACTAACGTACTGCATGCCTTCCCTAGGGCCTGGAGCTCACCGTGTGTGATGCACAAGGAACGTGTCTTGTTCCCTTACTACGTACAGAGAGAAGACAGAAATATAAAAAGTTCCTATATTGAAAACAGTTCTACAATGGTTGTATTTTATTTCTGGATCAGTGCTTTTCAGACTTCAAAAAGCTATCTTCCCTTTTGTTTTTTTCTTTTTGTGCTGGAGATCAAACCCAGGGCTACCACCGAGTTACATCCCCAGCCCTTTTTATACCTATCAATCACTTCATCAGCTCTGGGGGATTCTAGCCCAGACCTGGGTAGAGACCCTTGGGATTGCCACATTGTCACTACCACCTGAGACACTTTGAAAACTCTGCTTTCTGTCTTTCACACGAGGAGGAAAGTCGGGTTCTTCTTTGCTTTCTTTCCCAAATATAAATCCAAGTGTCTTTTCCAAGCTACACAGGTCCCTGCTGCTTGTCTGGACCCACAGCTGTGATAGGATCCAGCATTAGTGAGTTCCAAAAGGGAGTGGGGAGGGATTCTGAGGGAGGATTCCTCCAAGAGGCTTCTGGTCCTGAAGCGGCAGTGTCTTGCTGAGTGGGAGAGACCTCTGAGCCCTGGAAGGAGACATAATGGCAGAGTATCCCCGGAGTCCAGCGGGCACAGAGCCCTCTGCCCTGGGGAGCAGGGTGACTTCCCAAGGATGGTTGTTTGGAACTTGCTGGCTGATTCTAACCCCCACGCCAGTCTTCTACCCCAACCTTGCTCTACACAGGGCCATATTTCATAGGATCCTGCGCCATGGGACACAGCCCACTGTGAACTGCAGGAAGTAACAACCAGGTGTGGCCAGCTACTGCCTGGCTGGTTGGGAGGAAACCTGGAGGCCAGGCATTGGTGAGGGTCTGGGGCCTTCTGTGGTTGAGTCCTCCATGGGTTGGCTCCTCCGCTTCTCCCCCTACAGAGTTGGTAGCAAAGTTTTTTCAAAAATTCAGGTCACCCTGTGTCTTAAGGATGCCAACACCCTTGGGAGAGGGCACATGATTAAGGGACTCTTTAATTTTTTTTTTATTGTGGAGTGTTCTCCCCCCGGATTATAAGAATAATATCGGCTTGCTTTAGAAAGTTTAGAAAACAAAAGAGCCAAAACTCTCATTTAGGATCTAAGCTACAGGGCAGCTTTCCCAGATCCAAGGAAATGGTCCTTCTCAGAATTTGATGACAACCATTCATTGTCTGAGCTGGGTGGCATCTTAAAAGATAATTTTTCCAATCCTCTCAATTTACAGATGAAGGGAACTGAGGTCCAGAGAAACCAACAGAATTAGCCAAGGTCAAACTGGGATAGAACAGCCCAAGAACCCATTATCTTGTGCCTCTTACTTTGGTTTGACTAAGGTGAGAGGGGTGACTTATGGAGGCATCAGAATGGTCTTGGAAGTGATCTTCTCCTGAAGCCCTTGCTTGACCTGTTAATAGGTTTTTAATAAGATCTACCATGTAGATCTTGCTTCCAAAGACCGTCCTTTGGGGCAAGGAAGGGGATGAGTATGATGCCCAGTCTTACGGTATTTCCATTTGGCTCCGTGTATGAAATGTTCCACTCATAAGGTTCCTAGTGACAGCTGGTGGCAGCTGATGTAGGAGCCAGGGAACAGACCAAAGGGAGGAGTGAGAAGAGCATTCTGGCCAATACAGAGACTAGTGTGGCCTTTGATGCCACCTTTGGGGTTGTTCGCACGCACGGCTGAGGGACTCCAGCTCCTAGGCCAGGCCAAGATAATGCTACAGGAAGTTGCATAGGGAGGGTATGAGCGAGCTGGGGCTCAGTGTGTTCCCAAGGGCTTCAGTGCAGGGGAGGGAGGCCGGGCACTGCAGGGCACGAGGCCCTGACTCACAGCTGGACAGAGCTCCAGGCAAGTCAGAGCATGCTTGCCCATGGCAGAGCTTTTTGTTTTAGATTATTGTTCTATTAACTTTGCCTAGGGCCTAGTGACAAAACGTCAGGAATAAAAGGAGACTCCCTAGCTGGGGGAAGAGGACTGGCAGAGGGGCAGGATTGGTGGCTGTGGGAGTACAAAACGATCCTATGTAGACTGAGACACTCCAGGGCCTTGCTATCAACCAGACCTAGGTGAGACTGATTTCCACAGGGGCACAGGGAGAGTCCGGTTGCAGACCCAGCCCTTTGGCATGGGGGAGGACACTTCTGGCTCTTTGGAGGAACAGTTACCAAACTTCTTATATTCAGGGATGAGTTTGGTCCCTTGGGCTGTGGTTTGGGCTGTGCCAGGAGAAGCCACAGTGCTGCTTTTATAGAACAGCCCTGTCTCTGTGGATCCAAACTCTGATCTGGTATATCCTGTGAGCTCACTAACAACCCTTTATCAATCACTTTCCCACTTCAGCTAGCCACAAAGGATTCTGTTGCTTATCATCAGAAACACTGCTCGGCTTAGACTTCTTAGCAAGCCCCTGTCTCAAAACACAAAACAAAATAACAACAAAAACCCATAGGCACACACCTATAATCCCAACACTCAAGACGAGACTGAGGCAGGGAGAAGATGAGTTCCAGGTTTGAGATCCTGTCACACACACACACACACACACACACACACAAACAGTGGCTGATAAAACCGGATTCTAGATTCCTTATATACTCCAACATCTAGTTCATAGTTCAAGTTGCTTAAAAGGAAACTCCGATGGCTTGGCTCAATGCTACAGAGGGGCAGATCTGGAACAGGACCAGCCTGACCTAGATGTATGCTACAGACAAGGCAACTCACAACCCATGCAACTCTATCCTCTAACGTCAAGAATTGACATTTCCACAAAAGTACATGCTTTCTCCTTTTATTGGCTAATTCTTCAGGTACACCTCATTTGTAGGGCTGGGCTCAAAAGCCTGTACCCCACTGTCAAGACTCAGGACCAGGCCTTCATCTGGGGCCTGAGGGTACAGGGTCAGAAGTACCACCTTAGGGGCCTCTTCCAGCAGAGGCAGGAGGTTGGGGTCTTGACCTGTAGCAGCTTCTCCCTAGCATTCAGGATGTAGAAGATCTGTGTGGAGAGGCAGCTGACCATGGAGTCAGGGTCTCTCTGCATGGACCTGAGGGCTAGAACACAGACTCTGCTGTACATGGAGTTATGGATAGAGAAAGTCTGCTGGGCTGAGCAGGAGGGCCCGAGACCCTACTAGGGGGAAGGAAGAGAGCAGTGGGATGGGGACCTGGCAACTTATAAAATACGAACAAGAGTCCACACTTGCATATTTACAATGAAGACTCCAAACCTGCCTTGGCTCGGAGACACAAGGCTGCTCTGAACCTTGTGTCTATCACCGACCCTTTTGGTCCTCTCACTTTCCCCTCCCTGCCTGCCCTCCACCTCCAATAGAATAGCTTTGAGTGAAGTCCTCTGTCCTTCAGGAGAGTTGCAGACAGGCACAGGACCATGCCTGGCAGCTACCACGTGAGGGATACAGTGCGGAGAGAGGCAAGATGGAGGGAAAGGAAGAATGTATGGAGGACTCATCTCAGAGGGACAGTAGAGAGCACGTGTACTATAGCACGAGCCATTATGGGGGCTCCCGAAAGGAGGGGTGTCCCTAAAAGAAGAAGTTGGCTATCTCTCCAAGACTGATGAGTGACCTTGAGCTCAATGGCTGAGAGGGTGAATGACTGAATGCAGGAGAAGAGGCTCTGGCTAGGGCCCCAAAACCTAAATGCCTTGGAGATGAGCCTTTTCCTCACTCCTTCTGGAATGATCATCTTTGGGAACCGTCCTGCTTGCTCTCCCTCATTTCTGAGTCTTCACACTGACACTGGTACCCTAAAAGATGCAAGCAGGGGTGATGGGGCTGCTACTCACCCAAATATGCTTCCTCAATTTCATCTCTCTCTTCCAAGTTGAGGGTCTGGAGGATCTGGCCTACAGGGTACACAGGAGGTACCTCAGTGGCTCCACAAAGGACCAAGGGAGCCCAGCTGCAAGTGCTCTTGGGCCTGTTCCCAAATGTTCACCATTCCCTCTCTCCCTCTATCTGTCTGCCCCTCCCTTGGCTACCAGCATCAGGTCTGGATTCTTCCCATAAAACTTTCCCTGGTTCCCTGAAGGGTTCTAAGCAAGCTGAGGTGGGTGAAGGGTAGATGCCTCTCTGCTCTGAAGAAACTTAACCCCAGGACACAGTGAACTCCTGTCTCTGATTTTTCTCCACAAGGCAATGCCCCCAGCCCTGATGCTTCACCATTTGGGAGCCCCATTGTCCTGGCCTCCTAGCACATGGCTGATTCTACTATAGGAAGGTTGCTTGACCGAACCAGGGACTCCCTGCAGTGGAAGAAGCAGGCGGAGGCAGTCCAGCACAATTCCTGTGGGTTCTGTAATTATGTCCTCCTAGGCCAGGTCCTCTGCCTGTTTGAAAGACTCTATATCAAAGACACAGAGGCTCAAGAAGGCAAAAGGCCATACCTGCAAACCACACAGCTGCCTGGCGGATGTGGACCTGTGGACTCTTGAAGAGGCCCACACACTGCTTCAGAAACCAGAGGGCTTTGTTCCTCTTCTGCTGCAGCTGTAAGAACGGGTCAGATGGTGTGAGGGCCTGTTGCCAGTTCTTCTGCCCCTCCAACAGTCTGGACACTAAACTGGAGTCATCCTGAGTGCAAAAATTCTTTCAAAACCTATATCTGCAGTCCTTGTACCCCAGCTCCTAACATCTTATTTCCCTCCATGAAGCTTTCCTGGATTGACCAACCCATAGGGATGACAATGTGTGCAAAGTCCCTGACACGGTGAGTGCTTGGTTCCACATCCCTACATTTGGCCTCACCTCCACCTGCACTCTTGGTCCCTTTTGTTTGCATAAATATTACCCTGCCTTGACACCTCCTGATGATGACACCTCCACCAGGGAGCTTCCCTTTCACTCCCAGTCTGTGCTGAATGCCCCTCCTTTGTACTGAAAAGTGCATTCTTTTCTTTCAGTCCTTCCCAAAGTACTCCAAAATTATCAACTTGTGTGCTTAGCTCCCCAATTTAGATAGGAAACAACAGAAGGGCAGAAACCACATCTAAGTGCCTGGTATAAAGAAGACATTAAGTATTGAACCATTGCTTTTGCCACCTCCACAAACCCACAGCTGCAAGAGAAGGACCCAAACTGCTGGGATGGCCACCCTCCCTTGCACAGGGCACAACAGCCAGTCAGCTGCTGGCTTACCAGGGCCCCAAGGATAATGAACACATCCTTCTTGATGAAGACTGCTTTGAGCTTTGACCAGCCCAGGATGGAGGCTGTGTAGTAGAGGCTGAGCCGGCAGATCTGGGGAGACAAGGGTCACACAAGTGGGCTGGGCAGAGACACTGAGGGGGATTCAGAAGGGAAACAGACCCTGCCCATTTGGCCTCAGTAGTATGAAAACTCAGGAAACAGACAGAGGTGCAGGATTAGGAGCAGGGCAAGGCCCATCTGGCATCTGGCTCTGCTGACCAGCTCTTTTTCCCCTGCAGAAGTCCAACTTTCAGCTTTAGTGATTGTTCTACTTCTGTGGTCCTACACCAAGACCCAGAACAATGTGACTCTGTATCTCATGGTCTTAGCCACACCCACACCACCCGCAAAAACAGTCTTCCTGAAAACAGATTTCCCCCATCTTTCTTTTCCCCCAGGGTCTTGCTGCTGTAGCCCAGGCTGGCCTGGAACCCTCAATCTTCTTGCCTCCGCCTCATGAATGCAGGGATTACAGGCATATGCCACCATGCCCAGCTTCCCCAAAATCTTAACTCCTCCAACTAGGTGGTCAATATTCTGCATCAGGGTTGGGTCTGTCAAAAACATCACTGCTGAGTCACTGGGACAGACAGACAAGGATAATTTCCCCCTTCAGCACTGATGGAGTGATTCACGTGGCAGAACACCTACCTAGCAAGCGTAAGGCTCCGAGTTCAAACCCCAGTACCATACACACACAAAAAATTCCCCCTTCAAGCACTTGTTCAGCAGCATCTTCAAATGCACCTAAATGGCTTCAGAAATGGCAAAGTGGCAGCTCTACGGGAAAGGAGTGCCCTGTTACACACCAAGTCAGTGGTTCCCAAGTTTTCTAACTACAGTACACATTTCTGGTTTCCAAGCCCATCACAGCCCAGGCTTCTTTGTGTCTAGCACACTGCCTCCAGCCCAGAGCTTCCTGCCCAGGTCACCCGATCTCCATTCAGTGGCCAAGCAGGGTGCAGAAAGCCACCTGGAGGCAGGGTAGCAGAGAGAGGAACTGGAGGTGTCCATGGGGTTTTCCTCCTCAGTTACCATACCCATAATCTTCTGCTGAGTCAATGTTCAGCAGGACAGAGCCAGGAGCTGGAGACAACTCCAGGACAGCATCGGGTCATCTGTATGGTCTTTTACTGACCCTCTCCAAGGTCAGATGTAGTGGGCTCCTTCAGTATCATGCAATCCTGCCACAGCCCCTACCTGAAGCTTACCCTGCTAACATGAAGCTCCCGTGGGAACTGAGTCTGAACACAGGCTCCAAGGCCTGGCCTCTCACCTGACCCACGTCCGTGTTCTCATCCTTCAGGTGCAGCACAAGCATGACTACCAAGTCAAGGACCTGGTGCCTCAAGGGAAAGACAAATACCCTTCTTGTCACCTTGGCCAGGAGATTTCCATAGATCTGGAAAACCAACAAGCGCAGATCCTCTGACTCCTGGGTAAGAAGACCAACACAGATGGGGAAGTCACCTCTGTGTCTGTCCACTGGTTACTCAGGGACAGGAGGCCCCCAAGCTGCACCTCCACCAACTGCATGCTCCTATGTGCATGCCACCCCTTGACCCCACACACAATCTGCTTTGGCTGCTCAGCAACATGACGCTCCTGTGCTGCTGTGGTCAGTCCTCACTCCACATCACTCCTTCTAGTGTCATGAGACAAGATGGCAGGAGCAATCAGTCTTTTGAAATAACTCTGCTCAAATCCATTATTGCACGGCTGCCTAGGGGAAGTGGCTGACCCGTGGGGTGCTTCACCTCTTCAAAGAAGGATGCCAGTGTGAAGGTGATCTGAATGAGGAAGGAAGAGGAGTGCTGCCAGGTTAGGTCTTGGAGGAGGTTATGTAGCGTCAGGAAGGTCTCCATGACAACGTCTCTGTTGGAGGAGTAACACCAGCTCAGCACATGGGGCTGCAGGATGTGGAGCCGCCTCACCTGTGGAGGGACAGCTCAGAAATTCAGAGATCTGAACCGTTTCTGCTGGCCACTCTCATTTTAGGCCAATCCCACCCCGCACTTGATACCAGTGCGCACACACTCTGATGTTTCAGCCTGGACCTGGGACGGGTCCAGACAGTGAGTGGTGGTCAAAGTGAGCTGCCTGGGAGGATAGTTGGACAGGTACCCTCTGCCTTCCATGGGCAAAGGAGAGAAGACAGAGGAAGCCCCACTTCCACTACACCATAAGGTTCCCTGCTTACTGCCTTCCCCATGCCTGATGGTTATCCAGTCTCCACAGACCTGGATGATAGGTCTGGGATCCTGGGATTGCCTGGGTTAGTCTCTGAAGTCACACATGGGACAACCTCCCTTTATTGGAAGTCCTTGGGGACTGGCCTCATGAGAATTTGCTCTCTGATTCCAAGAGTGCATCCTACCCCATCTATAAGTGGACACACCAGACCTCCAAGCTGATCTATTCCTACCCTAGGTGACAATGTCTCTTGAGAGCATCTCCTTGACCTCTGCCCCATTTACCAAGTTCTTGGGCTTTGCAAAGACCTCTGTCAGGTGCAGCAACAGCTTCACGGTGACTAGTTCCTCACACTTGAACCAATTTGCCAAAATGTGGGTGGCAATTTCATCCACGGTGTCTGACACATCTGGACACTGGAGCAGCTGGCAAGAGAAAAAGAAAGACTGAAATATGGGCAAGGAGAAAACAACTTTGATTCTAGATTCCTTGTCTTTAGTAAAGGAATGTTCTTATAACTTTGGAAGCATTGGTAGGAATGCCAAAGTTAAAGAGTAAATTCACACCCTACCATTCCAGTAGTCATTCATTCAACCCTCAAATTCTCTGTAAGCATCTTTGATAAGGGGGACTATGGGAGATAGAAATTAGAATTGCATTCAGTTCTCAAAGATCCCAACATTCATTTCAATTAGGGAGTGAAGACTTACACCCATGAACCATCTCCAGAAAATTTCAAGGCAATAGCAACATGGCACGAATAAAAAGCAAGTAAAAAATATCATTATGAATGAATGTTGATTAATCTAGGAAAGGAAGTGGAACTTGAGCTGAACATGAAGCATAAAGAGAAGTTCAATGAGCATATCTGTGTCTTATAGATAAGAAGCCAAACAATTCAATAGGACAATGGGTCAAGGGAACAGGAAGGGATTCACAGAGGGGACTGTGAGTGTGTGCCTGTGTCTGAAAGTTCAGTGGGGAATGGAGGGTACAGAGAAGCAAAGATACCATGTGAGGAAGTACTGCAGCATCGCCCAGGGAAGGGCAGTGAAGTACTGACCCAGCTTGAGAGGAGCGTCCCATTGGTGAGAAATGTTGGGTATGGGTGAACTAGCAGGGCTGAGAGGAGGTGCCAGGCAGAGAGACCAGTGTATTATCATTTGAAGTTGCTCCAGGCACAGGTAAGGAGGTCTGGACTTGGCCAGGACAGTGGGGACGAGGTAGGGATGATTATGCAAAGCATGGATCCATCAGAATTACTGACTTGCTGGAAAAAAGAAGTCAAAGACAGTTCCCTAGAATAATACCGTCAGGTCCTTATACATGCTAGGCATGTGCTCTATCACTGAGCTACATCCCCAGCTCAAAATAATACTTTTTAATAAAGGAGGAGAAAAGAGGGGATTGTTACAAGATCATTGTCTATCATTCTACAGCACTGGCAACTTGAACTATTTGGGCCAATGTCACATAAGCAACACTGACTCCGAGGCTGCTAGCCCTGGCTGTTTCTTGGACCCCACACTATTCCCCAAACATTAGGGTTGTTTATTTGTAACTTCTCCCAGACAGCCAAATAGGTAGACGCAGTTGAGAATGCATGTGCCAGTTAGTTGTGGTTAGAAATGAGCAAGCATGGACACTGTGATGTGCTCAAGTCAGCATGGCCCAGCTGGCTTACATCACACTCCAACCTGGGTGCGCCAGCCTGCGTACACCCCTGTGTAAGCAGTGACCAGCACGCACATCGTGGAAAACATCAGAAGTCAAAAGTAGGAAAGAAAAAAATGCTTCAATTGTTTTTTTTTAGAAAAGAAAGCAGTATGCATGATTTCATCTGTATATTGTTGTAAAAAATTATATTGTATGTAAGCCAGGTGCCAGGGGCTCATGCCTGTAATCCTAGCTACTTGGGAGGCAAATAGTTTGCAAGACCCCATCTCCAAAGTAACCAGAGCCAAATGGACTGAAGGTGTGGCTCAAGTGGTCGAGTCCCTGCTTTGCAAGCACAAAGCCCAGTTCAAACTCCAGTCCTACCAAAATACATATGAGGGTGTGTATTATATAGATTATTTAAAATAAAACTTAAAAAGATAAAAGCTAATCAGATACACTAAAAATGTATGCACTTTCTTTCACAAACATGCACAGGGGTGTGAATGAATGTGTATCTTGGTGTATATGTGACTGTCCAGCTCTCATGGCAAAGGAGCATCGTGGTAATTTCCCATTCACCCTAATTTACTTACCAGGATGTGAGTTTCTTAAATTCCATGAGCCTCAGTTTTGCTCTACAAAACAGAGGCAGCAATACCTTTTCCAGAGTTACAGTGAGAACTACAGAGTCTGGGCTCCCCATTCTTCCCTGAATTAAATTGGGTGAATTTAATTCCCTGAATTAAAGCACCCAATCCTTTCTGTTTTAAGTATTTCTACCATGACCATCCCAGGGAAGTAGATGGAGATAACAAGACAAGCAGGGAGTTACAAGGGTTGTAAAATATTTGAGACCTCTCACATCTTAACCTGCTGTCTTAGCTGGTGCTAAAGCCCACGCTTCCCCACCTGAAAGCTTACTGGTTCTCCCTTCCATTGCTGAGAATGGGTCTCACCCACCCCTAGTCGGGTGACCCCTTGCCTTTCCCCAAACATGCTGACCCCCCTCTCCTTCCCCAGGCTGAAATTCCAGTAAGGGTAGCAGGTGAGCTACTGCCCTTTCCTGTGTCCACTTGTTTAGGTGGGTACCATTCATCTGGGGGACCTTTCAGACTGGGTCTCAGTCCTAGCTGTTTCTAGAACACAGCTTCACACTAGGTAACTTCTAAATCAAGCCAAAGCCAGGATGCTGTCCCAGAGTGATTCAAATAGAGGAACTAGGCACAGGGTGGAGGAGGGGTGGCATCTTGGCCTTAAACTTAAAAAATCTCCCCAGAGGATTCTAACATGTAGCCAGGACTCAGAACTACTGTCCTGAAGAGAGTGGCAGCCACCCTGTTGTGGCCCCTACACACTTAGGCTTGTACCTGGTACTGTTTCTCAAAGCTGGGTCCAAGGACTTTCTGTACTACAACAGTCACTGGAGTGGTTTTAGAAAACAAAGACTCCTGCGTCCTACCCCAGACCTATTGAGTCCCAGACTCTAGGGACAGGGCCCAGGAATCTGCATTTTGAACAGCTTCCTAGGTGATGTGATGAACACTAATGTTTGAGCCCCTCGGCACTAAGACTTCTAGTCCTCGTACCATATGACCTACAGCCTTGAATGTGTATCTCAGCACCCCTCACCCACACACTCATATTACTACCAAAATCAGAACAAAATTTTGCAGAGAACATAATATGTATTAGTAGAAAATGACCTTGACCCCTCTCTCTCTTTCTCGCTCTTACACACACACACACACCCTCCACATAGGCAAAAACTTGGAAGGGGTTTCCTCTGGGTGTTGTGATGATTAACGGCTTTATAACTTTTTATATTTATATTTTCCACATTTTCTACACATTTTTTCCTGTCAGGTGACTGAATTATATTGAATCACTCAGTGGCGCCAATCAAAGATTAATTTTAAAAGGTTGATCAGGGCTGAGGCAGCTGCCGGACAGTAATGTGTTGTGATAAGTCAGGGCAGAGTTACATTGCCTAGAAATTCAGGAGGAACTGACACCTATTCAAGAAAACCTAATAAATTGTCACCAGCAATGTCCCCCAACCCTTCCATGAGGCGACCACAGACACCTGGCCACTCCTCCCCAGGGGTCCTCTCCAGAAGAGTTCACTGGGTATAGTTGCCTCCCATTCAGCATCTCCTCCCTCCCTTCCCTCCTGGTGCCAGTCACCTCGGTCAGGAACACCAGGGCTGTCAAGTGATTGGCGAAGTCTAGGTCCTGAAGGGTCTTGATGAGGATGCTGAAGATGGGGCGGTTGTGCCAACAGTTTTTGGTAACCAGGCAACTGCGAGTGCATGAGACACAGTGCTCAGGATGAAGTCCAGGCTGCAGGAGAGGACTAAGAGCAGGGCAGTTACTCCAAGCCAGGGGCTCAGGCTCAGCTCACCTGGCAAGCAGACTGACTCCTTCATAGTGTGTTTCAGGACTGACAAGCAGCTCCCAGGCCCCAAGTTTCTGGATGTAACATTCCAGGACCTCATACCCAGAGTGGCTCATCAAGATCTTCAGGGCCTTAATGACAAAACTGGGAAGGAGCAGGAGGCAGACAGGAAGTCAACTCTCACCTGTGCTTCTCTCCCTTCATGCTACCCAAGGACTCCTGCCCTCTCTGGGAATTCTGCACTACTGCTGGTGGAACAATCCTCAGACATCCAGGGTAACATCTAAAAATGATGCAATCAAGACCCAGAAGGCTGTGGGGTCCCAAGGTGACACAGGAAGCCTACTGAGTGGGAGGGAAGGGAATCCAGGACTGTGTGCAGACATCTTATTTTGACTTCACTTTGCTACAGAATCTCTGCATGGGCCTAGTGAGCCAGGTTCCATAAAGAATCTTTTGTAGGACTGGAGGTGTGGCTCAAGAGGTAAGAGTGCCTGCTTTGCAAGCTTGAAGCCCAGAGTTCGGACCTCAGTTCCACCAAAAAAACCAAACCAAAACAAGAATCTTTTGTAAAAAGTTCAGCACATCTCGAGATGACCTGTGAGTGACATGCTATGATCAGGAAGGTGTGAAAAAGGTGTTGTGTCCAGCAGGCTGGAACCCAGTCAGGTGAGGGTTTTGAGCCTAGAGCACACTGGCCCAGGCCCCAGGGTACCTGACAGGTTCCACCCATTCAGTTAAGCGTGGCCGATCCTGAGTGGTTTCAGCTCTCTCTTCAACCATGAGGGAGGAGAGCCGGAACAGCAGCCCTATAAAGAGGGAGGCGAAGAAGGTCTGGACCTCCAACCTCCGGCTTGGCTCCAGCAGCAACTCATAGATGGCTCTAGTGGCCTAGGGTAAGGAAGAAAGTGGGAGGTGTCATTGTCTTTATCATCACTCACAGGCCCTATCACCAGGAAGTCCCTTCCCACAAGTGATCACCATAACAGGGTTACCTAGTGACACCCATATTGCTTACAGCAAGTGAAAACTAAATGAGTGTAAGCCAGAAGGATAAAAGGCTGTTTCTAGAATGGCACTGTTTTAAAGTACTCTATCATCATGGAAGTTGCTTTAGTTTGTCACCATCCATGACAGTTAAGGAGGAGCTGGGGTTTTTACCTCACCTCAACGCACCCAGTGGGAACCAGAATCCAGTCCTCTGTCCCCTGGTAAGGCAGCTAGCTGGAACATCCCCCTCCAGCCTAACCCCCAGTCCACTACTAGAATGTCCCATTAAACACTGGCCACTAAAAGGTAAAAGCCCACAGAGGTCAAAATGGCCCAGCACAACACACCAGCAAGTCCCCTTCCCAGCCCCAGCCCCTCTGCAGGCCCCTCATACAATCAGCGGGGAGAGCTCTGTCCCGTGGCTGGGCTTCTGCTCCTTGGGTGCAAGGTGTGGAGTCAGCCTCTGCAGCAAATACTCCATGACCACTTCGTAGCCTTTTGGGAATGATGCCAGGATCTCCCAGGGTTTGCATATCCCCCTGCAGAATCAGAAGCCACCAACATGTTACTCCTTAGGTGACCTGCTTTCTACAGGGTCCACCGTGCTCCTTTGCCCAGTCCTCCAGGACAGCCCCCTGCTTGAGTTCTTCTTGTTCATCCCTCCCTGTATTCATATTGTCTCCTCTTCCTCCCTTCGTTCTGTTTACCATTGCATCACTGCAGACCTCCCTGTTCTCTGTCACCTGCACAGAGGTAAACTGGAAAATGTTCACTTGGCTCATGAGCCTGATTCAAGAAAACATCTGAGAACAAAGCCTGTTGGCCACACTTGAGGGCAGCAGATCAAGTTCCATCCCTGTGATCCTGTCCAAGTTCTCCTTACCAACCCGCCCCCTCAATCCTGCATCTGTCTTCCAGACTCCCCCTCCAGTCTGTAATGCCCATTGCAACCACATCACTCTGCAGTCCACATCTGGTGCCATCCCTTCACAACACCCATGCAGCCTTGGCCTAACTCACTCTCTTTCCTCTGAACTTTTATAGGTGTCTTTCCCTATGCCTAGTATAGCTGACCTCATCTAGACCTGAAAAACCTCAGGCAGACTGAAAACTATTCTCTGCAAATAGCATAATAAATTTATAAGCAAATTTGTTTAATATCCTCAAGAAGTCCTGGCCAGCCAGGAATCAGTGGTTCATGTCTATAATCCTAGCTACTTGGGAGGCTGAGATTGGAAGGATCATAATTTGAGGCCAGCTTGGGCAAAGAGTTTGTGAGACTCCATCTCAATGGAAAAAAACTGGGTGTGCACCTGTCATCGCAGTGATAGTGGGAAGCCTAAAATTAGAAGGATCATGGTCCAGGCTGACCTAAGCAAAAAGAGAGACCCTAGCTCCAAAATCACCAGAGCACAAAGGGTTGGAGGAATAGTTCAAGTGGTAGAACACCTGCCTAGCAAGTGAAGCCCTGAGTTCAAACTCCCCAGTACACACACACACACACACACACACACACACACACACACACAAAAGCCCTGGCCTTTTGGAAACAGCGGGAAAGAACAATGAGGAAGTGAAGTAGAGGTGCAGACACACAGGCACAAAATTTTCACGGCTGGCAGCATGCACTGGGTGCTTTAGGGACAAAGACAAAGAGACAGAATGGTCATCAACAAAGGGATGGGCAGTTAGACTGACAGCAACTTCTCAACAGCAACAGTGGAAAGCAGAAGACAAGAAGTTAAATCTTCCAAGAATTGAACAAAAGTAAATGTCAACCTACAAGTTTCCAGCGATCTAGCATTTAAGGCAGACTTGCTTCATTTATGGATAAATGGATGAACGGTCAACCGACCCTCAATAGAGGATAAACTCCTGAAGGACAGACTTCAAGGAGAAGGAAAAGAATTTCTAAGGAAAGCATGAAATGCAAGAAGGATGGTACACAGATAAAATGGTACTAGGCCTGTAAATCTAAACACAATTAGCGTAAAGAATGTTTGTAATACCACTGTTATGAATAAACCCGATATGAATAAAGAATGGGTAAGATGAAGTATGGAACAATCACACAATGCAATATTGCAAAACAACTTAAATGGTTGATCTCCTGCTCTAACAACAAACTGGATGAAACCTGGCAACAAAATATCAACAATTTGATGGATCAAATACAAAGTAGATTCAGATGTGATTTGCCAACCCATTTAATGAAGTTTGCATGTAATAGAGAGTACAAATTTTATTTTAAATATCCACTAAACATAAAGAAATTGATAAATATAATCTTCCTAGTTCATACACACTCACAAAAAATGAAAAGAAAATCTCAGGGCAGGCCAAGTGGCTCAAGTGGTAGAGAACCTGTCTAGCAAGTGTAAGCAAGTGTGAAGCCATAAGTTCAAACCCCAGTGCTGCCAAAAGAAAAAAAAAATCTTCATACATTCTAAAAAGGAGACAACTTTAAGATCACGCTCTCCAGTTATCTTTCAAAACAAAGAAAACAATGGCCAAAATAGCTAACACTTAGAGACTGTATAAATTTGTGTAAGTATGTCACTGGATGTTGTAATGGCATTTGGTAAAATTCCAAGTTAATTCTTGATTTAAAAAAAAAATCATCAAATACCTAATAGAACGAAACTTCCTGAACATGAGAAGAAATACTTTTTCAAAATTAACAAGCAGTCTTAATTTCCCTTGTTGTCAAGACTGAGCAAGCCCACTCTAGCCTCTCTCCCACTGGGGAGAAAAACACTGGGGAAAAAAAGCCTTTCTCCTTGCTGGGCAATTCATAGATATGTAGACAGAAAGTCAGCCAGAACATAGGAGACTTGAACACTATCAGCTTTCTTAACCTAATGTATAAAATACATTATGAAATAAAGTATATTTCATTTATAAATTAGGTTAGACTGTGAAAAATTAACAATAAGCAAGCAGATTGGAGAAGGAAGACAAAACTTGGAAAAAAAAAAACCCTATTAAGTTTCCCAGATTTTTTTTCTCTTTACTCCTGACTTTGACCTGAACATGGCCCCAGTGCTAAGCTATAGAGTGGCAGGCAGCAGGATCTGAGTGAAACTCTTTCTTCCTGACCAGAGCAATGGGAAAATGGGACCCTGTGAGTTAGGCAGAATGAGCGGAACCTTTGTTTCTTTGTCTCTTTTTTCTCCCAGCCCATCTGCGGTGACTCCAGTTGCAGAGCTGCAGAGCAGAAATAGTGCTGGCAGGGATGGTGACACAATGACTTAACTCAGGGACTTGTGACCCAGCAAGCAGGGGTGAGGGGAAGAGCGCTATTTTTGTTGGGGGTTTTGTTTGTGTTTTATAGACTGTATGCTTGTATACACACACATGAGAGTGTGTATTGAGAGGGTGTGAGTGGGTATGTGTGAGTGAGTGTACAAATGTGTGTGAATGAGTGTGTGAGAGTGAGAGTGTGAGGGTGGGGGGGGTGTCTTAACAGGGATCAAACCTCAGGTCCTTGCACAGGCCAGGCAAGAGCTGTACTACTGAGACACCTAGCCTCTCCATTGTTTCTTTTTCTCTCTTTTCTTCCTGAAGCTGTCTATGCAAATGCAGCTAAAACTCCAAGAGGAAATCCAGCTTTCCAGATGAGAATGGGAAAGATGCCTGGGAGTGAGAAAGCTAGCAAACTCTCAGAGAGGACACTGTGGGGAAAGGGACCTGCATTTGGTGTGAGCCAGCATGGGCCTGCCATCACCCTTGAGTGGCACATGCACAGGAAACAGCCCAAACACCCTGCGACAATGGGCACCATGTGGTGAAAGGAGAGAATCCATCAACCTGCAATTCCACTCAGTGAAGACAATCCTTGGAAATGAATAAATTACTAAACATTCCCATATGAAAGGAAACTATGACAATTTGTCACCCAAAAACCTGTTCTCAATGAAAAATTTCAACCTAAGGCTGGGGATGTAGCTCAGTGGTTGAGTGTTAGCCTAACATGTATGAGGCTCTGGGTTCAATTGCCAGCACACACACACACACACAAAATTCAAGTTAAAGAGGAAAGGTGGAACTTCAATAATAAAAAGCAACAGAAATTATAAATATTTGGGTAAATGCAATGAATCACTTTTCTCTTCTATATTTTATTTTCTTTTGGGCAATAGTGAGGTTTGAACTCAGGACCTTACACTTGCCAAGTAGATAGTCTACCATTTGAGCCACAAGCCCTGCCCTCTCCTCTTAATTTTAAAAAATATTTGTGACTGCCAGGCATGCTGGTGCATACCTGTAAACCCAGCACACAAGAGGTGGAGGCAGGAGAATCATAAGTTTGAGACCAGCTGGGCTACATAGTGAGTTCCAGGCTGCCTTTCTCAATCCTAACCCATACACACACACACACACACACACACACACACACACACACACACACCCATGACTACTGAAAGCAAAAATTATAACTTTTGACAGAGTTTCTTTAATATGTGTATATTTAATACAAATGACAACTATAACATAAAGCAGGGAAAAGTGAAGAAAGCTGTACATTGGAACTTTTCTTAAGTTGTAAAATATTAACTATGAGTAGACTGTGAAAGTTTAGGTATGTAAATTCCTAATAATCTAATAAAAATTGATATGAGGAGTCAAAATTCAATGGATTTCTAAAACATTTCGAATAATTCAAGAGGATGCAGGAAAGGGGAATGTAAGAGATGAAAATCAGAGATACAAATGGAAAACAAATAATAAAATTATACATAAATCCAAACATATCACTAATTACATTAATTGTAAATAGTCTAAATATACCAACCAAAAGGCAGAGATTTCAGTTTGGAGAAACATACAAGATTCAACTATCTGCCATATATAAGAACTCATTTTAAATATATTAGTACAGATAAATTAGAATAAAACAATGGACAAAGATATGGCATGCAAATATTAATCAAAAGAAAAAAATGGTGATATCAAGATTATACAAAATAAACTTCAAGACAAAGAATATTACCAGGGATGAAGAGAGACATTAACTAATAAGACAGCCAACTTGCCAGGAAGATGTAGCAGTCCTAAGTGTTTATGCTCCCAACAATCGACATGAAGCAGAAAGTGGTAGAACGAAGGGAGAGATGAATCTATCACTATACTTGGAGACCTCAACATTCTTTGCTCAGTAATTGACAGAATACATAAGCAGGACATCAGCAAGGCTATAGAAGTCTTGAACAGCACAACCAAGTATCTTACCTCATTCATAAAACACTACAGAGAGTAGTAGAATACACATTTCTGCAGGGAGCATATGGAACACTCACCATGATATGTCACGTTCTAGGCTGTAAAACAAACCTGAACAAATTTTAAAGAACAGAAATCATATAAAGTATGTTATCTGGCTATAATGGCTTTAAACTACAAACAGTAACAGAATGATATCTGTAAAGCCACTCAAATATTTGGAAATTAAACACTTCTAAATAACTCAGAGGTCAGAGAGAAAGCATCAAGGGAAGTTAGAAAATACTTTCTAACTAAATGGAAATAAAAATACAACACATTCAAAATTGTTGTATGTGGCTGAAGTTATGTTCAAAAGAAAATTCATATATTAAAATGCTTATTTTTAAAAAAGTTCTCAAGTCAAGGGCTGGGGATGTAGCTCGTGGTTTAGTATTTGCCTAGCATGCATGACATCCTGAGTTTGATCCCCAGTTCCACAAAAAAAAAAAAACTTTCAAATCAGTAGTCTACATTTACTTTCAACTTCAAAAAATGAGCAAATTAGCCAGGTATAGTGGTTGTGGCAGGAAGATTGCAAGTTCAAGGAAAAGAAAAAAAATGAGCAACCTAATAGGTAATCTGAATGGACTTAACTTCTAAGTTCAAGCTGTAGACTAAAAACTTTCAACAAATAAAGTTCTTGGACTAGATGGTTTCACTAGGGAATTCTACTAAATGTTTAGAAAAAAATTAATACCAATTTTCTATAAACTCATCCAAAATACAGAAGATAAGAGAACACTTCTAACACAACATTCGGAGTTCAACATTCCCATGACACCAAAACCAGATAAAGGCAGTACAGGAAAAAAGAAATAATGAAGGAAAAACTACAGACCAAGATCTTCCATGAAAAAGTTCTCAACAAAGTAGTACATTGAACCCAGAAATATCTAAAAAAGATATGTCACCACCAAATGGGTTTCACCCCAAGAATGCAAGTGACTCCTTAGTCCAAAAATGTAATTTATCATATTAACAGGATGAAAAAGGAAAACCATGTGTTCCTTTCAAAAGATGAAGTAAAAAAAATTGACTAAAGTCAATTTTCATTCATGATAATCACTCTCAACAAACTAAAAATAAAAAGGAACTTTCAAAGAACATTTTATAAAAACCTGGCTTCTGGGGAGTGGGAGAATACCTATCAGCTAGCATCATACTTAATTGTGAAAGATTAAAATTTTTCCTCTAAGACTGGGAAAAAACCAAAGATGTTCACTCTCACCACTCTTCCTCAACATTGTACTAGGAGTCCTATCCATTGCAATAAAGCAAGAAAAAGAAATACAAATTAGGAAGAAAGAACTAAACATTATCCCTATAAATGACATGGTTATCTATGCAGAAAATTCCAATGAAACTACAAAAAAGCTCCAAGAACTAATAAAGCAAGCTTAGCACATTGCAGGATATAAAATTGATATACAAAAATTACTATTTCTGGAGGTGCGGCTCAGTGGCAGAATGCCTGCCTAGCAAGCAAGAGGCCCTGAGTTCAAACCCCAGTACTGCAAAATATTTGTGTGTGTGTGTGTGTGTGTGTGTGTGTGTGTAAAAGTACAAAGCTTCTATAGGAAAACATGGGGGAAACCTCTGTGACCTTAGACATGATCCATAAGGAAAAACAAGATAAATTGGACTTCATCAAATTAAAATTTTTATACTCAAGAAAATGAAAAGAAAATCTACAAACAGGAGAAAGATTTGAAAATCATATATCTGACAAAAGACTTGTGTCTAAAATATGAAAAGAACTCTCAAAACTCATCAAAAGAGAAACAACCCAATTAAGAAATGGGTAAATATTTGAATACTTAACTAAAGAAGATAGATGAGCTAGAGTGAGGCTTGAGCAATAGAGCACCTGCCTAGCAAGCACAAAGCCCTGAGTTTGAATCCCGTTACCTCCAGAAAAAAAAAAATCAGAAGCTATACAAATGGCAAACACATGAAAGGATGCCCATCATCATTAGTTGTAATTAAACAAGGAAAATGCAAATTAAACCACAATGAGAGTCTATTGCACACTTGTTAGGGTGGTCAACTTTTTAAAATAACAGTATCAAGTAGAGCAAGAATGGACACAGCTAGAAATTATTTATTTCTGGTGAAAATGCAAAATGCTACAGATACTGTTTTTTTAAAAAAATTGGCAGTTGCTTTTAAAGTTAAACATACACTCCCCATATTGTCCTGCAATCCCCTTCCTAGGAATTTACCCAAGAGAAATGAAAAGTTACATTTATACAGAAGACCATATAGACATGCTTATAGCAGCGTAATTAGTAATTACCAAAACACAGAAACAAGCCAAACGATAGGTTGTGGTGGAGCTGCACAATGGGTACGGATGGAGTACTTTTGAGCAATGAAAGGAATGACCTGACACAACCCAAGGTGAGTCCCAAACTGTCATGCTAAATAAGTGAAACCAGGTTCAAAGTGTACATATGATATGATTGCAAGTGTGTGACATTCTGGAACAGCCAATGACAGGTTAGAGAACAGAGCAGGGGTTGCCAGAGGCCGGAGTGGGAGAGGGGTTGACTCCAGAATAGCAGCACGAGGGCACTGTGGGGGTAAAGGAAAGTCACCTTGCTGTGGTATTGGTGATCGTGACCATCCATTGGAGAAAACTCACATACCTGTACATCAAAAGGATGGATTTTACAGCATTACATTAACGTTTAATTTAAAAAACAAAACAAAACAAAACGAAAGAAAGCTGGGTGCAGTGGCTCAAGCCTATAATCCTAGCTACTGGGGAGGACTGTAGCTCAAGGTCAGCCCAGGCAAAAAGTTCCAAGGCCCCATCTCAACCAAGGGTTGGGCATGGTGGTACATGCCTATTATCTCCAGCTATGCAGGGAAGCACAGATAGAGTTGTGTTCCAGGCTGGCTCAGGAATAAAGCGAGACCCAATCTCAAAAATAATCAGCACACAACATACACACCAAAAGCAAATTGCAGTGTAATATATCCATGCAATATAATATCAGGAAGCTGTTAAAATTATGCTTTCAAATGATGTTAGCTTGGAAAATGCTATAATAAAATGTTAAATGAAAGAACATCCAAATTGGTAGCTACAGTATGAACTTGCCTGTACATGTCTAAACACCAGTGTTAAGAGGTGGAGAAATTATAAATTTATATGCCTGTGATAATTATAAATTATCTTCTGTGACAGCAGAAGGTGCATTTGGGTGAGATTTAATCTTTTGGGTTTGGTTTTTCTAAATTTTATACGCTTTCCAGTTTTTCTGCAACACATTTTACCACCCTTAGAACCCCTGCACCCCACAACAAGTAAGAAACTATTAAAGTTGAATGCACTTTAAGGCAAAGCAAATAAAGAGCTTGGGGCTGGCGAACCTGCAGCCGGCAGGGTGGCTTACTTCTGCGACTGGTCCTGCATCTTAAAGAGCGTCAGGATAACCTCGTCAGGGTAGCTCTGGATCAGCAGGTAGAAGACCTTCTTCACAGTGCTCTGGGCCGTGGTGTCCCTGATGTAGCTCAGGTGAGTGTAAATGTACTGGATGATTTCCGACACCTGAAACGACGGGGAGAGAGGCTTTTTCCTAACTCTTGACACAGTGCAGCAGGCACGCAGTTAGGGTGCCAGGCTTCAATCACCACACACGTAATGTGTCTGGGCCAAGGATGTCACTGTCCCGCTGCACTTTGCCTTGGCCAGCCGCTCCCACAGGACCATGGGCCACCGTGGTCTCTATTCTTGAAGAGGGGCAAATAGAGAGCAGCCAGGAAGAAATGACCAGAGCCACGTCCAGAAACCATGAAGGATGAAGGCAGAAGCTGAGGATGGGTGACTCAGAAAAAGGAGGATGGAACATCGGACTGCAGCTCCTTCAAATCTTAAGACTACGATGGAGGGAGGGCAGGGTTCGTCCTTGCTGTTCACTGGGCTATGGACCAGAGGCAGTCTCCTAGTGCTGAAAAAACTTCTCTTGTCAAGGCTCATGGCCTCTGAACCTTTCCCCATTTCTTTTCTTTTTCTTTCTTTATTTCTTTTGGCAGTACTAGGGTTTGAACTCAGGGCCTCGGGCTTACTGGTTAGGTGCTCTACCACTGGAGCCATTCCTCCAGTCCATTCTAGTTCTAAAAAGAAAATAAGTACTTCCTCACAGACCTGTTGTAAGAACTAAATAAAGTAGCATGTAAATGAGCCTAGCACAAGGCTTCACACCTAGTGTTAGCAAAACCTGAATGTTAGCTGAATTCTATGACCCCCAGAGGGCAAGCCTGGGCCAGCCAGAGGGAATTAGGAGGCGCAGATCCCAGCTTAGAACTCCCTGAGGCTGAAAATGTCTCACCCTTGCACCATGTGGGTGGGAGTGTAAACTGGTAAAGGTGTCATGGAAACCAGTGCAGAAGTGTTTCAAAAACACAAAACTAGACTACAGATGACCCAGCCATCCCACCACTATACCAAAGGAAATGAAGTCAGCGTAGTACAGAAGCATCTGCTCTCCCATGTTCATTCACTGTTCACACACAGCCAAGAAATGAAAACGGCCTACGTGTTCAACAGATGAATAAAGAAAATGTGGTATACAAACATAATGGAGTAATACTCAGCCTTAAAAAAGAAGGAAACCTAGGGCTAGGTATGGTGGTGCACAACTGTAATCTCAGATACTCAGGAGGCAGAGATCAGAAGGATTGTGGTCCAAGACCCTATCTGAAAAATAACTACAGCAAAAAAGGGCTGGGGTACTTGGTCAAGTGGTAAAGAGCCTGCCTAGCAATCAGGAAGACCTGAGTTCAAACCCCAATACTGAAAAAAAGGAAAAAAAAATGGCAAACCCATTGAAGAGAGCAGAACAGTGTTAGCAGGGGCTCTAATTGATGACAATATATTATATGCTAGAAAACTGCTAAGAGAATAGATTTTAAATATTCTCACCACACCAAAAAATAAGTATCTAAGTTAGTGGCTTGACTTAGCCATTTCACAATATATATAAAAACACATTGTATACCATAAGTATATATAATTTTTATTTATCAATTAAAATACATTAATTTTTTTGACAGCACTGGGCTTTGAACTCAGAGCCTCACACTTGCTAGGCAGGTGCTCTTACTGCTTGAGCCACTCCGCCGGCCCATAACAATGCATTTAATTTTTCAAAGTAAGGGGTTCACAAATAGAAAACGAGCTGTGGTTTTAGGTAATGAGCCCCTCAGTATTGCTGTGGCATTGTCTGGCTGACCGTGGTGGGGAGGGAGGCTCTAGATAGAATCCCAGGCACCCGGGGGAGGCTGGAGTAGTTCACTCCTGAGTATCTTCAACTCTGGGGCCATCACTTGTCTGCTCTGAGGCAGAGCTCATCAGGAGGTGGATGAGGATAAGACCAGGATGAGGATAAAGCTGAAGAGTGGATTAAGCCACCATTACAGTGCCAAAGGATCTTTTTAAATGTGATAGTAGAAGAGATGAGAAGCTATGCTGTCTTCATTTTCCTGAGGACCAGTTCCACCTGTGACACGGAGTCTGCATTCCACTTATGAGGTCAGTGTCTCGTAAATGTGCACACACACGAACACACAGCCAGTCCCTACTTCAAATTCTGAGCTGTCCTCTTTTCCTGGGAAAGTGACATGTGTGATAAGTGGTACTATACCCTCTCCTGCTGCTGGGTGGTGGCAACAAGCTGCAGCTCAAGTCAGCCTTGACCCCAGGGAAAATGGCTGACACTGCGATGTGCTGTGTGGCAAAACAAGGACATTCCACAGGCTAAGTGTTTGAAGTGCCTTTTCCATGTGCAAGATTTTCAGCTCACAGTATTGGGACATTTCCCTACTGTAAGTCTAGAAGCATCTGTCTATGTCTACCTACATCTACATCTGTATCGGTGTCTGTGTCCTTATCCACGTCCATGTCCTTGTCACTGTCTCTGCATCTGTGTCTACATCATCTGGGTCTATATGCACCCTGTCTTTGATCGTGACTTCCCCCAGGTGGATAAAGAAGGTGCTTACACACTTAACCTGTGCACACTGTCTGGAAACAGGAGGGCGCCTGAGGTCTCTCCTGGTCCTGGAGCTCCTAGCAACTTGCTGCTATAACTTTGACTCAATTTCTCCACCTCATTCCATGCATGGAAATGCTTTTAGACAGCTACAAAAACTCTTCATTTAGCCTTTTTTTCTTCTGGGTTAAAAGATTTGAATTGCTTAAAGCTGGTTGGAAATAAAACAGAACAAGACCCCAAGACAGAATGGAAAGGAAGAACCCTTAAATAGGCCTGGAAGTCCCCGAGAGGCTACCTTGCTGATTTCTGGAATTGCTGACTTCAGGATCATCCTTAACACCTTGGAGGCTGCACGAATGTTATGACTATTGGAACTGGTCATGGCCTCCATGGCTAACATGATCACATCGGCTCTCTCTGTGGGGGTCAGGTACTTCCTGAAGAACTAAGGAAGAAAAGAAGATCTGTCTTCCTAATTCCAGCATCCCACTCTGGGGTTACCCCAAAACCTCTGGCCCCCAGAAAGACCAATCAACCAGGGTCCCATGGAGGCAGGTCCCAGGAAAGCATGTTGCTATCCTATGGCCAAGCTCCAGAGTGCCACCAACTCTGAGACCCATAAAGGAGCAATGGTTCAGACAAAATGACACAGAGAACAATGCCAAAGGTGTTTCTGTTTTGAACTTGGAGTGCCATTAGGCAAGCCCATTTCTGCTTTGTAAAGCAGAGCTGCACATCCATGTGAAGCTCATGTGTTCAGACAATATTGGTGCCAGCTCTGTGCCTGGTTCCATTGGTGAGAGCTGGGGCAGACTGTGATCATGACACCAGATGCGTTTGCCCCCAAGGGACTTCCCACCAATGGGGATAGTGAAGGGGCAGAGCTAGTGCAGTGTGAGAAATGCTGCTAAGGCCCGTGAATAGGTACTGAAACCACAATAGTCAGATTAGAGATGGCTCCCTGGAGTGAAAAAGGGAAAGGGGAAAGAATTCCAGGCAAAGGGCAGAAGGTGTAAAGGCCAGAAGTGGCCACTCCTTCTGACTCCTGTGTCCTGCTCGGGAGACCTGGGCCGGTGGAAAAGGAGAACTGAGGAAAGATAAGGCAGGACAGTTAAAGCATGAGTCAGATCATGAAGGGCCTCGTGGGCCAGGTGAGGAAGCTCAGACTTAAGAATAACAGGGAGCCTGCCGCCGGGTGCCAGTGGCTCACACCTGTAATCCTAGCTACTCAGGAGGCAGAGATGAAGAGAATCATGGTTCAAAGTCATCCCTGGGAAAATAGTTTGTGAGACACTATCTCACTACCTTGAACAAACCCTTCACAAAAAAGGCTGGTGGAGCAGCTCAAGGTATAGGCCCCGAGTTCAAACCCCAGTACCACAAAAAAAAAAAAAAAAAGAGTTAACACACAGGCTGAGGGGATACAACAATGAGGTTTGTGTTTTAAAAATAGTTTTCTGACTATAACATCGAAAATGGTGGAATGGAGGCATGTCAGGAAACAGGACAATCTTAACAAAGAGGCTGTGACAGGCCTTGGGAAAGAGACGATGGTGGACTGATTGGGAATGGCGAGGTTGGGGCTGGAGTGGGATAGATAGATCGGAAGGCGGCTTGTGGGGAAGGGTGGACAGACAAGATACTACATTAGACATGGAGAGGGGGGAGAGGAAGGGACGCAGGATGAGTTCTGGATTTCTGACTGGAGTGATTTGGGCAGATGGGGCTGGGGACACCATACCTAAGATATCCCATACACTCTTGCTGAGTGGGTTAAGTTAGAGCCGGGCCACAAGTAAAGGCATCTGGGTACCTAGCACCAGCTGCACATGGAGAATAGGGTTGTCTGTACTTCCTAAAAACTCTCTCAAACTTCAATCAACTCAAATGCTGCTGGGAAAATGCACCTAACCCATCCAGCCTACTTCACTTTGACCTTAAACTTTGGAGACCCTTGTCTGTGGCCCCACCCAGGCCCTCTATAATCCCCCCACCCTGCCCCAGGCATCCCAGGTACTGTGAAGAGCAGGTTACCAGCGTGAGATCCTGCATGCTGGCGAACCATTCCCTGCGGAAATGCTTCTGTAACTCCTTCAGCATGATCTCTGTCTTATGTTTCGAACCTCCAATCCAAAAATGACAATTAGGGGGCAGAGCCTTAACAGAGAAAAGGGAACACATGCCTCCCTGACACTTTGCTGGCTCCCCTCTGAACCACAGAGAGGCCAACAGAGTTAAATGGATGAAACTACATTAGCTCAACAGAGTGGAGACAGGGCCAACGGGGAAGGGAGCATGTGGTTGGGGACTCAGCCTGACCACTCTCAGCCACTATTCCTGCACCATGCCAGAGTGCAGACTGACTGCACCCCTGCATACTGGGCAAAGTGCACCCCTATTGAACCTCAAGAAGCCAGGGCTGCTGGGCGTGGGTGGCTCACGCTTGTAATCCTAGTTACTCAGGAGGCAGAAATCGGGAAGATAGCAGTTCGAAGCCAGCCCAGGCAAATAGTTCACGAGAGCCTATCTCAAAAAAACTCTTCACAAAAATAGGACTGGTGGAGTGGCTCAAGGTGAAGGCCCTGAGTTCAAGTTCCAGTACTGGAAAAAAAAAAAAAAAGCTAGGGTTCCTGAAACTTTCTTTAGGGGATATTCACAAAGTCCCCTAGAAACTTTCTGTGTGGGTCTGTCTGTATGTTTGGTTTTCCTGGGGCAGAGAGGGACTAAATTAAGGATCCCCAAATTTTCCCTCTGAGAAGGGACACTCATTTCCCCAAGTTTATGTCTAGCAGTAGGTATGGGACATCTGGGAAATACTGAGGATCCAATTGGTCCCATAGGTGGCTGCAAGCTTAGCTCTCTCTTTATCCCCCAAAATCTTTTTTATTAAAAAACGTTGTATCAGGGATGGGTTTGGTGCTAGCCCAGATAAAAATTTAGATCTGGTTGTAATTGATCAACTGGTCTGCCTAGTCTCAGGGCAATAGGACAGATTTACCCCAGTGCCCATGATAGGAAACGGCCCTTTGGTGTGTGTCTGACACAACACACGCATCAAGGAATGGTACTTGCTTGCTCTTGTTATTCAGTGGGTCCCGCAGCAGCAGCCGGGTGGCCACCAGGATCAGAACACTTACTTCTCTGAAGAACAAGTATTTTGAACAGGTAATGCAGAGCCTCGGATGCCCCTGTGCTGATCTCAGCATTAGAGTGCACGCAGAAGAGGCCCAAGATGCCCATCAACTTCCCACTCAAAGAGAAAAGCATCATATTCTACCAGGAAAAGGAGAAGGTTACTGTCTCACCATCCCAAAGGACACTGTCCTCCTCCCCAACCCCCAGGCTCTCCTCCCCTCTAAATCATTCGCCTGTATGGGTCCCCTCCCTCCCTAGCTCCACACTCCATCCTGGCCAAGAGAAGTCCTAATCAGACCCCGGAAACATGGTGGCTAGGTCTCCAGCCCAGCTAGTTAGGCTGGGATCCCAACAAGGCTGAGAGGTATCTGGCTAATTGGAGTTCACTGAGCCCAAGGCAAACCAAACAGACAAGTCAAGCCTCTTGTCCTACAGGAACAGAAAAAGGGGCAGGTGCTCCAGTCACCCACCCTCCAGCTGCCCCAGCAGAGCCCCCAGGCTCAACCCCTTGTGCAGAGAAGCAGGTGCCAGGTCAGTCTTGTACCCTTCTTTCCCCAAGCACTCACCGACAGCTCGGGAAAATTGCAAGCAAATCTCAGAAGCCTGGAGATAGTACCCAAGGCCCGGGTCTTCTCATACACTTTGTCTGACAGGGTTAGCCAGGGTAAGATGATCTGGACAGGGAGCAAAGAGACCCATCAGCACTCCTGTGGGAGCATGGCTCCCTTTCTTCCTTGTCTTGATTCCACATCCCAGACAAATAGGAGGGAGCTCTGAGGTGTTGGAATGTGTGGAGGCCCCATGAAAACATACCCTTAGCAAAGCAAGGGTATGTTGAAGAGTCTCTGGTGTCAGGCACCAGTGGCTCATGCCTGTAATCCTAGCCTAGACACTTGGGAGGTTGAGATTGGGAGTATAAAGGTCTGAGGCTAGCAAGGCAAATACTTCGTGAGACTCCCCCCATCTCCAAAATTACCAGAGCAAAATGGACTGGAGATGTGGTTCAAGCTGTAGAATGCCTACTTTACAAGCATGAAGCCCTGAGTTCAAACCCCAGTACCAAAATAACACAAATAAAACCTTAACAACTCCATGCACTAACAGGGTGCAGAGCAACTGGAACTCTCTTGCATTGCTGGTCAAACCCTTTAGAGGTGTCCTATAAAGTTAGATACACATATGACATACAACACAGTCATCCCTCTCCTAAACATTTACCCAAGAGATCAAAACCTTGTTCATACAAGAACTCAGGCACATAGATTTATGGCAGCTTTATTTGTAATCATCCCAAACTGCATACAACTCAAATGTTCCTCAACTGAAAAATGACTACGTGAACTGTGGTCCATCCAAACAATGATAAAATAAAAAGAAACAAACTCCTAATACCTATAACAGTATGGATGACTGTCAAACCCATTATGCTAAGTGAAGAGAAGATAGACTCAAGAGGCTGCATAGAATTCTGTTTAGATTTAGAAACTCTAGGAATAAAAATCAAGTGGGCCAATGCTAGGAGCTGGGGGTTATGAGGGACTCTGGGGAGGCAGGAGAACTGCTTTACAGTGTGACTGTTGCTGCGGTTCTCTGACAGTATGTATTCGTCAAAACCTACAGAACTATACAGTAAACAGGATGAATGATACCTGTATGTAAATTATACCTTCAGTTCTAAAATGAAATAAAAAAGGAAGGTCCTTAGGAAAACTATGTAGTTCTCAAATTTTTTTGCGAAAAATGATCTTCCTAGGGCTGGCAGAGTGGCTCCAGTGGTCAAGAGCTTGCCCAACAAGTGTAAGGCCCTGAGTTCAAACCCCAGTAAGGCAAAAAGTCCTCTCAAGTAGCTAGGATTATAGGCATGAGCCACTGGCACCAAGCTTCCAGTGCCAGTGGTTGGGGGGAGGTGGCCCAAACAATGTATATACATGTAAGTAAATGTAAAAATAATAAAATAAAAAAAATTATCTTCTTTCTGATCCTACAGTGCAAAGTCAAAAATAAAATAAGTGATGTTATAGCATGCTTTCATGTAATCTTATAATAAAAATTATGCCTAAAAGATACACACTAAATTTTTAGGTTACCTCAAAGTAGTGAATATAATCCAAATTCATTTGCATATGAAAGCAATATTTTAATTTAATTTATCAAGATAAGTCAATTTCCTCTGCTATTCTTTTTTTCCTGTGCTGGGATTTGAACGCAAGGCCTTGTGCTTGCTAGGCAAGTGCTTTACCCCTTGAGCCCTTCTGCCAGCCTTTTTATCATTGATTTTTTTTTTGAGATAGGGTCTCACTTTATGCTTTGGCTGCTCTGGACCACAGTCTTCCTATTTATGCTTCCCCACATAGTGTGGGATGACAGGTGTGTGCCACTGCACCCTGCCATTGGTTGAGATGGGCTCTCACAAACTTTTTTCCCAGGCTGGCTTTGAACTGTGAGCCTAGTGATCTCTGCCTCCCAAGTAGCTAGGATTACAGCCAAACCCAGCTTTCTCCACTAGGTTCTATGAACTGTGGTGCTTTTGGTTATCATTTATCTTTGAAGAAGATAATGAACCCCAGTAATGAACCCCTTGAGGGCCTGACTGGGACTAGAGCCAGTATTTCCAATCCCACAAGAATGAGTGTAGCAGAGCATTTCTTATGACACAGTGAGGCAGCCAAAAAAGCACAAAAATTCTCAACAAACATGCTGGAAAGGACACATTCCAAAGAAGTATGCCACTCATCCAAATATGGATAAATGTCCCCTCTGGATACACTCCTTGTTGAGATCATTTTAGAGGACACTTGGGCAATCTTGTCGCTTTATTTGTAGTCACACATAATGCTTTATGCAAAATTATATTGCCTTAATACATTACCATTGTGTTTGTGAAAGATGGATTCAATGGACTCTTAGCTATTTCCCCAACTCAAACTCATCATCAGGAGATGGAAATTTGTCATAACTAAGAATCTTTGAAAGGAGCTGGAGGCAATTAAGGGAGCACTCCAAGGAATATAAGAGTAGCCTAGATGGGCGAGTTCTGAAGTCTTCATGATACAGCAATAACACACACTGCCCGGTGAAAATGCTTTGAAGATTAAACTCTGACATGAATATAAATATTATTCCTATTATAGCCCCAACGTGCCCGACTTCCGTGCTTCTCAAAACACCACTCTCAGAACAGCATCTTGGGGGAGACGCGGGAATCTGTCTACAAACAAGCTTGTGCATGCTGAGGTCTGAGAACCAATGGTCTTTGAACTAAGAGTGACACTTAGACCGTTGTCATATTCAGTCCAAGAAACACATACAGTCCAAGAAACAGCAGAGGAGTTCAGGTTCATGGTTTCTACAGCTGCTTACCTCTATGAATTTTTCCAGTATTAGCATGTTGGGGCACAAATCGTCCATCGTGAGAGCTTGTAACATGTCATCTAAGGCTTGGGCAGTCTGATAAGTGAAGAGACATGGGGTGTACAGGAGGACGACTACATAGCACTATCTTGGCTCCCTGGGGACACGCCCTCCATCCCCTTACACCTCTCTACAGGATGAAGGAAAGGGGAGCCAGCCCAGCTCTATTGCCCCTGGTACCTCCGCATGTGGTCCTCCCTAGTGCTGACCTTTCTTAGCATCACTGAGGACAGGACCAGGTCCAGCTCAAATGGTAGCCAAATAGTGAAATGTAGGCACTGAGCACTTCTCTCCCACAAAGAGAGCCCCCACGGGGTCCTTACCATTAGAGAGTTGTTCTGCCAGATTAAGGCTACTTCTGGAGGTGTGTAGTTGTGGGGGTTTTTTGTTTTTGTTTTTGTTTTCAGTTCTGGAGATCCTACAGAGATGCAATCCAGAGCCTCACACATTCTAGGCAAGCGCTTTACCACTAAGCTACACCCCAAGTCCAAGGACACTTCTAAATTTAAGCTCAAATACCCTTGGGAAGATTTGGCAGTGTCTGGGTCAGTTATTCCATAGAATCTGTCTCTTCCCAGGCCTGAGGCTGTCATGTCAGCCTCAATGAGAAAAAACATGAGTCGTGCGAGGGCCCAGGTCATTTTCAGGGAAGATGGGCGAGGATCAAGTAGCCCACAATTGGACTGAGCAGCACAGGGGCCATGGGCGCCTGTGAAGACGGGAGGAGGGAGGTCAGGGAGCTAAGGGGACGGAGGTGACCCCCAAGATAGAGTCCTCCCCCATGGAGAGCTGCAGAAGGAGGTAATGGTGGGGATTACCTGAAGGTAAAGACTAGCACTGTCCCTTCGGTCTAGACTGGGCACGATGAGGGGCAGAGAGAACACACTGGAGATGCCAGCAGTGACCAGGTCCAGCTTCTGAGACAAGTGGAAAGGTGGTTTCACCTGGCTGGGGGGAGAAGTGCAGATGACAAGGGACACAGGGTCCTGTGAGAGGCCAGGCTATGTTTCCAGAACCCTCTGGGGGAACTTGCTCTGCTACTTGCTTCCTGAGTTACAGGAAGCAGAGGACCACTTATTCCAGTGGTCCTTTGCCAGAGAAGGTGTGCCCTGATTCTTGGGGAGGCCTCCCTACCCTGAATGTCCTAAAGACTTCTAATGGTGAAATTGGAGAACAACCTCACCATCCCAGGGTGCACGTAGGTGAAATGGAAACCAGAAGGCCCTGACGCCCACAGCCCCCAAATCAAGTTCCCAAGCTGTGCCCTTCCCCCCAGCCCAAATGTCCCCAGAATCAGAGCCCCAGAGACTGTGAGAAGGTCACAGCAGGAAAGGAACCTTAGCGCTACGGTGCAGAGCATGGCTTGCTGACGCACGTTGTTGTCCAAAATCTCAGTGGATTCTTCCAGGAGAAATGTCTAGAAGGGCCAGGAAGACACAAGAATTTTCCTCAGAAAGAGATGCCAGCCCTTAGGTCTAAGACTGTCACCCTTATTCCTAGATGACCAACTCCCAGAAGAGCTCGGGTCTTTCCTACCTCAATTTTCTTGGCAAGAATGGTTTTAGGATAGTAATCATTCATGTCTCCATTTGTCTGGGCACGCACAGCGCCACTCAATGTCTCCAGTGCCCTGAGGAAATTCATCTTGTCCACCTTGGACTAGGAGAGAAAACATAGACTGCTGCACATAAACTGGTCCCCAAACCTGAGCCGGTCCTCAAGCAGCACCTGAGACTTGCCCTCTCTCTCTGCCCCTCACACCCAGCCCAGACTCAGGGCATCTAGGCCAAAGGATAGAGGAAACACTTGAGCTCCTCAGCACCAGTGCCCAGGACAGTGCTCCCTAATGTCCTGTCCCTCTCTGTAGCTCTCTGGGGACAATGGGGCTAGGAGTCTAGGAGGAAGATTCTTCAGACAGAAAGACATGAACCCCAGCCACCCTGTCTGGTGGCCTGGCCACCAAGATTTCCCCAGATTGAGAGTCAATGACAAGCTGAATTGCAGGTGGCTCCTAAGCCAGGGCTAGTCCTTAAAACCCAAGGAATTATGCACCCTCATTATTTTCTATTTCCTCCTCACTTCTTGAAAAAGTCCAGAAGAATTCCCTTACCATGTGTTCTTGTTCTATTAATTCCAGAATTAACCCATAGGCTTCTTTTTCTGATTGCCGCAATCCTGAAACCGGATGTTGTTGAAAGGAGTTTAGCTGATTATCAGATAGCCTAGTAAGGGAGCTCTCCTCCTCCCCTCAACCCTCTATCAAGAAGGCTCAGAAACCATCAGGAGCAGTGTGGGTGTCTGGGTTTCCAGAAGCAGCTGTTTTGGGTGTGGGCATGCAAAGCTCCATTTGTGTGGCCCCTGAAGCCACAGTGGAAGGCAGTGAGGTGAGTCTTAATGAAGAGGTTTGCAGCATCGAACATGGCCAGAGACAGAAGAACAATTAGGAAGAAAGAGACCTTCAAGTCACTCCCAGTGGCTGCAGATTTTTGACAGCTGTCCTACACTGGCTTTAAAATTCCTGGTTGTGTATGGATTAGAAACTCCAAGTAGGCCTTGGAGCCTCCCTGGTCACCTGGGGTGGTATAGCTTTCAGGGTCCATCTCCCTGAAAAGCAACCCAGGCAAACACAGAAATGGTAGGAAAAGAGCCTGCCTGCTGCAAGTGGAGTCCTGAGGGGATAAGAGAATGAAGACGCTGGCAGCACTGGGCCCCTGAAGTGACATAGGCAATGGGCCTGAGTTTAGGTTGCTGCTGGCCTTCTGCAATGTCCAGCACACCTAGCACCCCCAAAACAGGGCTTGCAGCCAAGGCACAGGGCTTAAGCCGACAGCTCTGTCATCAGACTGCTTTGACATATCAGAGCTCAGCAGTTCTCTTTCATTAGTTCTGCAACCTTCAGACAGTTAAAGCCTCCCAACTTTGGTTTCCTCATCTGTACAGGGGAAGGTGATAGTACCAACTCTTGTTTTTGGTTAAATGAATTAACACATGTAGGAAATAATCATGAACAAATTGAATTCCCCCACAGGGACCAATTAGGAGGAGACCGTGACCATAAACTAGAGCGATAGGCGGTGTCTCACACCAGGGAGGGGTTAGTTACAAGTGGTCAGATTCTGTACCTATTTTGAAGATAAACGGGAATAGCTGACAGACTAAATGAGAGTTTGGGAGAATGACAGAGTCAAGAGTTTAGGGCCTGAGAAACTAGAAAGATTGAGTCGTCGCTCGTTGACTTGGGGAGCAGATCTGAGGTTGGTAATAAAGGCAGGTTCAGTTTTGAACATTTTGAGATTATCTGCTGAGCATCAAGGAGCAAATATTAATAAGCTGGACTTGAGAACCTGAAATTCAGGGCCTGCATATCTGGACAATGGGCATCACTTAGGCACATAGATGGTGTCTAAAGATTAGCTGTGATTCTCCTGAGCAGCTAGTGGTCAGCTAGGTGAGCTTTCACCAAAATCTTAGACAATGTCCTGTCCCCAGCCCTGCTCCAGGTCACTCAGGGAGCAAGCCTGCAAAAGGGACGGGCCTGCAGAAACTAGAGCTGTGGAAGGGACAGTCAGAAGTGAGCAGACTTTGTGCTGAGTGACCTGTCTCACAAAGGCCAGGCCATCAGCACCACTTCTGAGCCACTGCTGTTAGAAAGACGGCCCGACCCAAGGCCAACTGCTCACCCATTAAGTTTGGCTTCCAAGAGTCACGTTCAGTGGATGGCTCGAAGGTTACTCTGTTTCCTTTTTGCTCCTTAGGATGTGGGTTCATCTGTATGTGCTGAGCACCAGCCTGCAGCTTGTGATGAGAACAGCAGCCGGGCCTGCCGGGAGATGGGCCTTCCTAGGAATGCAGTTTCTGCACTCAAATGGGGAGGCTGCAGGAGGAAAGGGGGCGTGGGATGTAGCTCAGTGGTAGCACTTGCCTAGCATGGGTCAAGGTCCTGGGGTTGATCCCAGCATTGGAAAAAAAATGAAAATAAAACAAAAAAACTACAAGAAAAGCAATGGGCTTAGCAGTGCCTGTGCTGGGCCCCGCAGTCAACTTCCCACTTCCTCCCCGTGGGAAGATGCAGGACCCTCTGAAGGACCCTGATTCCTCCTGACTTGTCCAGGAGACTTCCATCACAGATCTCCCTGTGTAGGGACACCTCAGGCTCCAGCTGACTTTTAGGACACAGTGTCCATCTCTCTGCTTCTGGAAGTCTTCAGTTTAAATCCTGAGGTTACTTTTTCCAGAGGCTTCTGTCCTCATGCCTTAATTCATAGTCCTACTTCTGCCCCAGGGTAGTGGAGCTAAGCACCCCACATCTGTTCCTCCTGGACGTGGTCCAGGGAAATGTGCTCGTGGACCAGAAACTGCTGCCCAATCCGGTCCCCAGATGGGCACAACCCACTGCTGGCTATTCTTAGAAGAACTTCCCCTGTCTCCCTTGGTCTCCCCTTCAGTTCAGCTTGTTTCTGGGCTGTTGCTGGAGCACTGTCTCCTCAGACAGTGGAACTGTCTGGGAACTGGCAGATACCTGGTCAAGACTTCCCTAGGCCTAACTCGTAACAACTGTCTAAAATACAAAACCAAGCACCTCACTACCCACAATCCATTGTGAAGTCAAAGATGCTCGAGTCTGAGTTCAGGGTCCTGGACCTATCTCCCGTCCCCGCCCAACCCCACACCCCGCCCCAGCATGAAGCACCCCAGGCCTGTGTGGCCAGGCCCCTGAGGGGTCACCCTCACACAGAACCCCCACCTCTGACCCTTCCTTGGCTGTGGAGAGGGACAGTCAGGCAGAGACCCCTTTACCTGACACCTGGCCTGCTTGCCTCAGACCTAGGCTACAGGCCTCTCCCAGTGGCTCCAGGGGGCGCTGTGCTCCTGGGCCCTGAGCACCCCCTACAGGGCAACCAAAGAACTGCTCCAGTTAGAGCTACCACCCCGATCCCCCTGGTGGAGGGAGGGGCCTTGTGGAGAGCCCCTCCCCATCACCAGAGGAAGGCCTGTTTTCCAGCCATGGGGAAGGGCTGGCTTCCCATAAGCCCCTGCTCTGGGCAGCCAAGAGCTCCAGGAGAGGCTTGATGAGCTGAAGACTTAGCCGTGCCCATCTCTAATCCCTGCCTAGCAATGGCTTAGCTGGAGCCATAGCTGAGGCTGCTGCAAAGTCCCATCCTTGGGGAAGTGACATGGAAAGCCCAGAGCTGCCTTCCCAAGAAATCTCAGGGAGCTTCACAGGAGTGGTGCTGGCTTCCCTCCTGTCAGGGAAGCAGCCAAAGAGCCTCCCTCTGCCACCCCACCCATCCCACCCACTCTCCAGAGACCTTATCAGACCAGCTGGAAAGGCCAGGCAACTTGGTCACCTTGGATGGACACCCTGAGGGGCTGGGCAGTCTCTATTCAGAAAACTTGGCACAAAACACCCTTCATCCTCAGCTAGGTCAATCACAAAGAACAGGCTTTATTGGGACAGATGCACAGTTCCAGTCCTGCAGCTGCGGGCCAGCCACTCTGCAACTGCAGCCAGTGTTATGTAGGACCAATAAGTTAATGTGAAGAATACTCAGGTGTCAGGGAGGTGACGATGCTCAGAAGTCTCCCAGCCCAGCTCCACCAGGAGCTCTGGGCTCCAGGGAAGACATGGGGAGTGGGAGTTGTATGCTGGGGAAGGAGCTCAGAGACAAACCGAAGTAGAATGTTCAAGCATAATGGGGGAGAGTGGAGCCCAGAGTGGGGGTACTGCAGGATGTGGTAAGTGCACCTCGAGAGAAACACCACATGCATCCCTTCAGGCTTCCCTCTTCTCCCCTAGATCCCTCCCACCTTCTGCAATAGGCCACAGCACTTTCTTCCAGGTGGGAGAGCTGCACCATTTGATCAGGCATCAATTCTTGGAACCATATGCTATAGTCATAGCAGTCTCTATTCCAGTCCAGGGATCCTGAAGGGGAGAGTTCTGTCCAGGCAAAATCGGAATGCAGCTCTCCCTACCCCTCTGACTTGCTTCCTCATTGAGGCAAGACCCCTACTTGGGCATATGATCTGGAAGCATAGAGGCCTTAGGACCAGCAGCCAAGGCTGATCAGTGTCTCAGCTTGCCCCATCCTAGCAGCTGGGACAATTCTTGAGTGCCTCTAAAACAACCTGGCATTTCTGCAGAGCTCAGGAGGGCACATTCACTGGTGTATACAAATAAGGGCTTTCTCAGCAGAAGCATGGTTGGACAGGGAACAGAAGGAGAAGGAACTGCCTCTTCCACATGCCACAAAAGTGTTGCCTTTCCAAAAATATTTGCAAAGTAATGTTTTTTAGGACCAAGATGCAAAGATTTAGAAGGAGGGGTAGGCCAGCTGGCCACCCTCACATTGCCCAAAGGTGGTTGTCCAAGGGTGAGTTTCTCCCCACCCTTGGCAGGCCAGCCCTCCGCCCAGAACCCCAGGTGACAATCTACTGCAGCCCTACACTCTAGGCTCAGGGGTCTGGGAGCACAAGGGCATGGAGAGAGAATAGTGTTTGGGGTCCCTAAAGGGATTTCTGGGATCTGGAAAACAGCAGGGTCCAGGAAGGTAAGACTCCACCAGGATACACTGAACCTTACCCTACTACTTGGTGTGCATCACAGAGCACATAGAAAGGGGAGGGAGAGTCTCCCCCACCCTGTGGTACCCAGAGACCTGGGAAAGGGGGACAAGTCCTATGCACAAGTGTGTGACATGTCCAACCCCAGCAATAAGGGACCAGGAGGGTCAAGAGTTTCTCTTTCTCCGAAACAGAGTACAGTGTCTGAGGAATCCCAAGGTGGCCCTCTCTGCCACTTGTCTTGCATAAGGAGACAAATGCTGTCAGTCAGACCAGCCGGGCCTTAAGTCCAAGAGTCCAAACTCTGGGGGATAAATCCAAATCATATTATAGGGACCTTGAAGACAAATCACAGATATAAATCCTCAGGTCAGGGCTTCTGAAAACATATGTGTTAAAAAAAAAAAGAAAGAAAGGTTGAGTGTTGGTATAGGATCAAAAAACAAAAAAAGTTTCAGCTCCAGGTCATCGGCCTGCGATGGGGTGAGGGAGCTGAAGGAAGCACTCAAAAGGTGAGGGGTCTCAGCCCCAGTCCCACTAGGAAACAGTCTTTTCCAGCGGTGGCAGAGGCACAGTTAAACCTGGCTGATGATTTCCCCGTTCTCAGGAACAAAGACTTGCACAGGGGTCCCCTCAGGTGATCTCCGGAGCACACACACTGTGGGTACCTGCCAGGGGTGGGGAGAAAGGAGAGGTGGGTGAGCAAACCAGGTAGAAATGTCAGGACAGTAAGCCCAGTTACACCATCCTTATCCCTTAAAGACAGCAGGGCCCTGACACTCAGCTCATGCCCTCCCTAGGAAGCCTATGTTCCCAGGGACCACCCTTTGTCCATTTGCCACTCCAGGTTCTTTGGGGTGTGACTGACACCCTGACCTCTTCCTTCACCACCTTCCCTGGGCTCACATCTTGTCACCCTCCCTGTCTGGCAGGCTGGGATGGGCTGGGCCTGGTCCAAGGACAGGTCCAAGCTAGTAGGAAGGGAAAAGCACGTCAGCTACAGGGTGCAGCCTGGGATGGAGCCAGGGTACTGCCCAGCCGAGGATGGCAGCTGCAGCCCAAAGAACTGGTGGAGGGGAGGGCATGCAGCTGGGCTGTCGGGAGTGTGGAATCTCAAAGAAGGAGCCTGTTGGTAACATCTGGAGCATGTCCTCTGCAGAGCCCTCTGTACCAGGGAGGGAAATAAAGGATTCGTGTGTGCTATCACCACTTCCAAAAGGAAGAAACTGGGTCCACAGGAACTAGGGCTGTACCCCTACCAGGCATTAGAGTGCTCTAAATCTTACAGGCGCAGTATTAACCTAGTCCCTGGCATTTGGGGACTTGGGTGAAAATACTATCACTTATCTGGCACTTACCATGCATTGCTCTAATCATTTTAGCCTCTTATCCACCCTGTGACATAGGTCCTATCTTTAGGACGGGAAAAAGAGAGGCCCAAAGGAGTTGAGTAACCTGACCAAATTCTGTATCTGACAAGTAGTGGGACCGGAATTTGAACCTTGAAGTCTAGCTTGAGGGTCAGTGTTTGTAACTGTGCTGCCACCTGCTTCTCAGCTTGGTGCTGTAGGGTAAGGGGTGTCAGAAGGAACTTGACTTGACTCACAAGCAATCATAGGTTCTGGTTTCTGCAAACCTATTTTTCCCTTTGCCCTGGGCTCTCAACTCAGGAAACTTCAGGGGTTAATTTGATTCTCAAGCTTATCTGTTTGGTGGATCATCTGTGGAGCCATTAGGAGGGAAAAAAAAAAAAAAAGTCTCAGTTATCTCTGAGGATCATCTCCACCAGGGTATGTGACCACTGCAGGCAAAATGAGGAGGTGCCCCAGGGAAGTGAAAAAGTGCCTTCTTCCAAAGCCAGCAGGAAATGTTTTTCTGGCCTAATCTTCCTAGCTGGAGATTATTACGTGGTCACTAGGTCCCTGGTCCCGGGCTAGGACACGGGCCTTCCCCAGCGGTTAGCCCCTTCCTGTCTGGTCCCAGGGGTCCCTCCAGAGCAGGCATACCTGCGGTCGGGGGCCCGGAGCTCTCCCGAAGCCCTCTCTCCCAAGGGGCAGGCTCCTGACACGGAAAGCCCCTTGGCGATCAAGCGAGTGGGGACGGCTGCTCCGGAGACGGGCTCGCTCGTGCCACCACTTGAGCTCCTCGGAGACGGCGGCCTTGCTGAGCGCCCGGCCCGCGGGGCTGTCCTTCAGGGAGGGCGTCCGCACGATGCGGCTGTGCGAGGGCACCAGCCGCTGGTAGCGCAGGGGCGCGCCCTCCTCCTCGTAGGCGGGACCCCGCGCCCGGCACAGCTCCCACTCGCCAGGTGGCAGGTGGCTCTCAGTCACCACCACGTACCGCCCTGCCGGGAAGTACCCAGCAGGCATCAGCAGCTTGGGATAGTAGGTGGTCAGCTCCCAGCCGCAGGCTGGACCCCAGGCCCCACGGTGGCGAGGTGGCTCAGGTGGACAGGGAGGCCGCAGGAAGGAGATGTCAGGGCTGCTGCTGCCGGGCGAGGTGGGGTGGGAGATGCTGGAGACATCGGAGCCGCTGTCTTCCGAGCAGGAGTGACAGGCAGGGTGGGGCAGCGGGGGCTTGCTCGCAGGGAAGCAGGAGTCGGGGACTGTCACCGTGTAGTGCGTGGGGCGGCGGCGGGGAAAGGCGCTGCGGCCTCGGCCTTCTGCACCCACACGGAAGGAGTCCACTCTAAAGAGGGAAAGCAAGGAAAACTGAGCTGGGGTGGAGGGCCTACAATGGAGGCAGGAGTTCAAACCCTGGGAGTGGATGCTCTCGGTCAAACCTCCCCATAGCAAATGAGGCAAGGCCCTCTGGTCTCAATCTGCACTTCCCTCACTCATGCACTCACACATCTGTGTTGGTTTAAAGACGAGTGCCTTCCTGCCTCCTTCACATCAGGACAAACATACAATACAGCTGTCCCTAGTATCTGCCCAGCATTCCAGGACCACCCAGGATCTTAAAACCCAGGGATGCACAGGTCCCTTACATACAATGGCGTGTGTATGTATTTGGATTTGCATATCACCTACCAGAATCCTCCTGTTGGCTTTAAATCGTTACTAGAGTACTTATAATACCTAATACAGTGTAAATGCTATGGAAACGGTATTGTGTAGGGCATAAGGACAAGGAAAAGAAAGTGTGATGAGCTGGGGGTGCAGTTCAGTGGCAGAGGGCCTTCCCTAGCATGCGCAAGACCCCTGAGTTAGATCCCAGCACTGCACCAAAAAAAAAAAAGACTGTACAACAGGATTTTTTTTTTTTTTCATGGCACTACTAGGGTCTGAACTCTGGGCCTCCTTCTTGCTAGGCAGGTGCCTTACCACTTGAACCACTCCACCAGGCCTAAAAAATATTTTTGACCTTCAGTTGGTTCAACCCACAATGTGGAATGGCAGGTTCAATGGGGCGTCAACACTACGTGTTACATATTTTCAGCCAGCTGAGGAACACTATGTCCCGGAATTTCATTCACAGAATCTACTGAGGTAGGTATTTTCGGGTATCTAACTTGAGTGTGAAATCCCAGCAAGAGGGAAGGTGAGGCAGGGGGATAGAGAGTTCAAGGCCAGCCTGGGCTATATAGTGAGCCCCTGTTACAAAAAGTAAAGGGCTGGAGGACAAAGGTCAGGTAGAAAGCTTGCCTATCATGTGGAAAGCAGACTGTGCTCCCCCAAACTCCCAAACAGAGGAAAACAAAAATGTGCGGCCTTGTTTCAGCTCTCAGACTGTATGTAAACCGCGGTCCTTTCTGAGACACTATTTAGTGCACTTTTTTGCATTTTTGTGCTTTTGGTTGATGACTTCACTACAACCCATGTCACCTCCTGCACAAGTAAAGTACCTCCTACAGTTTCAAAGCACAAAAAGCCTGTGATGCAAGTTGTAGAGAAAGTGAGTGTTGAATAAGCTTCGTTCAGTGTCACAGGCTGTGAGTTCAATGTTAATGAAGCAAAAATAAGGTGAATTTAAACAGAGACTCCCATAAAACTTTGTAATATATGTTACCAGCTGACCATGTTGTGCCCAATCGCTTACAGGGAACCTAACTCTATACTTCCCCTACAGGCTATAGTTTGGTATTTGCTAATTTTGTGTTTGCCACGACTTGATAGAATTTAACTACCATGAATAATGAGAATTGGTTGTACATTAATTGGGAAAGAAAACTGTCCATTGTTGAGGACCAATAATAATTAAAAAATATGAACAAGCACAAGAAAACATGGCAAGGGGAGAAACCTTGAATCAAGTTAGGCAAACTTCAGCTCTGCTGGTTGTAGTGCAGCTTCTTTGGAGAGGTGACTCAAAAAGGATCCTAAGGAGAAGCCAAGGTGCTGGCCCTGTGTCCCATCTGTGTATCAGAAACCTTCACCTCTAACTAAAGATCTGGATGGTGGTGCCCCTCAGATCTCTGGGCTCTCTTACCTCAAAGACTGTGACTGGCCCCTCCTGCCCTGCATCTCAGGGGTGGCTGGGGCACTTGTGCGGCCCTGCCGCTGGCCAGGAACACTGCGGATGGGAACCATGTGGTAGGAGGCAGGCTCCAGCAGCCACAGGCTGGAGTTACTGGGTCCATCCTGCGGTGTGGTGGCCGGGCTGCTGCAAAGGGATTGGAGATAAATCAGTGACATGAATGTCTCCATGAAGGGACTCAACAAGTGCAGAAGAATGGCGGTGCAGTGGAAGGAAGCCCCAAAGTTAGTGGTGCAAATTGCTAGCCGGAGCTTTGAAGTCTCACACCTCTGCCATCACACCACTAAGAAGGGGTGATCACCTGTGGCCTTTCCCCTCTTCCGGCTACCCAGCCTGGGCCATCCCTGGCAGTTTCCACCTACTCCCGGCCGTCCCTTCCTCCCATCCTGACCTGGACTCGCTATTGGGCTCAGAAGACTTCCTTGGCCTCTCATAGGGGTGGTCAAGGCTGGTCTCCTTCCAAGGACTGTTCTGGATTGGGGCCCGATCCAGGCCCCCAGGCTCAGGTCCTGCTGGCTGCAGCCCCTCAAGGCTCTGGGGTGGGAGAGCCCGGGAAGGTGGGGCCGGGGACTCTGGGGGAGGTTTTGGCACTTGTGAGTCCTCTGCAGGGGTAAAAGAAACCGGGTAAGGTCAGAGGCTGGGGAAACCGGCCCAACAAGAACATCCACAGAGCCTTGCTCTCCCTCCCATGTCTGGATTGTCCAACTACTCCAGGCCAAGGCTCCAGCCCCAGTACTTAAATTGTTTTCTTCTGCCTCCCTTCCTGCCACAGCCCTGTTGTACACCTGTCTCCTTCAAGAAACCTCCCCAGTTTGACTTGTTGGCTCTCATTCCTCCACTCTCCAACATATGCTCCTAGTGTGGACGGGGGCCATGATCACAGGCAGGCTCCAGCAGCCACAGGCTGGAGGCTAGCCAGCTGTTTACCCATTCTTCTGGTTCCTGCCTTGCCCAAGTGCCCTATTTCCTTGTTGGCCTGGGCACTCCCCTGCATAGGGCTGACTACACCACTCTGTCGATCCACCTTGACCCTGACATGCTCAGTGTTTGTAAGTAAGGTTCATAATGCATAGAATTGTGTTTCATCCCCGGTGTTCCCTTCCTCCCAAAACTGCCAATGATTGTGGGCAGATCACTCATGGGCTCTGACTGGTTCCACCTGGAATACAGCCCCAGGGTGAAGGAGGGACACCTAGGGCCAAAAAGGTGCTGCTGGAATTTGCCTTTCCCTTCCTCCTGGAGTGACTGAGCTTCCAGATTGGGAGGTAATCAGCAATTCGCCATCCTCAGCTAAGCAAGTGCCCGACACAGGAAAACTGACGTCAGGACCGAGTGAGGCCCTGCGCTGGCACCCTGCCTTCACCAGCTCCCCATTTGAAGTCCCCACTAGCAAACCCTGCCAAAGCCCTACAGTCTTGCAGTAGGAGCCTTGACTGTGTCCAACCTTGACCATGTTCCCAGATTATTCCTCTCACCTTCCTCCAGGAGTAGCCCATCAGACAGGGAGCTGTCATCCGAGGCACTGAGCTCTGGGGAGATCAAAGGGAAGAGAACAGGAGTGAGGAAATTAACCTGTAGATAGGAGCAACTAGCCATAGTGAGCAACCCTGGCTGGCCCGCCCCTCTCCCAGGACAGCCCCCATCGCCAGGAAATACCCAGTGTGCTAAATGCGATACTGCAAACTTAGTACTGGAAGTGGGAAAAAGATTCAGGAGTCAGGGGCTAGGAGACAGGAAACCTGATTTTAATCCTGGCTCTCTCACTGGCTATGCAACCTTGAATAAGCTCTAGACCTCAGTTCCTCCATCTGTCAACAAAACCTAGGGCTTCCTGGTAATGGAAGCAAAAGGGCAAAGACCCATTTTGGAAGACCCTCAGCATGAAGAGAATTTTGCCAGTGTTTCTACAGTCTTCTAACATCACAAATACAACTCAACTCAAGGGTCCCAAACCTAAGAACTCCTGTATTACCAACAAGAGGCCAATTTAAATTAGGGTATGGCTAGCCAGCCCTAAGGAAGGTTCTACAGTTGGTGATAGGGCACGCCACCTGAAGGAAATAGAGTCCCATTTCTGCATGGGACAGCAGCAGCTGTCACCCAGGAAATCATGGGGAACTTATTTTCCCCATGATTCAGATCTTCAGAATAAGCATTCGAGTCTACAGCCAGCCCACCCTGAACTCGCCCGCTCTTGTCTCATCTCGTAAGCTAAGCAGGGTCGGGCCTGGTTAGTACTTGGGCATTCTTGTGGCACAGCCTCGCAAAGCATTTCCACTTGACTCTGACAATGAAGACAAGGAAAATTGAATGGTGGCTACTATTTCTACTGTGCCCATACTTTTCTAAGTATATTATTACAATACACATTTCCTGTGTATTTCATAACAACCACATAAGGCAGATCATCTCCATGTAACAACAGGAAACAGTCTCAGGAGTAATGAGGTTTGGGTCAATTGGCCAAAAGCTGGTTGAGTCAGAATTCACACCGAGACAGTCCTTTACTCACTCCGTTGTTAGTTATCACTTATTGCGTAGGTCATTACCAGAAGTTCTAAGAAAAGTAAATAGTTACCCCTTTATAACAGACTCTGGCAAACCGCAGCCCATGGATCAAGTCTAGTTCACTGGCTGTGTTTACCAGTCAGTGTTACTGGAACACAGGTATGGGTTCCTTTATCTGATGATAAAGAACTTTACCTAGAGCAGTTCTTAAATCTGCAGGGAACATGGTCAAGGAGCTGGGACTGTCTCCAGCTAACTCTTGCTTTGCTTGGCTCTCAGGTAGCCTTAGCTTTGGGGTTCAGTTACGGAGTTTTGGTTCTCTGCCTCTGGTCTTACAAAAACCTGGAGAAGGATTTTTATTTTTTGCAAATGTTAAGTTGAAGAAATTATGGAACTATTACTCTTGTGGTCTAGCAGTACAACCCAGGTTTGAATCACAAATATAACTGAAAGATCCCAAATCTAAGTTTGTAAGTATGGTCTTCCTGGGTGACAGCTGCTGCTTTTTCACACAAAAATGTCACACTTCATTTCCTGCAGGACATGTGCCATATCACTAACTGAAGAGCCTTCCTTAGGGCTTTCTGGGCCAGACCCTAATGTAGTGTGTTTTGGCTAAATATAAGATCTGGGAAGAAAGATAACAATCCCATCACCCCTGATCTTCATGTAAACAAGCAGATCTGGAAGAATGCAAAGAAGGGTGTCTGGACACACTGACTTTTGGAGGTGGGAGCTGGGAGAACACAGGGACCTGCCAAACAACTGGCCCTTGAGGCTGCTCACTGTCTCAGTCTCTGTCCCAACCCAGCCCTGGCTCACCTTGTCCTACCCTCCATCCAGCATGACTCTCCCTCACAGTAGCAGCACAGGGGCACCCCAGGTTGAGCGATAACCATGAAAATCATACTTACAACCTTGGCATTTTCAAAGCTACCACTGTCCAACAAACTAAACTAATCTGCATATAAACAAATTTTTACATTCATTAAAATTAAATAAAATTGAAAGTTCAGTTCATCAGTCACACTAGGCATAGTTCAAATGCTCAATAGCTATATGTGGCTAGTGGCTACCATATTGGACAGTTCAAATACAGAACACTTTCATCATCTCAGAAATTCTTCTAGAGTGTGTTGTTCAAGTCTGGCAATCAATCAACAAACCCATACTGGGTACCTATTACATTGCAGAGGTGTATGCAGGGGTGGCTCTCATCAGGTTCACCAAGAGTAAATCAGTTCAACACCTGACTGACTTGACCACGCTCCACCACCTGCAGAGTGCTAGCTAATTACTCTCTCCTGGCATAATTACTTTCCCAAAACTGAATTACCTGTGTGGAGACTAAGAGAGTGAGGTGGAGTTTTGTTTTGAATTTTTTGTCTGCTTATTTTTTCCTTTTTAATTCAAAACAGCTTTCAGCCTGTAACTAATTCTTAACCTTTCTCTATTTCCTCCTTTCAAAGTGAGGAGGAGTGTGGCAGAGGAGCCACAAAACAGGAATTATTTGCCTAGAACCACCTCCTCTGAGCTCCCAAGGGAGGGCATTAGAACTCAGAACCCAGAGATCAACGTCTCCGTACCAGAGCTGGGTAAGTTGGCAACTGTGCCAGCTCTTCCTCTGCACTATCTCTATCTTTTCCTGGGCTGAGGCCCTGAGAACTTCAGCCTCCCACCTCCTACACAGGGTTAAGCCAGAGTCCTAGGCATGTCCTGGCCTGCTCCTCACTCCCAGCAAGAAGCATCATCAGTCACAATGGTGGCAACAGAGTGACATCCCATCACCAGACACATCCTGACATAAGAGCCACAAGTAACCAAAGCACTCAAGGGTGGAAAGGCTTCTGGGCAGTGTGAGGCTGGAGGGGGACAAGAGGGGCTGAGACCATCAGGGATGGCATCTCACCACCCCAGTGGCTCCCTACAAATACAGAGCAAGTGGTCCTTGGGGACTTCCATGCCTAGGTCATCAGCTATCTTTCATGGGAAGGTCCACTCCCAGATACCCGTGCGGAATGAAGGAGGGGTGGAAAACTCTTTTCCCTTAGAGCCTTAGAGATACTGTCCTGCAGTCAGGGCAGGCCAGAGCCACTGGAACCAGAGAGAGGTCTGGTCACTTGGCCCTGGGTCAGCACAGTGGCTTTCTGGGTTTACTGGTGACGTGTCCCTTCTTCTCTGCCATCTATTCCCGGCAGCTGGAGGTGATTGGTGTCTGGTCACACACTTCCTATCCTAAATTAGAGGCCACAGGTTGGAGCAGGTGCTGAGATAAACACCAGCCTGAGGCATGGGCCATGGGACACAGGGATCACAGTGGCCTTCAGGCTTCTATGAGTGTCCCACCAGGGGAGAGAGGACAGCTGTCCTGCAAGAAGCCAAGTCAATGGGCATGGATAGGAGACTGACAGTGAAGAATTTCACTGCTGTCTAAGCTGAACCTGATGCCTCGGATCCAACTCTACCCTGGGCCACTGCCCATCCAGGTTCCACTTCCCTCAGATGCAGGAAGGGACGCAGGCAAGACCAGTGGCAGGACTGAGCCCCAGGCTCCATGTGGTGGGGATTGGAATGGAGGAATGAAGGGCTGCAAGATCTGACCTGACAAGCTGGATTTGGGACAGGACAAAGGAAAACAGTCCCACCTCAGAGTTCCAAACCACCTACTGGAAGCTACCCAGCTGGGACACACTGGCGTCACGAGGCTGGCTCCTGGCATTAACGATTCACTAGGTGCCCACAACTATAGGTCTCCTGGGCAGGACTCAGGAACTGAGCTACAGGCAAGTAAAGCAGAGCACAGAGCTGGAAGGCTCACACTCCTGACCAGGGCACTCGCAGCTACAGAAGGGATTGGGAGGTGCAGCACCAATGGGGCTGGATTTCAGCCTAAACACCAGCCCTGAAACAATTCACTGACCAGTCTCACGCTGCAAGGGTCAGTGGCTGTGCTGCCTAACTCAAGCTGTTGCCCTATGGGCCTGGGCCATCTCAGTTCAACCAACACTAGGAGTAAACTCAGGGTCATCCCCAAATGCCTTCTGTTTAGGAAGACTTCTGGAAGGGGGTGTATTGTGTGAAGAATGCAGAAGGCGTGGGATGCTTTCTAAGGAGGTGGGGAGGTTTCTTAGGATGGAGAAGTCTTGTTGAGGCTGCAGAGGGGAGGGATGGGGTCCAGGTGGACCCAGGAAGCAGGGGTGCCCATGGAGCTGATGCCAGGCATGCAAGATGATGCTAACCAAATGCAAACTCTGTGGTACAGAGCCGTGCTACCCATCACCCCACATACGCCGTGTAGGGCGCGTGCGGCCCGAGCTGGGGCACTCGGAGGGCAGCAGGCTCACCTCGGCCCAGAGAGTGCGCGGTGGGGGGCAGGGGCTCGCTGTTGCGGCGCCGCTCGCCCAGGCAGCGCTGCAGCTCCCGCAGCTTCTTCTCCTCCTGCAGGGCTGCGTGCTTCCGCTGCCGACGCACCTGCCGGCTGAGGTTCTGCTCCGCGCACAGCCGCCGGGCTGCCTCGGTGATCTGGAGCTGCAGGGCCAGCTGGCGCTCCAGGCTGCTCAGGGGGTCCTGAGGGACAGGGCAGGAGTGAGGCCGAGGACACACAGCAGCCCTGACCCATGGCCCGAAGCTGGAGGACCGTGGGGAATTGGGCAGCAGCATCCAGGGACACGTGACAGAGGGTGGAGTGGTGGGAAGGACCGAGAGCCAATTGTCCCCATGAGAAGCTGCCTGCAGAGCCTGGCTGGGTGGAACCCAAGTGGGATACTTTCCCTCCTGACCCCAAAGGGTTGGGCAGGTCAGCCCTATGGAAAACCAGGGCCATTCTCACCACAGGGAAGGGCGCCTAGGACCAAAGCCACCTCTGCCCCCTTCCTTCATAGACTGAGACAGAGGACGGCCCTAAAGCTAGAGTAACCTGTCTGTACAGGTGACTGACTCTCTGGGTTGGTGGTTGAAGCTCTTAACTGATCCTCTGCCCACTGGAGCCAAACCCAGTGTCCTAGCTCTCCAGGTGGCACACTTCCCTAGCCATTCAGGCTACCCTAATAAGGGGGTGCCCCTCATCAGTGTAAAGCCAAGCTCCCTTGTGGGGTGTGTAGGGATGGAGAAGACTGCCATGGTGCTGGACTGACACCCTGAACCTCTGTGGCCAGCCTTTGGGAAATAAGGGACAGCAACCACCTCCAAAGCTTCTCACCTCTCTGTGCAGGGCCCACTCATCGAGCTTGTAAGCTGCTCCAATCCTACGGTGGACCCTGGGGGCCTTTTCCCCTGGCTTGAGGGGATACTCTGCTGGCAAGGCGCCTGTCAACTCCTGGGGGGAAGCAAAGTTAAGCCAGGCTCCTCTCCAGTTGCCCAGGCCATGGCCAACCATTGGAAGCTTGTCCACTGGCCCACACAAGCATGCACCTGCTCTTCCACAGAGGCCCCCAGGACAACACGGCCACTTGCACCTCTCCCCACCTCATTCTATCACCCACAGTTGTCTTCGTGTTCCCAAACTTGGGGCATGCTGCACGGGCTCCCCTTTTCCTTCACATCTTCTGATTGCTTCCTCCAGAGGGCTACGCATATACCCTGGGTACAAGTCTCAGATTCACTTACATCTTCTCCACCCCTCTGCAGCCTCTCACACCCTTCCTTCCCTGTGTCTGGACCTTGGCCCAGGTCTAACTCTCCTCCACCTAGACTCTGGGCCCAGACCCTGGTCTGATTTCCAGAATTCCTCACTTGGCCCCAGTATCCCAAAATGTGGCCATAGGGCTCCTCAGATTAACCCCAAGTTTGTGTGTGCAGGTCAGGGGCTGGCCTAGGCCCTCACCGCCTCCCTTAGGCAGAGTCTCCGAAGCTCCTCGAGGCAGGCCTCCAGCCGGGCCTCCAAGGCCTTCTGCTGCTTGCGCACAGCATGGGTCAGCTCCTTCATCGGGGACACTGGGCTGTCTGGGCCTGTGGGAGGGTGAGGGGCACTTACTCAGGGAACCTGGGCAGAAGTCCTCTCTTAGATGCTTGCTGAGCACACATTCACACTACACACACTCACACACACTTACGCACACACAAAGCCTTATGCCTGCCCACAAATTACAGGCTAGCTGTTGTGGCCTGTGTAATGACCACAAAACACCATGTTTCCTGGCTGCTCAACAGTGGCAATGTTACAGCTCAGAGGGAGGGCTGTCCCACCAGGTGACCTGCAGTGGGGGACAGACTGTGTGGTCGGAACACCTGGGTCTCCTTATCTTCCCCCTCCCCCTCCCATATATACACACACGTCTCCTGTCCTATCACGATTAGGCCAGACTAGACACACAGGCTTGGGCCGTCCAGAGCAACAGGACCTTAACACTGGCCAGATAAGAGTTTTCAACTTCTTAGTTAATCACCAGGGCTAATGCTGGACATGGCTGATTCCTGTTCCAGATAGGGCTAAAACTCCAGGCCGGACTGCTCCAGGAAGTCTGCAAGGGTCCCTGGGGCTCCAGCCCTTTCAGTTTTCCCCCTTCCTGAGCAGAGGCCTCCCCCCAACCCCCACACAGCCCTTGGGAGTCTTAGCCTGGGGCCTGGGGACTCACTCAGGAGTCAGAGCTGGGCCAGGGGCTGGGGCAGTGGGATTTCCCCAACCCACTCACCAGACTGCAGGATGATGCCACTGTCGGTGTCGCTGACCTCATCCTTACTCTCCATAGTGGATTTCTGGGAGGAGGGGGCACAGAAGAGGGAGGGGCAGCAAGGGTCCCAGCCTGGGCCAGGATGTGTAGGTAGCTCGGTGCTTCCCCAGCTGTGAGAGAAAAGAGAACAATGACCAAAAAACTCCATGTAAACCCCTTTGGTTCCAAACAGAGGGCCAGGAAGTGGACATGTGGACTGTGCTTCTGGAATGACTTGGGGTAGAGGGCTTTCAGGGGGAGGGGGCCAGTCTAGCACCCTGCTGGGCCTCCTTCCAAGAATGGCCTCTGGGACAAAGGAAGCCAAATGCAGTGGTGGCCATAAGAGTCACCAAGAGAAAAGGACAAGGAAAAAAGCAGGGAGAGGATGAAGAGGAGCAAGGAAGGTGGGCTGGAATGACAAAGCCAGGAGGAAAAGGAGGAGGGGAGATGTCATGGGGCACAGCTGGCCTCAGCCTAGGAGACAAGAGGCATGTCCTACTGCCCCAGTGGACAAGCGCACTTCAAGAAGTGACTGGACACTAGGGCAAGGCTAGTCTGGGGTGCCCAAAGCTCAGATCACTCTGCTCTCTGGACCAGGTTGTTCACCTGTAAGCATGTGCAGAGACTAGGCCAGAGAGCTATCCATTAGTCTACTCCTGAGCCACCAACTATACCTAGGAGACTCCTTAGAAGGAGTCAGCCGGATCCCCTAAACCCCATAGCCAGGAGGATGCTGGGACCTGGTGGTGGGTACAGCGACAAAGCAGAAGCTGCCAAGGACAGAAAGGAGACCACCCCTCCTCTGCCTCCCTTGGGCTAGACAGCACTTGGGTGGTGTGGGTGCAATCTCAGTGTGTCAGCCCAGCAGGCACCAGTCACCCAAACAAAACCCATGCCCACTCCCTCTCTCCTCACCAAGCCCACAGCCCTGGTTGGGGTCCCAGCTGGCCAGGGCTGGCAGCTGCTGGCTAGAGCGGGAGGGTAGGGAGGGGCGGGCGGAGCCCAGGCGGCGGTCTGCAAGGAGAGGCCAGCCACCTCCTCACTGAGTCAGCCCATTGAGCAAGAGTCCAAAAGTCCTTCTGAGTTTCTGTCTGGAGCTTATCCTGCTGCCTCCCCAGAGCACAGGGCCACAGCCTGGGGGAGGTGGGCTCCACCCCTGTGTGGCAGTTATAGGACAGGATGGGAGGCCTTGGGAAAACTGACCACAAAGCAAAGCAGAGATAGAGGGAGAGAGGACTGCTGTTGACCAGGTACCTGATAGTATCTATGAAGCCCGAGTGAGCAGAGCAAAGGAGCTTTTATAGATCTGCGCAAACACAGCTTATCGAGGTACCACGGGCAGAAACAATTAAAACCATAGCCCTGAAACCAACGTATACCTTGCACTTTGGAATTTCAGTTCTCCAAGAAGGAAAGAGACTGCATGGTAGGAAAAAAAAAAGGCTCATGTGAGCCTTTACAAATATGCCAAAGAGAGATTGAGCATTGGCCATTTACCATTTATTCTGGAAGCCCGAAGGAAGTTAGGATGACTGGTAGCTCTGCTCTGTCCATCTGTCTCAAACCCTATTCCTCCTAAGGCAGAGGAGCAGTCAGCCTGGACTTCCTCCCACTGTCCCCAGAAGCCAGGGTCAGCTCACCCCTAGCTAGGAAGCAAGACCAAGACCCGAGCAAGAGAAGAGTACTAGCTGGTACTCCAAGCCTTTGCTTTAGACAAAGAGAGGAGGTAATGTGGGAGGGGAGGCCATTAATTAGTCACACTTGCTAATTAATTATTAACTACTAAGAAGTTGCCTTGAAAGGCTGGGAAAATTCAGCCCTTGCCTCTCAGGGACTACCAGAAGGGGACCTCCCAGGACACAGGGGTGCCTTAGCATGCCTTCTCTCTTCTCCAGCTTCTCTCTCCCCAAACCTGCTCAGTCCTCACTGCCAAGATCAAGGAAGGAGGTACTGACATTCTGGGTGTTCCCAATCTGATGCCGGGTCTACTCTGAGCTAACTTGCTGCCCCAGGTAGGAGAAAGAACACAGGACCAGAGTCCAGATTCAAGGCTCAGTTGTGCTACACCTGTGTTAACTGGGGAAAAAAGTCACCTGGCCTCTGGAGTTTCCTTTCCTCAATTGCACAATGAAGATGGGACACGACCTAAGGCCTTTTCTAGCTCCCCGGTCTGAATTTGGATCTTCTGGACAATGTCAGAATAAGATGGAAATCTTCATAGCCATGGAGCAAACCCCACTCACTGCACCCCAGAGGCTGTCCTCCTCAGTGTAGGGGACCTGCCCCACCCCACCCACAGGGACGGGAGCCCTGGGTGTGTAAAGTATGACTTTAGATAAAGGAAGTTCAGGTGACATCTCCACCCCTTCCCCAACTCAGGAGTGCATGGGGTGAATTCCTGTACGCAGCCCATCTCATCCAGCCCTAGCAGTGAGCCCAAAAAAGCAGTCACCTGGCAGAACAGTGTCCCCAGAAAAAGGCAGAGAAAACAAGAGGCCTAGAGGTAGAAGGGGAAACTCCAGCACACTTTCCCTCAGGGAAGTCCTGCCACAAATGTGCCCCCAAAGCCACGTCTTCCCTGTTGCAGCCCATGTATGCTTGCTTTTCGTCTGATAGAAATTGAGACCTGGCCACAGAGATAGGCTCCCTGTGAGAGCCCAGGAACCCTCTCTTATCCCTGTGTCCCAGACATGAGCTGGGGGACTGGAGGTGATGGCTACTTCCTGAGTTCCCTCCACTCCCCGGCCAACTCCACCCTGCCCCACCCTCACCTGCTTCTGGGCTTTAATCCAGTTCAGGAACGACCCCCTGCTCCCAAATCAAGGAGCGAGGGGCCTCGCATGTTGCCTCAGGGTCTCCCAGGCCACTGGCCGGCCACAGCCACTTTGTGCTCTCTCTCTGAGCAAGCTCCAACTCTGCGCTGTCTGCTGGCCTCCCCTCTGGCTGGCCCGCTGGTCCCTCCCGCCTGCTTGCAGTCCCTCCCAGGCTGCCGGGCCAGGGGAAACAGGTTACTTGTTATGACTTGAGTCAGAGGGGAGGGGCAGGTGAGCAAGTCCTTCCCTGAACTAATCCTGCAGCTGACTGTTGCCGGCAGGCAGCTCCTGGGCCTCTGCACTTCCGGGCCAAGAGGAGCAGAGAAAAGGGGCTCCCCACAGAGGAATCCCAGAAGGCAAGAGGGGTCTGGTCTCAAAAGGACTGGGGTGCAGTGTGTTGGGCTAGAAGGCGCAATCAGTGTCCCCTGTCTTGCCCAGCTCTTCCTGCCTTCCTTGAACTCCAGATCCCCTTTCCAGAAATTGAGGAATGTTGAGTACCCCCCAAAAAAAATAGGGTAAAAAGTCCACTGTGCATGGGGAACATTAGCTGGAAATTTAGAAACCGTTGGGAGGGTCACTGTTCTCCTCTGTACACTGAAATGGAGACCACCTGAATTTGTCTGTCCCAAATCTGGACCTTACGCTGAACTGGGAGTGGTGGAACACAAGAGATCCCAGATAGGAGGATCTCTTGATCCCAGAAGTTCTAGGCCACATAGTGAGACCCGGCTTAAAGAAAAAGGGGAAAGAAAAGGAAAAAAAAAGGGACCAGAGATCAAAATGGAAATTGTTTCCTAAAAAAAAAATGAAGCTTTCAGGCCTCACACCCCATTGGCCCTCTGTTTGGGATCCAGTCTATTTCCCGGCGGGGGGTGGGGGGTGGGGTGGGGGAGGGAGAAGCAGAGCTAGGGCTGCCCGTTGCCTGTCCTCAGAGGCTAGCATGAGATGTGCTGCAGATCACAGAGGCTGCCCTTAACCTTCATCCTACTATCTCCCATCCCCGAGTTCTCAGATTCTCCCACCATGACCAACCCAGATCCCAGCACCTCAACATACATGTGGGTTTCCTTCCTCCAGCTCCTATCCCCTTTCCCTTTATCCCAGTGCGGGGATGACAGGAGAGATCTGCTGTCATCAAGCATCTGAGGAGCAGAGCAATGTCACAGTCTACCACATCCCCTTCAGCAGCAACCCATTCCTCCTATACACAGACACCCCTCCCACCCCCACACACCCCTTCACATTCCTGTACACACCCTCTTTCCAAACAATGCTACCCTCAGAGTCCTCCAGGCTGACCACCTCCTGTCCCCAGGCTGAGGCAGAGGGGCCTTCACAGGGGACAGTCCTCCTTCCCCATGGTGGGGAGCACGCTCTCTGGGCTGCCCAAAGAACCTGAATCCTTTCCTTTCCCTTCCCCAGTCCTCTACAATGCAGCAGTTTCTTCCCATCCCCCTACAGATTTACACTTTCTTCCAATGTCAAACAGAGGGGCTAACCCTGGGCATAAGCAGCCTTTGCCCATCCCCCAACTCCAACCAGGGAGGAGAGGCAGAACTTTCTAGAATCAGCTCATAACTTACATTTTTTAATGCATTAAAATAAAAAGAATTACTAAAATAACCAATTATATTGAAATACAGTTCTAGAACCAGAAAAACATAACAATATATATTACTTCTTTATTAACATTGAAGAGGACCCAGCAAGGGGTAATTTCATACAAGTGATGAGTGTAGACCATTTCCACATGGCTGCACCAGTGGGATAGGACCTGAATTCTACTAATGGCAAAGTGACAGGTCCTGCCAATGCTACTGTGTTTTGTGGTCTTCCAACTAAAGGGAATGCTAACTACTGAAAGAGTGATGAAAAATAAAGACTTAGTTCCCCGCCCCCATCTAAGTTTATAAACCCTCTGAATGCTATCCACAGATGCCTTGGTGCCTGTGGACCCAGTTAAGACCTCTGCTCTCAGGTGACCCCCACCTGAGTTCAGGGGAGAGAAGTGAAATTGGCTTAAGGCTGTATACACACCGGGTCAGAAATTACTCAACTTGTCTTCCAGGAAAAGACTCCAGGCCTTTCACTAATGATTCTTATGGTTTGGAACCAGCTTTTCAAGAAGCCATGTTGTGCGGTCACTGATGTCACAAACTCAGAGCCGCCCCACACAGAACACAACTCCCCCTAAAAGACGTATGCAACCTGTGAAGAGGCAGCCCAAGGCAACTAACAGGCAGCTTAACCTGCCTCTACCCGACTTACCAACTACCACCTGATCCAGGGAGGCAGGTCAGCCATGCAATAGAGCTTTTTCTTTTTGCAAAAACCCAGTTCTTGCCATGGTACTGGCTTCTGTGGACATCTGGCATGGAGCCTTTAGCTCAGTAACAGAACCTCAGATCAACTTGTTTGCATTGAACCTTGAGAATGTGCTAAATGAAACCTTGCTCCTGCAAATTTGCACCCAGCGATTCCCAATCCAGAAGAATCTAAAGTTTGGAATGGGGCTGGCAAACCAACCCTGCCACCAAGATCTCCTGAGAGATTACATCTCATCTAGCTGATTGCCATGATAATCAACTCAAAATACCAAGCGAGAAGTGGGCACTGCAGAGGCCAGCTTGGAATATGAAACTCAGTGGTTCAGGACCAGTCTAGGAACCAGGGAACTAAAAGGCAGCCCCTAATCCCAAAGACCAAGACCCCATCACCAAGCCCACCAGCAGGTGAGGAGGTGGGATTTCCCTGCACAGTATTACAGCACTTACACTCTGATCTTGGTGGACAAGAAAAACTGCTTCTTTGGGAAATTCATTCCCAAAGGATATGTCGTGAGTCAGAAAACTTCCACAGCCAGGTAGCCAACTATTCTTGATTTTTTTTTTCCAGAGTTCCTTCTTTTAAATTTATTCTGATGCTGGGATCCAAAGTTCTTTAAACCAAGCACCTCAGCCATCCCAATTATACCCCAGCCAAGTACCATCACCGAAACTCCTACAATGTAACTCAGTGAATTTACAAATCAATGGTCAGTGGCTGGAGCTAACAGAGGTAAAAGGAAGAAGGAAAACAGCCTGGTACCCTCCAGGCAAGAGGGAGACCGGTCCTTAACTGTTTCCTTCTCAACGCTCCTCCTTCCTGCCCACTGGGAAAGGTGTTAGCCTCCACCAGGTCGTGGTGGAGTGGACTCAGTCGGGGAGCTCCGATTAGCCTGGAATGAGTGCTGAAATCAGACCTCTAGGCTTTCTGTAAAAAGCCCCTTTGTCCTGTCCACCCCGCTCCCCTCCCCCACCGCGCCCTCCACTTCCAGGCCGTCCTGAGACTTTGCTCCTTTTGTTTGGCTGCTTTCAGGCTTCCCGGAACCTGTGGCCAGGAGATTCACAAGCTTGGGGAAGGTCGAAGGAGAAAGGTGGAGGAGTTGGAAACATGCACTTTACGTAGGAATTCAGAATTCCTACCCCCTCGATAAAGTTATCCTATTTCCTGTAAGACCCCATCCGTTAAGGATGGAGACCAGGGGTTTAGGGGCTTGATTCCCCCCACCCCCCAATTCTCCCGCGCGAGGTTCCCCTAAGTGCCGCCTTACCTGTCCCATGGAGCTCTGGTGCCTCCCGGCTGCCTCCGCGCCTGCCTCGCAGCTTCAGGACCTGTTGGTCCTGGCCACCCTCGCTCTCCCCGCGTCTCCCCCCGGCCTTCCCTCCCCAGAGGTATTTCATTTAACTTAGGCATTTGCAGCATCCCAAATGTTAAAGATCCCAAGACATCTGTCCCCTGGGGCATACCAAAGCCCAGAGGAAAGAGGGGGACAATGCTAGAGTGACCTTGAGATTCTGATCCAAGAGTCGGGGCGGAGCCTCATGTTGGGGTGGGAAGGTGCCAGCCAGGGTGGGAGTCCTGTGGGAGCAGCCGCTCGGGGGGCCGAGCTGTCCCCTTTCTCCCGCTTTCGGACGCCCACGGGGCGGGACACCCCCGGCGCGGCCAGTTTGCGCGGCCCAGGCGGGAGGAGGCTCGGCTCGCGGTCCGGGTGCCGCCTTTCATCCGCGCGCTGCGGCCCGGCCGGGGGGCAGTTTTCATTCCAAGAGACCCCGGGGTGGAAGGATGAAAGGAGATGTCACGAAGGGGCCGCGTTCCTCCGCACCCTCGCCGCCCCACGTCCTCTTCCCGCTTGCTGTGTCCCGCAGCCGGCTGCGCAGTGGCGGGCGCGGGGGCCGCGATGGCCTGGCCTCCCCTCTTGCGGCCCCGGCCCGGTCCTGCTGGGGGCCGGCTGGTGACAATAAAGCAGCAGTCTTGGGGTGGGGGGGGTAGGGGTGGGAGAGCCCCTCCTGCGATGCCGCCACGGTCCATTCATTCCCTCCCTCGCACTTCCCGGGTCTCATCTGTCCCACTAACATTTACTGAGCACCACTGGGGTCCGCCACTGTGGATCGAAGTTCAAGCTCCTTCACAGGAAGGGTCCTCGCAGCCTAGATGAGCAAGGATGGTATGGGTGAAGAAGGGCTGAAACGGGAGTTTGGGATCTAAGGCCCAGACTCCTTAGATTCTGTGTCAGGTCCAGCCACTCGCCCCCATATGTCAAATGGCTGGGTCATGTCCTGAGAAGAGGCAGGGTAAGCACTCATTCCATTTTCAGCCATCTTCGTGGTACAAACATGAGCTACAGGTTTTTTGGCTTTTTTTTTTTTTTTTTGGTGGTACTGGGGTTTGAACTCAGGGCCTCATGCTCGCTAGGCAGGTGCTCTTCTGGCTTGAGCCACTCCACCAGCTTTACAGGTTTAAAGAGATAAAACAACAGGGGACCAGTCACAGGTGATCATTAACTCAGTCCCGGGGTTCCAGAGAGGTTGTTATAACTGTCATCACTTGAAGGGAGCAGTCTGGTTCCCAAGGCATGATTACTGCTGCTCCAGGGTACAGTCTCATCATTGTAAGTAATTGCCCTCATTTGGAGGGATAGTTTGTCCTACAAGTCTCCCACTGTGCCTTAGGGGAAGTTTCAGTCCCTTGTCATAAAGATGTTATCAATCATTCCTGTCCTTCCTTGATTCCAAGGTAGCTGCAGGAGAGAGTAGCTCAGCAGTATAAAATGGAGACAGAAATGTCTGTTTTAAGTTAAATTATGGGCCCAAGTAAGGAGTCATTGCTTTTCAGCAAAAGCAGTTTAAGTACTTCTTACAGGACCAGGAACCAGGCTGAGGCAGGAAGGTGGCAAGTTCAAAAAAAAAGAGGTAAAGAGGTAGTGGCAGAATAGAAGCACAATGGCAAAGCAGCATAGCTGGTCCTAGAAGCTGCAGAAAATTTAAGATATGTTATGAGGAGGAGGAAAGACCCAAGATGAAGGGAGGTAAGGCTAAGAGGCAGCCCATCAAGAAGCAGGGTGGCACTGTGTGGTTGTCCAAGTTGTGCATAATACTAAGACAGAAGGCTCCCCCAGGCTCCACTCAGCTAGCTCTTGGCCTCATCCATTTGCCCAGAGCAGGTGCCTTTATCTAACAGGTACAAAGGCACTAGAGCTTGGTGGGCTACCTAAGGATTTAAGATGCTTATCTGAAATTGAAGAGAAACTACTTAGAGAGAGAGATTGGGTTGTGTGATTGTGGAAGCTGGCAAGTCCAGAATGGACAGGACGTGCATGCAGGTGGAGATCCCAGGAAGAGCTGCAGGTGGAGTCCACAGGCAGAGTCTGCTGGCAAAATTCCCTCCAACTGCAGGGAGATCTGTCTTTGTTCCATGAAGACCCTCAGCTGATTGGATGAGGCCCACTCACACATGAAGGGAAGTTTGTTTTACTCACAGTCCACTGGTTTAAATAGTAATCTCACCTAAATCATACTGTCACTAAAACACCCATAATAATGTTTGATCAAAAATCTGGGTCCTGTGATGTGGCTAAATTGATATGTAAAATTAACCATCATAATCCAGGTGAGCAGACTCACCTTTGGAAGATGACTTTGGAGGAGGTGGAAACAGGGAAGTCCCCGGAGGCAGCAATTCAAGCAAGGAGCCATGGGGTCTGAACTCAGAGAGACAATTGGGGTGTAGGGGGAGATGGAAGTGGATGAAGGGGGTGAGTCAAGAGCTTCTTAGCGGGTAGACCTGGCCTGAATCTGTACCTGATTGACTAAAGACCTGAGCAGTGAGGAACAGGGAGGGGTTGGGGATTCCCAGGTTTCTGGCTAAAGAGTTCATTTGAGGTGTGTTTACTTTGGGATATTAGTGATAATGTCAGTGAGCAGTCTGGCTGGGCCTCTGAAGCTCAAGGAAGGTTGGATAGAAGGGTTTGGAATGTTGCAGAATGGCTCAGAGAGACAAGCACCAAAGCTTTCGAGAAGCAAGTTTATCAAGCAGTCCAGCAGTGACTCGGCAGATTCACATCCCAAGGCTGAGCCCCAAGAGCAAAGGGGGCTTCCTTACATACCACTTAGAGCAGGTTACAGAAATGGGGGGTACAGCTTGTCCCATACATGGTCACGTGCTCTTTCATTGGCCACTTTAACATCTAGAGTGAGGTGACCCTTCTCTGGTCTCACTCCAGGTGACATTCCCTAAATCCGGTTTTTCTTTGTTTCACTGTAGCACTCATTATCTCTCATTATCAGTCATTATCTCTCTTCCCCCTCCCTGCCTTCCTGCCACATTCCCCCCTTTGATGCTCCCCACTTCTGGGTCAAAGAGCACCATCTTGATCTAGGGGTTTTTATTCCCACAGTGTCATTTCATGAGCAGCTGTCTTCCTCTCTATAGTGGCTTCCATAACAGTCCTAAAGGACTGCAGTACCACAGGGATTAAGCAAGGTAATACCAGGCATGCTCCTAAAACAAGGAATACTGACCCTGTTAAGGTCTTAAACCCACCCAAGGTTGAGAACCAGCCCCCGAACAGGTCATTGGGACTCCATCCCTTCTAGGTCTGCAAAGGGACATCATCATCAATCTGTAAACAGCAGTCACTCAGATTGCACTTTCCACATACCCTGCCCAAATAGCCCAAAGCCAACCGGTTTTGGTAGATGGCCTTGTGTATTTTAGTTTGTTGTTTGGCTAATATGTTAAGGGATTTTGCTGTTTCATAGTTACAATCTCAACCACTGCCTGAAGCTGAATGGTGTGGTCCTCGGCCTACGTAGCAATGAATGATCCGCTCTGGAGGCCTTTCATCGTCTCTTCAGTCCCCTATTTGTAGGGCATCTCGCTTTTTCCTGTTTATCCTTTCCTCATATATAAAGGCTCCTAATTTTTCACCTTGTCTTAGGGGGAGAAGAAGAAAGAAGGCTGGAATGTGCCCAGCACACAGGATCCGAACCAATTATTGGGCAGGATTGTATAAACTCATTCCCCCCAGATCCAACACAGCCCCTTAGGCGCCCGCCATTCAGTGTTCATGGTCAGATTATTCCAGGATATTGCAAGCCTAGGGAACCTAGCCAACCAGCCACGGGTGAGGTTGGGGCTCCATGTGATTGAGAACCCCCCCACCACCGAGTCTTCTGAGCAGGATCACTGTAAAACTTTTGTCCCAAGCAGATCAAGTCCCCTACTGGGGTGGAGAATTGGCCTTTTGGATGGGAGATACAGTAATTTCCAATAATAGATTTTTTTAGGATCCAAATGCTCTCCCCGTGCCTAAGGAGAGTGGTTTCATTAAAGGGCTCTTGTGGGTTTAGTTCTCTTGCCTCCATGGCCAGTGGTCTCCCATATTCATTCCTCCACAAACATAACACGAAGTTACATTTAGAGTTTGTGTTATGGACTCAGCTAGAGAGAAGAACAGGTTTTGGCTTTAACTGAGATGGGAAACTCACTTTGTATCTCCTCATAAAAGGAGTGAAAGGCCTGGTGTGAGGAGCTCTCATGAGTGATCATGATGAGTTGAAAATGCAGCAAAGTGCCAGGGTCTGTTCCCTTTCCATAGATTAAAGTGCCAAACTTTTTTCCAATTTCCCAGCCTGTTTCATTGAAGTTAAAAATAGTGAAATTTACAGGGTTGCAGGCACCAGCAGTGCAGTCAGAGGTTGCTACCCTTTTCTGTAAAAGAGCGGCAGTTCCATGTGAGATATGGGCCTCCCCTTTTAAGCCAAGTTGCCCACCTTTCACTACTCCAATAAGGGCAGTAGAGTTGTTCATAGTACACACAACCAGATGTCCCACGGGTATCTTCTGGACATATATACTTGTCATTTAACCTGTAGGTCCTTTCCCAGGCTAGCCCCTCACATTTACTGTAAGGCCCGGTGTTTTCAGCTATTGCAGCACACACATCAAAGTATATGGACACAGGTTTGTTGGGGTCACTAACCTGGGTGCGGTTAACAAGATTCCCCAGTGCTGGTGAAGCTTCGGACCTCTAGTCATTGCTCTCAAGGGCAGTAGATGGGTTTGAAACAGATCTGTTGGTTATCATGGGAGGACACTGAGTAGGAGGTATGGCTGTGGGTGCATGACCCAACAATGGCGCTTGCACAGGAATAATAAGTATGGAAAACCAGGGTTTTGGCAACAACACTTCCCACTCAGGTAGTGTGCATGCGTGAGTCCCCAGGTAGAGAGCTGACCAGGATTAGCAAGAAGAAAACATGGAAGGGACTCATCCTCAAAGGTGAGATGGGCAACTCCTCAAGCTTCTGCTGTGCATAGACTAGTCAGTGTCCAGAGTGACTAGAGCCATGGTCTCCTGTTTTCTCCTGGGAAGCAGGGTCCTCTTGGGGGAGGGCACAGGCAATGTATGGTGAGCCTGGATCAGGGATGCACTCTCACTCGAGGGAAGCTGGCTTCACTTGGCT